AAAGTAGACTACTAGTCATACTATAAAAAATGGTATGGGAATGACACGTTAAAATGTTCAGATCAATAACAATGTTTTATACAAAACTTGGGCATGACAATATATTCATCATGGACTAGCATCAGTTAGAGGAACATTGAAAACTTGGGAGGATTGGACCTGAAGGTCTTGAGTCTGATCCCTGGTTGGGTCGTGAATGCGTACTGAGGAGTCCCATACTAGGACGAAACACTCGTCCAGTGCTTCAAGTTTTCCAATGTTTCCCGAACTGATATCAGTCTGTGATGAATACTACCTCTAAATTAAAATCCCCATTCATCTCAAAAATACATTACTGTATAGTGCTCATGAGTGACTTGCTTCCAGATGGATATCACGAAGTTGTAATAAGAAACCGTGATCTGTGATGGTTTCAGCCAGTCTGAAGTGATTATTGTTAGTGTTATTTTTCCTTTGGGTTCTCAGTGGAACATAGGGATTCAGTAGCACCTCTCCACTACACTCTGTTCTCTGCAGTCTTTCGAACCTGGCATCACGACCGGCCATAAGCTTTCATTTCTTCCTCACATGATCTCCTCCATGTCACCCTCTCCTCGGACTCCCAGCTCGTCGTTTCCCCTTTGGATTCCATTTGAGGGCCTGGCCTGGCCCGTGATATCCCCAGTCGGCCTTCTCAGTCTATGTCCAATCCAATCCATCTCCACTTTCTTCAGTCTGAAGTGAAGCGGATACCAACTGAAAACCTTGAGTGATAGTCGCGCTGTATCGTGAATTGACAAAGTTGGAAACTGTAAACCACTGAACTCCGACCCAATGGCTGGATGGTTAACGCTTTCGCTGTGAAATCTGTCGGTCCTGGGTGGGATGCCTAGCCGGATCATAGGCGCGCACTTCCGAGGAGTCCCATACCAGGACGAAACAACTGTTCAGTGCTCCCAAACTTTTAATGGCTCTCCAACTGATATCACTCAGTGATGAATACTACTTCAAAATGAGAAGTTATCAGTATCATTCGGGAAATAAATGCCATTGAAGTTTATTTGTAGTAATTATGGTTGTCATTTTGAAATCAACCTGTATTTAGAATTGTGATGGCTAGTAGTGGAATTTAGGACTTTCGTTTCGCCTGAACAATGACTCTACAGCTGGCTGTACACTTTGTACACATTTCTTGCATCCATATATGCCACTATATGTTAATTTGTCTTATAAACACGGCAGAGATAGACGTAAGATAGACGTAGAATTTACATAATGTAATTTAGAAGATGAAGTTTATCTGAACAATGTGATGTATTTGTGCAATATATTTCGAACAATCTGATCACACATTTACTTGTCAAGTCAATATACATTCAACCAAAAAGTATGAAGGTAAATACAACAAGTAAGATAAGCAGGGGAGTAAAATTAAGAAAGATAAGAACAAACAAGAAGTGATATAGTTGATCCTAATCTTGGTAAGAAAACAAAGTTTAGCAAGCATATTAGATGTAGTGTGGAGGAATGAATTGTTTTTGTACATATAAAGGTGATTTCAATTTACGTATGCTTATCGCTTTTACAAATCTCAATATGCAACCGTGACTGTTAGTATATCAACGTTTGAAAGCTGTTTGAACATTAATTTTGTGAGCTGTTTTTATAATATGTTTAGCTATAGATGAAGAGGGTCATCTGCTACTAGCGTTTATCAAGGGTTCACTCTCCATTTGTTTGTGAAACCATTTAGGTACATGTTCTTCCACCCTCAACTGCAGGCCTTGATTACTTTTCCCTATGTATGTGTGATCACATAGACATGTAAATTGGCCAACATAAAGGGATGTGACGTAATCATTCATGCAGTGTTTATTTTTGCGTTGAAGCACGTGTTTTATTTTTTCAATAAAAACTTACAGAATTTGTTTTCGTACCTAAATGGTTTCACAAACAAATGGAGAGTGAACCCTTGATAAACGCTAGTAGCAGATGACCCTCTTCATCTATAGCTAAACATATTATAAAAACAGCTCACAAAATTAATGTTCAAACAGCTTTCAAACGTTGATATACTAACAGTCACGGTTGCATATTGAGATTTGTAAAAGCGATAAGCATACGTAAATTGAAATCACCTTTATATGTACAAAAACAATTCATTCCTCCACACTACATCTAATATGCTTGCTAAACTTTGTTTTCTTACCAAGATTAGGATCAACTATGTCGTTCTTCTTTAATATTAGAGTAAAACCTGGCGACATAATCTCATGGGAGCATTATTATTTATTATTATTAGTCCCTTGGGTTCCTAGTGGAACATACGGCTTCAGTAGCACGTCTCCAGTGAACTCAGTTCTCTGAGACCTTTTCAGCCTAATTCCACGACAGCCCACAACCTCTCATTTCTTCCTCACACCATCTCCTCCATGTCACCCTCACCTCGGACCCCCAAATCGTCGCTTCCCATCTCGGTTCCACTCGAGTGCCTGGCCTGGCGCGTGATGTCCCCGAATGGTCTTCTCAGTGCATGCCCAATCCATCTCCACTTCCTTCCAGTGCATATTTCTTGATTGAGTATTAGATTCTTGGTTGATTCGTTCCCAGAGTTCCTCCTCGCTTATTCTTTCTCGCCATCTCATCTGATCTTCAGTAACGAGTCAGTGTAGGTGGCAGTTGTTGATGAATGTCTGTTGTTTGTTGGAAATGCTTTTCGTAACGCGTCAAGTCTCTCACCCATCACACAGAAGCACTAACTTCACGTTGGTGTTGGAAATCTGCATCTTGTTCCACATGCCGAGTGCAGAAGATCTCCACACTGGTTTCAGGCTAATGAACGCCTGCCTTGCTTTTCCGATTCCGGCTGCTCTGACGTCCTCGTCTGTGCCTGTGACACCTGTAGTTGAAACAGTGCTGCCTGCCTAAATAGGTGAAAGAGGCTACTTCCTTTAAGTTTCTCCCGTTGATGGTGATTGGAGTTTGTTGTTGTTGGTTGGGTATCTTCATCACCTCTGTCTTCTATACCTTCACTTCAAGTCCCATCTTCGCTCCACTGCCACCTCTGCCAACTTGTTAGTTTTTGCCTGTAGATCTTCAAGTTTGTGTGACATTAGACGCAAGTCATCGGCGAAATCCAGATCATCTACGTTCTTTTCCGCAGTCCAGCGTATCCCCCTCTTCTCGCTCCCCACTGTTTGCTGCATCATCCAGTCCAGTCCACTCCAATCAGGAATATCATGGGTGATAGTAGACAGCCTTGTTTCATTCCTGTCTTCACTTCAAAAGCATCACTGAGCTTCCCACTGTGAATTACGTAGCATCTGGAGTCTTCATATAGTTGTTGAATGAGGCGGATAAAGGTTTGTGGTATTCCGTAGTGCTGAAGCAGTTTCCAAATTACCTCTCGGTCAACGCTGTCAAAGGCCTTTTCAAAGTCGATGAAGTTGAGGTAGAGTTGAGTTGACTGCAATTCCATACTCTGTTCTATGATGATGCGAAGCGTTGCAATTTGGTCTACACATGATTTGTACTTCATGAATCCAGGCTGCCTGCCTGTTCCGGTCGTAGTTTTGAATCCAGTGCATCCTTTAGTCTCTCCACGATGATGCGGCTTAGTATTTTGCTTGCATTGGGTGGACAGAAGCGTGATTCCGCACCAGTTCTTGCAAAGACTTAGGTCGTCCTTCTTCGGGAGTTTGACAAAGTAACCCTTCTTCCAATCACTAGCCAGATACCTTCTCTTCCTTCCACACCTTCTGCAATAGTGGTGTGAGCATGTCCGCCGCCGTTGTCTCTGTGTCTGCTCTCAGTGCTTCTGGCGTGATCTCGTCTAATCCTGCTGCTTTCCCACATTTCAGTAGCTTTATGGAGCTCAGGACTTCGACTTTCGTCCGAGGGCCTGTGTTCACTTGTAGTTCAGCGGCTGTAGGTGGTATTTCTGGACGAAGTGCAGGTGGTGGTTGATTCAAGAGCTTCTTGAAGTGGTCGGCCCATCGTTTGCTTTTTTTCTCTTCTTTGGTAATTAAATTTCCCTCATCATCTTTTATTGGTTTCATCCGTGTTGATCTCTTCCTTTCCAGATAGTAACCTGGTTATTTGGTACAATGTTATCAGGTCACTCCTACCTGCAGCCTGTTCTGCTTCACTTGCCAGTGTTTCGTAGAAGTATCTTTTGTCTTTGCGGTTACTCTTCTTTACTTCTTTGTCCAGTGGTTTGTACATTATGCTTGGTTCCTCTTGTCGTTGAGCATCCCTGCACTGGTTTATCTTCTGCTTCACCATCCTCCTCTCCTCTATCAGCTTGCAGGTATCCGTCGAGATCCGTTCCTTGTCTTCTTTCTTCTTCTTTCCTAATAGGGCTGTGGAGGTTTCTTTCCACATCTCTTTCAAAGACTTCCAGTGTTCTTCCACACAGGTTTTTTTTGGGGATGTTCGATTATGTGAGCATATTAGTAGAAAATTCCAAGCTATCGAGTTTTCGATAACTTCTCAGATGATATCATTTTATGATGAAAAGCAACATGAAATCAATCAGTTTTTCTATAAACTATTCAAATGAAAAATAATTAAGTATTTTTACCTCCTGATAAACTTTCATTATGATGAACTGCCTATCTTTTCACACTTCATAATCACCAGTCAAATAAAACTTACAAGAATCAATAGAAGTATTTAGTATACGTTATCCAGTAAATATAGGTAATTATGAATCATATACGTGAATACACTATACATAACTCAAGGTCAAGAGGACCATTAACCCCAGATAATATGCCATTGTAGTCATGATTTCAAAAAAAGAATAGAAGAGCTAGCAGCATAATTCCTGTGTTCATTCATCCTACTTACTAGTAAACGCCAAATAAATATAAACTGAGAACAAATAGTATAACGGAAGTAATCATATTGGTTGTTTAAATCTTTGTATATTAAAAAAAATATCACTGGTTAATAGAATGTAAAATTTTTTTTTAATTAGATGAAATTTTGTGTCTAGATTCATTCATTCATTTAATCATATTCATATGATGTTGATTAAAACTATACACGTAAATAATTAACTAGTAACATTGAACGGATTCAATTTTCTCGATACATTGGACATTGATCAAAACAATTTATACAAATGTATATATAATGGACTTTTATTGTCTACAGAAAATAATTCACTGCATCTAAAGTTGTCATTACCATTATCAAAAGTATCATTTAACAATCAGTTATGGTTTACTAAGATTATGAGTCCAAGATATAATGAATGGATGTTTACTGGAAAAGAGGATAGATTGTAATTTTTATAGGATCAGTTTAAACAAATTCAATTTGCTAATATATTTCAATAATTCCTCAGTATTTCAATATATTTTATAAACCCTATAATATCTATTCTAATTATGGATATTTTAACAAGAGAATCATTGAATGAATTTTTATCTGGAGCTGTTGGAGGTAAGTGATTAGTATTGATTAAAGGTGTTCAATGTATTACAAGTTTGAGGATATGAGAAAGACTCTTCTTAGGATAATTACAATATTGAATACTTTGTAAAGTACTCTTCTTCTCAGAATACTATCTCCATTCAAATCTGGTAGTCATATTATTTTATTTTACAGAATCTATAGTAATCTGAAAACAGTCTTTATATGAAATGAAGTTCCCAACCTGTAATGGTCACTCAATGGTAAAATTAGAGACAGAGCATTGACCTATGGTGTGTTTTAGCTACCTTCAGTCTTTTTCCAATCTCATCCTACGCTTTGTGACAAAAAATGATTCGACATGCGTAAAACATGTCACAGCCACATCATTAGATCAAGGTTTAAAATTTCATTATGGTCCATAACATGCCAACAATGCTAGGAAGGCGATAGTCATAAAACAGCTGAAGCCTTCTAATAATGTGGTCCACCTTTTAAATGGTCAGACTGATCATCCACTTCCGGTCTGACTTGTCAAGTTAGTGAATTGGTCAACACTGTTAGCCACCTTACTCTGCATCATTAGATAAAGTATCCACCCAAACCGCTCATCAAGCAAAATTTTGAATTTAGGGTATCATAAATGCATCCGAAGCATGTTCAAATTGTTACTCATTGTCTAGGAAACTCTACTTCTTGTCAATGTATTCACTATATCCGTTGTGTACAGTAGGTTGACATGAGAAGCTCCTGTGTTAAGACCAATCCCTGTAAAGTCAGATGAGAAAACGAAGAACTCTATAACACTTCTGTGAAAAGATTTGATTAAAAAGTGGAGACATAGGACGGAAACCACTCAAAGTAGATAACTTCAATAAAACATCAACGTAAACTCTTACGTAACACAAGAAGTTCAAACTGAAAGCCTTCAGTAAGTTTATGTACTTACCAACTCGACAACCACTTTCTGCTCTAGAAATACAGATAGTATTAGGTGCCAGTATCAGTGTTGTTCAGCACTTGAAAGAAATTGAAGATGAAACCATAGCCAGTTTCTAAATCAACCTGATGTCCCCATTCATCCTGTTACCGGGCTACATATGAGTATTTAGTGTTTAAAGAATCTAGAATCCTGGATACGGCATTCATCACACTGATTCCTCTCTGGTTATCACAAGGAGATTTCTTTACTTTGTTGAAAACTGGGATAATGGGTAATGAGACCCACCAGTCATATCTGTTCCCCATATGCCAGCTAATAATTCATTTTATGTAATTGACTAACCTTCTCCACAGTTATTAAATATCTTTAATGCAAGCCAGTCAAGGTTTACTTCGTTTTCCTATTTCATTTTACATAAAACCATCTCAATATCTGAGAGATTTGGAGCCCCTATTGTCTGTTGAGACTCAGTGGCAGGCAGTCAACAAGTAGCTAGGGGATTATTTAAGTGACTCATTTGAGTTACCTTCTCTGAGAAGGAGTTGTAGATCTATCTTTCTCTGTTATGGTCTCACTCATAATTGACAATTTTGCTTCAGTTTCCTTATAAGTTAAGACAAATGTCTATTGTTACCTTTTCCATATCTTAAACTTTCAATACCTACTGAAATGTATTTATGTGTATCCATTAATTCGGTCGGAGGTGTTCAGATCCATTTGCTCTTTCTTGTGGAACTATGACTCATTAGTTTAGTGAGATGACTTTCAACAAGATAGGTTACGGGTTCAGTTCCCGTTCCACCTACAGAGGTTTGGGCAGCTAGGTAGTAACATTAGCCCTTAGACAATGGATGTGGTTTACTACATACTGCATGAATGTGCATAAAGTTGTTGACAGCATTTCGATCCAGTTTTTTCGATTTTCTCTTTCTTACTTTTTCTGAAAGCTAGTTGTAGTCTTTAACGTTGTTTTCACAGCAAATTGAACATAGTGTCAAGTGTCTGCAGAATGAATAATATCATTCAGTTCCGATAGCTGTCCAGCCCGTTCCTCTTTGAAAAACAAGTTTTGATATCCTCATCTTGGAGATGAACTCTCAAAGGTCTTTCAGTCATATACGAATGAGTGATAGAACTAAGGCGTAGTCAGTATTTAAGCACATCCTTCAAGTAATCATTCAGTTTTCTATAGACTATTTAGAATGATAATCAATAGTGAAATGGTCAACATGCGTGTAACTTTGAGTTTATGTATCTTTATATGAGAAATTTCGGTTGACTATAAATTGGTAGTTGCTTAGGGACAATTGTAGCAGGTAACCACCATCATCCATTCACTCAGAAGGGATTTTGAAAGTGTCACTTAGGTGGATTTCTAGCTGATTTAATCATCCTATTTGTGTATTAATTTCAGCCACTAAGAAAACAATATCTCAACATATTTTTCCTACAGAAGGATAGAAATTTTTCGGTAAAATTCATCTTTCACTTCATATAAATTGTAGTTAGTGGGTGTGTAAGCAGAGATAACAAAGAAACAACAGTGGATTCAATTCTCTATAGTCCTCACTGCACTACATAATCGAATAGTGTATAGGTGACTGTCTACCGGGATTTAGTGGAGCAACGCTCTTTCTTCATGCTTTACATACATCTGTGAGAAATAGTCGTGAAATCTTTAGAAACTCGAAGGGTGATTTTTATGCATTCATAATATTGAATGCATGAGGTTAGTTGACGAATAACACATGTGCTGTATGCATATCTCACAAACGTAGTACATAACAGTCGTTCAAGATGTCAGAATTTTGTTTGAGGATGATGAAATCTTCGATGTGTAGTTTTGGGTGCGATTTCAGGTGATCATCAACTTGAATCGCTATCATGAATAAGAAGTTAGAGCAGTATAGGTCATCCTGTTAACTTGAGTGCATAGATGCAGAGCCTTAGATAAATCTAACTGAAGTGGTGTCTTCACAAGGACTTACTGTAGACTTTCATCTCACATAGAATAGTATGAAGTTCGATCTGGAAGACAGACCTCATCTGTTGATACTAAAAGGGTGTAGAGTGGAAATAAGAGCTGGTTTTAGAACAAACACTTTTTCAATCCTATTTCTGTTCAAAAGAAGATACCATGAACTTGGATTGCTGGTTATTTGTATGATGTATGTTACTGCTATCGCAATTAATACAGTCAGTCGCAAAGAGTAGTTCCTTGAATCCTCATGAAGAAACAATTATTTACAAGATACCGGTAACTGTATTTAGACTAAATCTAAAGAGGAAATCTTACAAGTGAAACAGTCATTCGGTGTTTAGACCACTGTGATCTAATATAGTATAGCTATTATGCTTTCCATCATGATGGTATGAATGGTGTTGAGGTGTCTGATTTCATCTATGATCTCATCCCATGTTGGACTGGATTTGTTTCTGCAATGACTTGTTTCGACTTCAAGGGATGCTAACATTAACGCTTGGCAGATTGTTATTTGTTTAAGACAACAGCTTATATTCTTATCAAGAATTACGTACTTGATATAGGTGAGAATATGTAATAAGAGATATACTGATGATTGATTAACTTTATTCTGTTGTGCTGGAATGTTGTTAATGATGAAAAGGTAAAGTTTACGAATAAAATATTTGTCGTAACGATTTATTAATGATAAATAATTTAGGCTAATTATCACAACAACTGTATAGTTGTATAGTCTATGATACATTATAAGACTGCTGATGTATCCTATGCTGTTTTGTCACTATACATACATAGAGACATACTCACTATATGCAGCTGATTAATATTTGAATTTGGGAGTCTGTAGGCATTTAGTAATTTTTCAAGTTGATATTCATCATGGACTGACATCATTTAGAGGAACACTGGAAACCTGAGAGCACTGAACAACAGCTATTTCGACCTAGTATGAGACTCCTCAGCAGTATGCACTCACGACTCCGCCAGTCAAGGACCGAGTATTGAGTGTTTTTCCTCACGGCCACTGAACGATAACATTAGGTGATGGTCACTCTATATCATGAACTGACAGAAGTTGGAAATATGAACTACTGGATTCCAATCCAGTAGCTCAATGGTAACTTGCTGAGTTTGATCCCTGCTGGTGGGATCATGGGTGCGCACTGCTGAGGAGTCTTATACTAGGACGAAACAGGTGTCCAATGGCGAAAAATAATAGCAATACGGATTAATTACTGAGAGTGAAATGAAAACTCAGGCTGCGTCAAGGTTGAAATTAGCGGTCTTCAACTGCCGACAGACAAGGTCCTAACTTCCCTTCAATCATCGAGGTTTCTCCCTCAGCCGTCATATGATTGAATAATGCATAACTATCTCTTCATCATAGTCATACTGTCTACCGACCGAGTGAAGTTAGAACTTCGTTAGCAGTTAGATTTCATAGTTGAGTTAGTAGACTGCTAAGGTAGTAATCCAGTGACCTCTGACTTAAATCCTGGAGATACCCAGGGCTGTTTTTTTTTATTTCATCCTCAATCAACGCGCCATAACAATACTACTAGTCTGTCAAAAATTAATACTTGGCAACAAATTTGCTTTTTTTTTCTCTTTTTATCTACAAACTGTGACTAAGGTTTGGCTGGATTAACAGTTGGTCATCCAATGGATACTATAAAAGTTTTAATGCAAAATTCCACAAATAATCCAACATTCAGAGAAGTTACCTGTCTTATTAGTCAAACCGGTCTAGTGAGTTAATGGAGATATTATGTTAATTAATTGTAAATGACCATTGTTGAGTGTGTAAGACTTTTCATTGAATAACATAATACCATTCACTACAAACTCACAAGACTGACAATTAAAAGAAATTAAGATGTAGATTGATGAATTTTGCAGGTATACAAGACTGGTAGAAGTACCAAATAAAGTAAAACAGATTGTAAGCTCACTAATGATATAATAATTACCATGAAAATTGAAAAACTTGGGTAATTAAACACATGTCGACGGTATTACATAATAATATGAAGAAAATAAACTAGGGAGACAAATAATATTAGCTGGAGAAAGGGGACGATCCTTTCTTAACTAATTATAGTCCATTATCCTGTATCCAAGGTAGGGATGAAGTTCCTATAAATTCCTTCTGAATACAAAGATTCGATTTGAGAGGTATATATTATTATTTATTCGTCTCTTGGGTTCCTAGTGGAGTATAGGGCTTCAGTAGTACGTCTCCATTCCACTCTCTTATCTGCAATCTTTCGAACATCGCTCAACAACAGCCCACAACCTCTCATTTCTTCCTCACACCATCTCCTCCATGTCACCCTCACCTCGGACCCCCAAATCGTCGCTTCCCATCTCGGTTCCACTCGAGTGCCTGGCCTGGCGCGTGATGTCCCCGAATGGTCTTCTCAGTGCATGCCCAATCCATCTCCACTTCCTTCCAGTGCATATTTCTTGATTGAGTATTAGATTCTTGGTTGATTCGTTCCCAGAGTTCCTCCTCGCTTATTCTTTCTCGCCATCTCATCTGATCTTCAGTAACGAGTCAGTGTAGGTGGCAGTTGTTGATGAATGTCTGTTGTTTGTTGGAAATGCTTTTCGTAACGCGTCAAGTCTCTCACCCATCACACAGAAGCACTAACTTCACGTTGGTGTTGGAAATCTGCATCTTGTTCCACATGCCGAGTGCAGAAGATCTCCACACTGGTTTCAGGCTAATGAACGCCTGCCTTGCTTTTCCGATTCCGGCTGCTCTGACGTCCTCGTCTGTGCCTGTGACACCTGTAGTTGAAACAGTGCTGCCTGCCTAAATAGGTGAAAGAGGCTACTTCCTTTAAGTTTCTCCCGTTGATGGTGATTGGAGTTTGTTGTTGTTGGTTGCGTATCTTCATCACCTCTGTCTTCTATACCTTCACTTCAAGTCCCATCTTCGCTCCACTGCCACCTCTGCCAACTTGTTAGTTTTTGCCTGTAGATCTTCAAGTTTGTGTGACATTAGACGCAAGTCATCGGCGAAATCCAAATCTTCTAGGTTCTTGGCATGTGGCGTCTTCATATAGTTGTTGAATGAGGCTGATAAAGGTTTGTGGTATTCCGTAGTGTTGAAGCAACTGGCAAATTACTTCTCGGTCTTCTTCTCTGGGAGGTGAATATCTTCTATCAAGTGTTGTAAGCGAATAGATAGACAACGTCAAAGGTTGAATGCTATGAATATGCTTTACTCAGCCAAACTGAACGGTGTTCAGATATTCTGTGATGGATTTGAGTAATTGTAGACCTCATGTAACTAGTTCCAAAGAAGTGGTTAAATTCATGAATGCACATAGAATAAACAAAATCTAAAAGTTTAGAAGATAAAAAATAACTTTGAAATCCAATTTTCAAGAAAACAACTTTCGTACAGATTATAATCACTTTTTGTTTGACTTTTCTGTTCTTCTTCATGTGCTTGGTTGGAAATTTCATAGGATATCCATTCTTAGTAAGTAGGCTATGTACAAGTTCAAACTCCTCTTTTATGGTGTCAATGTAAAAAGCATCATTAAGTCCAATGGAAGACGAATTATGGCCAAAGTAGCTCAGTAGTTATATCTCTAGCAGCTGTCACTCTCTTTGGTGTGGTTTCTAACCCCCAAGAGAAATATACTTCCTTTGAAGTTACAGACAAAACTTTCTGATTAGTAATTAGAAGCCTAGGTTTTCACTTTACCTTTAATCATCACTCAGTATCGGTAATACCATTATGGAAAACTACAAATAAGCCAGGTCCTTTGAATAATAATAATAATAATAATAATAATAATAATAATAGTAATAATAATGATAATAGTAATAATAATAATAATAAACTACCTGTCAATATTTTGTGACTATATAAGATAAAATGACCTATTCATAACCAATTACTACAGTAGGTCAATTGGTCAAGACCAGATCGATGAAGGGTCAAATCTCTTATTTTCCGAATATATAATTTCAAGTTCATATGACTGATTCATAGTGAATCCATCACTTTTAGTAGTTTCATGTTGAATTTTTGTGAAACGATTCAAAAACAACCTTCAGTAATTAAGGTTTGGTGGTTCATTATCTAATATCATTTTTAAAATGTTATGTTCTTCACTGATTATTATCGTAAAACATATCAGTTGCTATGCAATCGTAGCAAAACTGTGACATGATGTCATCTTGCAGTATTTGTCTTCTGAATACTTTACTTACATTTATGATATATTAGTACTAGTGAAAAGAAATTCAAGAGAATAGCTGGCACTGTTAAACTCACATTTATTGATAGGGAGTGAAGTGGTGTGATGTGCCGACCATTTCACTTACGTGGGGAGTTGTATCAGCCGACCGAACGAGTTAGTTATTGACGAATTCTCAGCTCGGTATTTACCTAATTGCTTCATCTGTGGTGTCGACTAGCGAGATATGGTGGAGTGTAATCTAATCTGACGAAGCGACTACGGAATACTCCCAACAACCTTGTGGCTTGAATTCATCATGGATTGACATCAGTTGAAGGGACATTCGAAACTTGGAGGTACTGGACAGCCCTTTCTTCCGAGTATGGATCGGATTCCAAATTGATGACTCAATGGTAGCCACGGAACCTGGCTTCGATCTCTGGCGGCGGGGGGGGGATAGTGGGTGTGCACCACTGAGGAGTCACATCCTACTGGGACGAAACAAACGTCCATTGTTCCCAGGTTTCCAGTGTTTCTTCAACTGATGTCAATTTATGACGAATTTCCCCTCGAACCTTCAGATCAGATTTGTTATTGTCTACCTCAACTTACATATAAACACGATTATATAGTTTTTGGTAAATGAAATCATAGTGAAGAGAAATTTTCTCCTCTGATATCTTTGTTTTATGTCCTACTGGTGATTGTTAATTTAACATGTTAAATCGTAAGTAAATGACAAGTAAATTGTCAACACTATGCTGTAAGATTTAAAGGAAATTAATTAGCTTATCAGATTATTACTAATCTTGGTTTTGTAGTCATATAATAGTAGAACGTTATCTTCCTCATTACTAAGTTGATATAGTTAGGTGGATACTTTTATTCTTTGACGTTGAATTACTTCAAGAGTCCATTTTCTTGATACCTATAAGATCTATGTGAACAAGAAAATATCAGAAATGATGATTTAACCAGTATACATCCTGCAGTACTTGATAAAGTTTGTGCGTTATTTGCTGGTTTTCAACCAGTTTGAATATTTCCAATTTAAAGCAAATTATCCCTTTGATAAATTTAAACAGCGTAATGAGAAGATGATGATCATTTCATACACATATGATGTAGTAGCGCTAAACACTTCAAACAATCTGATCATACACACCAATCAGTAAAACTGTTTAACACATGAAAATCCAAGCAAAATCCTCAATGAAGTCAATTGAAAACACAAGAATAGAAGGGAAGTGAGAAAAAAACAAAATCTTTATCACGTTACTCTTGATAGAAAATCAATACTATCAATGTAGGCTGAAAGTAAGTACAAATTGTTTTTGTAGACATAAAGCAGGGGGTTTGAATTTACAGATGGCTAAATCTTCAATAAATTTAAGCACTCGGCTCTGACCACTTTTATGTAGTACTTTAAAGGCTGTTTTCACACCTACTCTATCAATAGTTTCTTGCGTATGTTTGGAGATAGATGAAGATGGATGTTTGTCACCTGTAATTATTGATTCTGTTTAGGCCGTTTGTTTTTAAAGCTGGTTAGGTATATGTTCAATCATCTTGAAATGTTTCATATACACACATACATGTAAATTGATAATCACTGCTGAAAATCATATTGGCCTTATTTGTAAAATAGAGACGCATAACCGTCTACCTATTTTAGTCATATTACTAAGTCGACAGGGGGATGGCTCAGTCAGAAGGAAGTCTTTGTGAACAGGCGATATCTTAGTTTCCACAGCTATAGATAAGTTCAATAGGAGATCACTTCAGTTAGGTGTTTACTCAACAGAATAGATGACATCTGCACCGATGACATGAAGAAAGAATAAATCAAGTTGCTGATGACAACACTGATACAGAGTGACTACACGTTAAAATGTCATAGCATGTTCAAAACCTAAATAGGATTGAAAGTAGTCAGCGTTCCTTTCCTAAGAAAAATGTTTCCACCTCATTGTCATTTAGAAAACGATTCACATAGCTTTACTGTAGAAAAAAGGCTTACATCAGCCACCTGTGAAACGTATTATGCAGCCGAAGCCATCCTTGTAGAGAACACTAAGTCTATATTAAAACACAGACTGAAAACAACACCAAACGACTGCATCACATCCTACTGTGTTTATCAATTTACATGTATGTTTAGACATCTATACTAAGCGAGAAGTAGTCTTGATGATCATGTACCTAAGTGACTTTAAAAACGAACGTCCTCAATGGAGTCAATAATTGCAGGTGACAAACGTCAATCTTCATCTGTTACTAAACACATGGTAGAGACCTTTCACAGGGTAGACATGAAAACAGCCTTTAAAGTACTACATAAAAGTGGTCAGAGCCGAGTGCTTAAATTTATTGAAGATTTAGCCATCTGTAAATTCAAACCCCCTGCTTTATGTCTACAAAAACAATTTGTACTTACTTTCAGCCTACTTTGATAGTATCGATTTTCTACCAAGAGTAACGTGATAAAGATTTTGTTTTTTTCTCTCTTCCCTTCCTATTCTTGTGTTTTCAATTGACTTCATTGGGAATTTTGCTTGGATTTTCATGTAGTAAATAGTTTCTACGGATTGGTGTGTGTGATCAGATTGTTTGAAGTGTTTAGCGCTACTATAAAGAGCATGTTTCAGATGATCTTCATGTTTTCATCAGGCTGTTTGTAATAAATGTGAATCCTTCGCCTATTTCTTTTTGTGTATTTCTCAGTACAACTTCACAACAGGATGATTGTCATGAATAGTTTTAATGATACTGATACATTTTGCTGAATTTATTCATTGAGTAGGTAATCAGATGATGTTTATAGAGTAGTAGTACTTGGATGATTCAACTAGGAATTCAAAGTAGAATCCAACATTTGACCACTTAGCAATATAATGATGCCTATTCCGAAGTAATAGAATATAAAACTGAATTGGCTGTCACGAAGCGAACTAAATTTAATCCTTCGCTATTCCTAATAGTGATGAATATACATGAGAGTTTCTCGACTGTGTAATGGTAAACTTTGTACACTTTGGTACACTGTTAATCTCTTATAATTTTTTTATCAGATACTTCGTGCTCACTGCGAGATCTGACTCCATTAGATTCGGTTCAGTTTTTATAGTCTGTGATACGAATGAACAGATCCACATAAAAAGCTCAAAATCTATAATGCTTTCCATAACCAACTGTGTTGCTTCGAAACTTCGTGGGAAAGCACATGAACTTACGTGTTTACAACATCAAATTCATGGAAGAAGCAAAATGAATAGGATATTCCCTTGCGGAAACCCTAGAAATAGTCAAGGTCATTGTATATATATAACCTTTGTATTTTGTGTATATTCTAACGTTGCAATACATTTTCCATTTACCAAAGTACTGAGCAACCTGTTATCTCCGTTACACAACCCAGCTTCACTTCAATCACTTGGGGTTTTATTCAGCTATCATGTGGTAAATGAATGATACGTGATTTTTTTATGGATTGCCTTCACAATAACACTGCACAACCAAGTCTTTTGGTTTCAATCCGAGTGGAGTTTACTGTACCATAATGTTTCTGAAGGTTATAACTTCTAAAACTGTACTTTACAAAAAGAAAACAATTGGAAAAGGTTAAGCAAAAGAAGAAGGCTCTAGAAATGACACATTTTGTAGTGATAATTCTTCTCTAGGTATTACTAGTTGTTCATGGATGTCTTAACATTTAATTAGATGACTTCAGAATATCATCCTGAGATATAGATCTTCTCTAACATCATAGGGATTAACTTGATAAAATACTTTATACTGTGTGATGATTGAAGTCCAAATTATGGCCTCAGATTGTAATGAAACCGATAAAATACTTTATTTTCATCTTGACTATCTGAAATAGCCATTGTCTGGAAGACTAGTATTCATACTGGGTGATCATTGAAGACGGAATGAAAGTTTGATCCATGGCCGAATTGGAACCAGCCATCACCGGGTTACCAGTCCGAACTATCTACGATATCCGGCTACTGACTAAATTTTCATTTCATTTTGATCATCATGGGTTTTGCCCGACTACCTTATGAATTCATGACATGTTACTACCGGTTGATCGTATTCACACTGACTACCTAGTCATGACTTCTCCTCCCAATCCAAATCCAACTGAATTAGAGAGAGTGAGAGGTAGGAACGCGTCACGAATCCACATGGTAATCGGTTGGAACCCATGGTGGTTGAGACGACATACAAATCTAGTCAGTAGTCGCACCTCGTAGGTCGATTGGTAGAGCATCGAGCCAGTAACCCGGTGGTGGGTGGTTCCATTTCGGCTGCGGTCGGAATTTTCACTTCACCTTCAGTTATCACCCAATAAAAATACTTTATTTTGAGGGAGTTGTGGAGATTTGGAATTATTTCAAGTTGTTATTCATCGTGAGCTAACAGAAGTTGGAAATATGGAGCATCGGATTCTGACCCAGTGGCTCAATGGTAACGCGCTGGCCGCGGAACCTGAAGGTCGCGGGTCCGATCCCTGCTGGTAGGGTCGTTGGTGCGCACTGCTGGGGAGTCCCATACTAGGACGAAACAGCTGTCCAGTGCTCCCAGGTTTCCTTTGTTCCTCCAACTGATGTCAGTCTACGATGAATAACAGCTTGAAAAAATACTTTATGTTGAAATGAATTTTTTTACTATTCTATGTTTTTTCACCTTCTAATGTATATTATTTAGAATCGATTTTTCACTGGCCTTGCTATTCCATTTTATTCATATGGATTTATTAACGCTGTAATTTTTACTGTATATAAAAAGTCACTGAGTATATTTGATTCAACGGGTCAATCTCCATTAGCATCTGCAATGGCTGGTGCTATATCCGGAACTGTACAATTAATACCTGCTGTCCCAGTTGAAGTTATTAAAATACAACAACAATGCCATTTAGGTAGGTTCATGAATAGTATCAAACAGTGTTTTTTTTAATATCCTACAAAAGTTTTCAGTTTTCAGTACAAAACTCGTTTGATCTCAGTAACCAGTGTTCCGTATCATTTATAAACTTCCTCTTTGAAATGTTATCTCAAAATTGATTGACTTTGTGAAAGAGTATATGGTCTAACAGGTTTACGATAGAACTAAACTTTAGTGACGGCCAATCACATTCAAGTATGCGCTGACCAATCGAAATCAAGAATATGAAGGACAAAGTGATCATTAAGGGAAATGGTACTTTATTTAAAATTTATAAACCGGTTTTATTTGAGAAATCAAGATTTTAGATTTTAAATAACTTTTTCATCTTTGATAGCATACCACTGTCTATACTGCCTCTAGTGTAATTCAGACAATATCATTTAATTGATATATGAGTCTTAAGAACTTTCTGGGACGATTCAACATATTTTCAAAGTTGTTTGTGTAAACTCCAGTCAAGGAAGTGCTTTTTGTGAACAATAGCTTAGTGGGGGTAACCTATTTTAGATAGAGGCATATATAACTTTCGCGCGTTCATCTATACTGTGATACCTAGTGCCATGTATTTTCGCATGGCTACTAGGACAGGTTTTTTTTGATCGATCCTGTATTCACTGAAAATGTCCTTTCTTCGTATTTCGGTTGTATATACCATGATAAATGTATGCATACATACATTGTGTAAGTTTAAATTTTCCAGTCTTCTTAGGGCATATTTAAGTTTCACAACATGACATTTCAACCATATTACCTTCTCCAATAAATTTTACATACAATTTGCAACTTAAGTTTCGTCATAATTTATCAAAGGTTAGTGCGGCGTCAACAACACAGTAAATGGACGTAACGAATACCTTGAATAAATTATCTCCAATCTGATTGGTTGTTCTCAAGGTTTCCCATCAGTAAACTTTAGTTCTACCTTATTTGGAAGAATCAGCTAAAAGGATTGTTTTCACTGAAATTATTCTTAAGGTGTGCATTCATGTACGCATATATGATATTTCAATACTGCAATCCATAAGGAAAATTAACTTCAAATAATAGAAGATTGAAATAGCAATAATGATGGCGATAGTGGTTAGTATTGGAATCCAGTGGGAGGCAAGTACACCCAGCTGACGAGTACTCGATAGGATGAAATGCACATCTCGATTCCAATGTTATTCACTTCCATCGTAACTACCAAACTGAAACTACAGGTAATATCGAGGCATTCGTATAGGAACCCATATACCAATAGAGACTGTTCAATCAGGTCCAGTTATGGTCATAATAATGTTGCTAGTTGATAACGTAAAGGTTGAATGATTACAAAAGGTAGATAAAGACAAAGACTGTGCGTGCTTCTTTTTACAAACAAAGGTCAGGCTTCAATCCACGGACAGCCGAGCCCTGGGCTGTTTTTAAAAGTTGAAAACGAAGAAAAGATGAGTGAGTGTTTGAACGAATTCGACTGACAACATTAAAATTATTGTTCGGCTCTGTTGAATGGTTGGAATCCATTAAATGTTAAAGGATAGAACCTCTAATACATTTATAAGAATGATTTTAAAGGTGGATGACTTTAAACGCCACCCTAACTTATGCCAAACTAACCAATCAGGTTGTAGTATTTTGGCTTGGAAGACGATTCTTTCATAGAATATAGAAATGTGATTGGTTGTTTCATCAGTTGATAAGATAGCCTTTAAAATCACAATAAAAATAAGTGTCTTCGGTTATTGAAATTGGTTTTAAATTGTACCACTTAGGACTGTTATTCAGTCAGTGACTCCCACTGTGTATCTTAAAGTACAGTGAACAGGCTTGTAATTTACTGCATCCCCCTAATGATAAATTAACTGGCGTAAAAATGGAAATTTATTCATCCATTATTCTTAAATTTATGAAATTTTACAGGATAGAAACTCATCCGAATGAAACTACAGGTTAAAACCATCCCAGCAACTAATGAAACCAACAATTTAGTTCCTTCATTTTTTAAGCAATTAGTTCCGCTTATAAACTTTAACGAAACAATAACAAGAGAGAAATTGTCTGTACCGTGTGATGCATTTGAGTAGCCCATTTCGAACAATCTGATCACTCATGTACTTATCATAGGTATTCATATGAAAATTCATAAAGCTGTAAGAAGTGAGGTCAAGTAGAAAAGCTGAATTTAAGGCTAAAATAAAAGTGAAAATCAGTAGAACGTAAGCAAATAGTAAACTGAACTTTGTTTTTAAAGTTGAATTAACTAAGGCGATATAAACTTCAATAAATTTAAGAATCCATCACCAAGACGTTTTGTATATATATATATATATATATATATATATATATATATATATATATATATATATATATATATATATATATATATAAAGGAAGTGACAGCGTCAATTCTGTGACCTGAGCTAACGATGCGTTTCGCAATGGAACAACTTGCGTTCAGATGGTTCAATTTGCTTTTGAAGGTACCTTAGAATATGTTCTGAGTAGCTAAATTTCATAGATCTATGAGTTCTGTCCATGTACGTGTCACCAGATGTACATTCGAATGTGATATTGTCGTTCACATATTGTAAGGGTTTGAGAGAGTATACACGTTTGATGGTTTCTGTTAATCGGATCCTTAGGTGCACAGTAAGTCCTTCTAATATCAGGGTCTCTGCTTAAGGATTGGACTATGAGATTCACTTTTCTACGGAAGATTTGTGAAGACATTTTTCTTCGGAACAAAGTGAAGAACAGGTTTCGTACTATGGTTGCTTTGTTCTGGTTATTATATTTTGATGGGTAATTCTTTTCCAAAAGTGTTTCAGTCAATTTTCTTGTCTGGATTGACGTTACTACTTCCTTTAGATCTATTTATAAAACGTGTTGAGAACAGATCCTTAAACTTCTGTCTTTGAAAACAATTTGCTTTGACAATAAATCTCCCTTGATGAATTCAACTCTGAATATCAAGGTCGCATGAACTACTTTTTTTTCGTTCTACTCATCTTGATTATTATTTTAGCCTTTAATTCAGACTTCCTACTTGACTTCTTTTCATATCTTCATGCCTCATCTTTTTATAACCATCTATATGAATTTTTAGTGTTATTGCTTGTATTACACCGTCGTTGATAGGACCGAATTGATCAGCCTCTGTTGGCATATGGGCTCCTGTACGGATGCCTCGATATGGCCTGTCTTTTAACTATGTTTAGTAATAATGGGCAGTGGCTAGCAGTGGAATCCAGGATGCGCATTTCATCCTATTTGGGACTCGTCAGCTGGATGTACCTGCTTCCCAGTGAGTGATGTTGTTCCCACCAGGACTCGGACTCGGGAGCGATCGCTTCAAACGCCAGCGCCTTATCCACTATATATATATATATATATATATATATATATATATATATATATATATATATATATATATATATATATATAATATATATATGAATACCTATGACAAACACATGTATAATCAAATTATTCGAAATGTGTATTACACGGTACAGACAATTTACATTTTCTTCATTTTGTCTCGACAGCCTATTTTGTGAAATCAATCAATCAACTAATCAAATTGGCTTTTTCAACAGTTACTTCAGTTACCTTTAAAGTCACTCCTAACTGGTCTATCCTACATGCTTGGGACATAAATTTTTTGACCACTTGATCCATATAATCGTATCACACTTTGTCTGACTCGTATTTACACTTCTTGATTATGTGAACATAATCTCCACTGCCTGACTGACTGACTCACCTACCCACTCACTCACTCACTCACTCATTCACCTCGTATCTTGCGTCTTTGACCTTTAGTCAGATATGAAGGAAGAATATTCTTTCCAATTGTTGTAAAATCAAATTGTTATCATATTGTTAGCCAAATCTGCTGCAAATGTATTTTGAATGGATATAAAATTATAATTACAACTAGATTGTTTATGTTTATGGAAAACAATGTGACCAGCAATGATATGTGCGTCGGCTGCGGTGATGAGTGTTCACTGTAAATGTAAAATTCACTGCCAATTAGGTATATTGAATGTGTAAAGCATACAGAAGAAAAATGGATAGTAAAGTTTAAGGTTGTATTGTTTCAAGTTAGTGATGAGTGCAAACACTGATATGAATTTACTTAATATAAGGGTAAAACTTGTAGTGGACCCAAAGAATGTCAAGTAAACCAAAATGACAAACTACGTATAATTTACAAGAAAAGAGATTTTATGATACACGTGTATGAAAAGTTATACGTTATAGTACAAAATAGTATTGTCAATGTTATAGATAATCATGGGTTACTTGCAGGTTATTTCTTCGGTATCGTCCACTACAATTTTAGGATACTCCAGAGATCAGAAGGTGATATTTGTTGTCTCTCTGCTGTGGTCATCGGTTGGCTTGATTGTCGTAATATTTGGAAGTAGGATGAGAAGTCCTGTAAATTCACAAGACAATCAGTTATTATACACGATAGGCATTAGTCACGGAGCAGAAGTCCGAATGGTTAGAAGCACATTATATTTCCACGATTCGCAGCAGCAAAAGATGCGATTACCGCCACAACCGAAAAAGTGTGTATATAAACAACATTCGTTTTTACAAGTATTAGGAATAATGTACAGAATGTGTAAAAGTAACGATGAAAAGGAAATATTGCTTATAGTTGAAGTAGTTTATACACAATTGTATGCAATCTCCACAAACTTGTTCACTGTGATAGAATGTAATTCCATTTTTATTGATTTATTAAACTTACTACACAGTGAGGGAACAGTATTGTTTACTGGATTACTTTTCGGACATAATTTATTGTCCTCATAGTCACATCAAGATAACTACACAACTTTGAGCAATCCTTTGTATAGCACATATGTAGAATAGGCATGGTTTCTTCACACATAAATTCACTAGTCAGCGTAATCCAATTCACCTATGAATTAGAAAATATTGAAGGGGAATTAACTATATTAGATTGAAGAATAAAACGGAAACAAGGTGGGAAATTCGATACTACTGTCTACAGAAAACCTTCACATTCAAATCCTTACTTAGATTTCAAATCATCTCACCCTATGTCAGTTAAAGTTGGCTTAGTACAGTGTCTAAGTAACAGGGCCAATAATCTTACTAGTGAGTCAGAAGATCTAAGACAAGAAACCAGATACATTAAAGACACCTTACTCATCAACAATTACCCTCCTAAATTAATTGATAAGTTCCTTAGGAATTGTAAGAAAAGTATTGATAACACAGTTACTGATAGTGGTAGTAATAGCAATAGTAGTGGTAATAATAGTAGTGGCAATACTGTGAAAGAGAATTCAAAACCTCTACAGTATTACCATACAAAGAAGGCACCTCAGAAACACTACATAGGATTCTCAATTAGGCTGGTTAGGATTAGAGTGGTACTTAAACCTACAAACTCTTTAAAAATATGCTTTGTAGGTTAAAAGATCCTATTGATCCAGTTAAGCAGAATAATTTAGTTTCCGAAACCCCCTTTCAACGACTGCGAGGTGAAATCCATAGATGAAAGTAGTCGATCAGGGTCAATTAGGCCCTCAAACACGAAAACCTAGCTAGGTTACAGTTGGTAGACCCTGGTAAAGTAAGGAATTTAGAATAATAGTCAATCACAGTTATTCATGCAATTACACGCAACCTCATAATACGATGGGACAGGGTGAAAACCCTTGAAACTAACATAACAGGTTGAAGGGAGAGATTGACAGCTGAATCTTTGATTATCGAATCAACACCTAATATAACATGGAACAGGAATGACTTAGCAACTGTTACGGATATATGAGAAATCTTACTACCCATTTTACAAAGGGGGTGAGGAAATTAAGACTATACAAAGAATATTTCAAAGTTGCGTAGTTATCTTTATGACTATGGAGCAATAAATTATGTCCGAAACTTAGTCCAGTAAACAATACTGTTCCTTCACTGTAGGTAGTAAATCTAATAAATCAATAGAAACGGAATGAATTTACTTACTAGAGGTGCAGAAGTGGAGTGAATATATCATTATAAAATGGTCAGAATGTAAAGCGTTTCAGATAATAAAAATGTGAGACATTTTAACAGGAATATTTAACATTTATTAGAACAAGAGGGGAAAAGCATAGGAAAAACTTTGATTTTTAAAATGAAGACAGGAAGAATGAAAAAAGAGTGAAAACATTAAGAAAGAAAGAAAGAGGTTGAGGGAATACTGTCTAGTCAATAGAAAGGCAAGGGAGGAGTGAAGCTTGAATGTGTCATTTTTGAATACAAAGTTCATGCTTAGTTCATCTTGTAGTTATAACCTCTGTTAACTGGAGTATGGGTAATGCCAGATGGTTGAGTCTTCAGAACGCGGTGTAGTACAGTCAAAGCTGTGCTTACTTCTATTTGGTGTCCTGTATCTATTAGATGTGTAAGTATAGAACTTCTAATGGATTTGATTTCACCCTTTACCAACCATAGGGATACATGTTGCCGTAGCCTGAGACGGATGGAAAAGTTGACAATAAAAGTTCTGGTGTCACGCTTCATCCATGAGCTAGTACCATAAGTTTTCAAATTCAACTCATAATTATGAGTCGAAGGTGACTGTAAACGATCTAATGGTCATTAATATATTGAGCATATATACACATACTAAACAACCGCATTTTACGGAATCCTTCTTCAAGGTACTTCCGTGTTCCACAACTAGCCATGTTTTCAACATAAACGTCAAATGTATGAAGATTCGTCACGATTAAAATATAAATTCTATACTTTAAATACGGAGAATGTCAGTTTCTCGTGTTCCTTAACAGTGGGCTTCAATTCGCTAAGAGTTGCATCAACCTCTGAGTAAAACATCTCCATAAACAAATTTTCTACACTAGCATTCACAACGAAACTTGATTGAGGGTTGGTATGACATTTTATATCCTCTCTGAAATTTTAACAGTCAGTTACATCAGTAACTGAGACAGAAGTTTCCATTCAATAACTGACACCTTTGAACAGGGAGAAGGGAAAAGGACCTTTTCAAATTTTGAAGAATTCTTCTTGCCCTGCTAATTAACCGGTCAGACGCCTCAATAATTTTCCCACTAGTGTGTATATGTGTTTATAAGTGACTTACTTGATGTCACAAAATCGTATATAAGAGGAGATTGTTTCATTGTTTCACCGCCTTAGTTAGTTATTTCTTGTGTAAGATGATTGGAGGCAATCGATTCAGAATCCCTACTTGACCTAGGTTTCATAATTATTAAGACTGGTCAGTAAGGCATATCTGTATTTTCGAGGAAAAGTGATGTCCTTTGAAAGATTTGAACAGGTGTTAGTGACTGTTACTGTCAGATGTGTTATCATTTAGCTATTCGGGTGTCGACTGACCTCCTTCAGGATTACATTAAGTATACTGACTGGTTATTGGAACAGCAGTTGATATTATGTTGTATATTCCTGAGTGGCATCATCAAATTCTATCGATTATCTTAGAGTAGTAAGTGACATAGATTCAAATCTTATAGGTGACATCAATTCCCATGAAGTTGAGTGCCAACAAGTAAGAATTCCAAGTTCATGGCTTCCTACAGATTTCTTTGAATCATCTAGCAGAAAGTGTATTGATTACGTTTGCTAAAAATCTTCGGTATTTTTGAAGAAAGGGATTTAACACTAGTTTGTATGTTTAATTTCCATACAATTTGTTTTAATGATTATAAAAAGTGTCCATACAACTAACTTACTTACATCCTGTATAAATTTGGGGGATTAAATATCAAATAGGTGGTTGAAAGTAGAAAACTCTAGATTTAAGTTTGATGCTTGTCATCACTCACTCACTGTTACATCAAAGATTTAAAATGGATTCAGTGAATACTACAGTCAGTAAAGTCAACATCATTTTCTTTCAGTTATGATTACCGTCTAATAAACTTGTTTAATCATTGGATAGGAAGGTATACTATGTCGTCTAGTTCTGTCTATAAACTGAATTCAAATGATTAAAAACTTCTATGTTTGTTTATTTGTTCATCAGGTTGTCAACAATTGACTTCTAGAGAATGTATTCGTACAATACTACGTGTACAAGGATTTAGTGGATTTTATTCAGGAACAATGATTCAAGCTTTTCGTGATATTCCAGGCTTTGCTACTTACTTTTATACTGCTGCTGAATCAATAAAAATGGGAAAATATATTGGATTATCAACATTTTGGTCAGCATTTATTGGTGGTGCTATAGGTGGAACATTATCTTGGTGTGTATCATTACCATTTGTAAGTTAGTTATTTGATAAGAATTTCTAATCAACTGAATTTATCATCAGCAAGTGTATACAATTGCATACATTGCAAAGGATCTATTAAACTGAATTATTCTGCCTAATTGGATCTATCGAATGTTTCAAGACTGGTAGACATTAATAAAATAAAAGATGTGAAAAAAAGCCTAGCTATTGCTATACAAGCGCTGTCACACAACAGGCTGGCACAGAGTGACAGAATTAAAAAGTAACATAGTTGGGTGTAGGGAGGATATGATAATCAAATCTTCTTTATTACTGTAAGCGTAAAACTTGGCCACTGTGATAAACTATAATTTCATGTAAATTATTTACTTGATATAGACAGCATACAGTGAGTGATACAGTATTATTTAGTGGATGACGTTTTGAGCACAGATTATCACCGCTCATAATTGCATCAATGAAATCACACTACTTTTAACAGTCAATTTTTATAGTTTTTGTTTTCCATATCTCTGATATAGCTGTTACGTCATTTCTATTACATATGGTGTGTGTTGATTGATTCGATGAACAAATATTCAGTAATCAGTCTCTCTCTCTCTCTCCACCTATTTATATTGGGTTGAAGTATGGTGGTTTCATCTCATCCAGCCTATTGTGTGGTTATTTGTTATTGCACGCATTGCAATGGCCGAGTTTACCTTTGGATCTTAGTCAGGTTTGTCATTCTATACTTAGTTGGATTCCTATGTTTGGCTATTCTAACTCACCCCGACCACCTATTTCCACCTGTATACATCACCTTACAGTCATTGGTACATTCGATTATTTTGCTGAATTGGATCTATCGGATCCTTAAGCCAGCTGACAAAGAGTATCTCTGAGTCAGTTCATTGTTATTATTTGTCCCTTGGGTTCCTAGTGGAACATACAGCTTCAGTAACACATCACCATTTCATTATCTTCTCTCCATTCTTTTCAAGCTGCCACCACCAATGCCCACAACCTCTATTTCTTCCTCACACCATCTCCTCCATGTCACACTCACCTCGGATGCCCAACTCGTCGTTTCCCCTTCCAGTTTCACTCGACGGTGCGGTCTGGCCTCGGGTGTGATGCCACCAAACTGTCTATTCAATGTGTGTCCAATCCAATGCATCTCCACTTTGTTCTTCTGCATATTTGTTGGGCGATAGGTTCTTGGTCGGTCGGTCGGTTGGTTGGTTGGTTGGTTGGTTCGTTGCCAGTTCGTAGGCTTAAATTTCACCCCATTTCCACGTTTGTTGAGAATACTGTGTAAAGTTTCTCATGTACCTTTCTCATAGGGTAACACAATAAAGCCTGTGAACTCTTTTCTACTCACCTTGTCCTTACCATTCCTATTCGTAATACTGTTATCATTTGCTTTCTTACATGTTAGTACGAATTTCTAAGTAAACTGTGGAGGATAATTATTAACTGTTAGTGTTCCTTTTATGCGATTGAGTTCCTTGTTGTAGTGTAGTCCTTGCAGTGATTAGTCAGTTTTGTAGCTCTATCATTTAGATATTTGAGTAAGCCTGCCTTCATTGACTGACATTGGATGAGATGACTTGAAGTGTATATAAGATATGTGTTAGAATGTGTGAGTTTCGTGTAGACGGTAGTATCCAAACCAGTGTATGTGCTTCATTTTATTCTACAATCCAACATTGTCAATTCTCCCTGTGCATTTCCTACCTGGTCAATATGTTCCGATTTCAACAGTCCTCAAACATATAGGAAATTCCTTTATTCATTCTGTTAAAAATATAACCTAGAATACTTGGGTTTATAAAAATTATATGATAATCCTTGAAAAGCATCCAGTTACATTTTTATGCTGTTCCATATTAGATTTGTTTATATAATATAGCCAGCATACAGTATGATAGAGAATTACTTACTGGATGACGTTTCACACAGAGCTTACGACTCATAATCATATCAAATACGACTACTTATATCACAAAGAAGGCAATAGAATCCGAATTATATCTAGAAATCATGTCTTAAAGTTGTAAAGTTATCTTGATATGACTATAGGCAATAAATTATCTCTGAAACATAATCCCCTATTGAATAATATTATCTCACTAGACTCGAACCTTAAATTACAGTTATTATATACTTGAGACAAATGAAACAATTTATGTTTTTCTTATTTTCTTTTAATATTTCTATTAGGATGTCATTAAAACAAGACAACAAGTTGTTAATGGAATATCAACTTCAAGTGTTATCACACAATTATTGAAAGAGAATAATTATCAAGTATTTTTTCGTGGATTTCATGTTGTCATTATAAGAGCATTATTAGTCAATGCGTGTACATTTGCTGTCTATGAAACTGTTTGTGAATATCTTAAAAAATATTGACAAATTAATAACAATTACTTTTCTAGTGAATTATTCTTTCTGATTATTAATTGATTCTTTTATTGACAAGATTACTCAATTATTATTAATTTTATAAAATGAAAGGCTATTTAAAAACTCAATTTTTATAAAGTTGATCAAGATTTGATTCTTTCTGAAGATGATATGAATGAGAAATGATTGATACCTGAGTAATAATTACTGCAAAGCAAAAAAGATTGGTTGGTTGGTGTAGGGGGTGGGGGGAAATGCTCAATATATGTGTAAATCTTGATCACTGTCGTAAAATTTAATTCCTTATTAGATTTGTTTATTTGATATATAACATACAAGGAGTGATAAGGTACTATTTACTTGATGACGATATTTCAAGCATCAGTTATCATTGTTCATAATCATATCAATGTGTAATTACACAACACTTTCAACATATTTGATTTCTATAGTCCTATCACTTTAGACTCACTGCTTTTATTCCAAATAAAAATTTCCACATCTCTGTTATAGATGTTGCATCATTCCTACTACATGTATTGGATGATGGCTGATTTGATGAACAAAGATTCCGTAATTCATCTATCTTCCTCTCTCCCTCTCTCCACCTATTTATATTAGGTTGAAGTACAGTGGTTTTATCCCATCCAGCCTATTGTGTCCTTAGATGTTGATGCATTCATTGCAATATCCGACTTCCCTTCTAGATTATCGATCTTAATCAAGACTATCATTCTATACTTAGCTGAATTCCTATGTTTGGCTATTCTAACTCACCCCGAACAGTTTGTTTGACCCATGTACTTGACCTCGCAGTCATTACATGGAATGTGGTGGATTACATTATTTTGCTTAACTGGTTTCATCTGATGCTTAATCCAGCCGGCAAAGCTTATCTTATATGGCACTGGAGGAGGTCGGAAATCAACTAAGTATTGATTCAGAAATTACTCACAGAACTAAGATATCGGTTGGTGAGATCATATCAGGCGTACAGTTGTGCGTCGTCTCTACAGTCTTCAAGTTTGAGGACAACATATATACATAGACAAACAGAAGGAGTACCAATGGCATAACTAGTATCTTCAATCGTAGCAGATATATTTATGCATAGTTCGAAAAAATGGCATCTAAGATAAGGTGGCGATATATAGATGACGCATTCACTGTGTAAAAATCGGAACATATTAACAATTTCCTCATACATATAAACTCAGCTGTAAGCGAAATCCATTTCACTTATGAAGTAGAAAATGCACAGGGAGAATTGACAATGTTGGATTGTAGAATAAAATGAAGCACATACACTGGTTTGGATACTACCGTCTACACGAAACTCACACATTCTAACACATATCTTATATACACTTCAAGTCATCTCATCCAATGTCAGTCAATGAAGGCAGGCTTACTCAAATATCTAAATGATAGAGCTACAAAACTGACTAATCACTGCAAGGACTACACTACAACAAGGAACTCAATCGCATAAAAGGAACACTAACAGTTAATAATTATCCTCCACAGTTTACTTAGAAATTCGTACTAACATGTAAGAAAGCAAATGATAACAGTATTACGAATAGGAATGGTAAGGACAAGGTGAGTAGAAAGGAGTTCACAGGCTTTATTGTGTTACCCTATGAGAAAGGTACATGAGAAACTTTACGCAGTATTCTCAACAAACGTGGAAATGGGGTGAAATTTAAGCCTACGAACTGGCAACGAACCAACGAACCAACCAACCGACCGACCGACCGACCAAGAACCTACCGCCCAACAAATATGCAGAAGAACAAAGTGGAGATGCATTGGATTGGACACACACTGAGAAGACAGTTTGGTGGCATCACACCCGAGGCCATGCCACACCGTCGAGTGAAACTGAAAGGGGAGACGACGAGTTGGGCATCCGAGGTGAGTGTGACATGGAGGAGATGGTGTGAGGAAGAAATAGAGGTTGTGGGCATTGGTGGTGACAGGTTCAAAGAATGGAGAGAAGATAATGAAATGGTGACGTGTTACTGAAGCTGTATGTTCCACTAGGAACCCAAGGGACAAATAATAACAATGAACTGACTCAGAGATACTCTTTGTCAGCTGGCTTAAGGATCCGATAGATCCAACTCAGCGAAATAATCGAATGTACCAATGACTGTAAGGTGATGTATACAGGTGGAAATAGGTGGTCGGGGTGAGTTAGAATAGCCAAACATAGGAATCCAACTAAGTATATAATGATAGTCTTGATTAAGATCGATATTTTGGAAGGGAACTGGGATATTGCAATGAATGAATCAACATCCAAGCACACAATAGGCTGGATAGAATAAAACCACTGTACTTCAACCCAATATAAATAGGTGGAGAGGGAGAGGAAGAGAGAGGAAGAGAGATGAATTACGGAATCTTTGTTCATCAAACCAGCCATCACCCAATACATGTAGTAGGAATGATGCAACATCTATAACGGAGATGTGGAAATTTTCACTTGCGATAAAAGCAGAGAGTCTAAAGTGATCGGACTATAGAAATCAAATATGTTGAAAGTGTTGTGTAATTGCACATTGATATGATTATGAACAATGATAACTGATGCTTGAAATATCGTCATCAAGTAAATAGTACCTTATCACTCCTTTTATGTTATAAATCAAGTAAACAAATGTGATATTGACAAATGTTTAGTGTATATGTGTTATCTGCTAGTTCAATAATAGTCAAGTATTCTTTAAGTTCTACTTACCTTCCCATAGTGGTTGAATAAATCACATGAATCAATAATTTTCTAATACAGTGGAATATGTTTACTACTTATAACACTTTTCTTAGTATTCATTGGATTGATTTCAGTCTGTAATGGAAGTTACTTCCATTAATTTTTAATTGACTGAACATCTATTTTAACTTTTTAATGTGTAAATATGATCAGAGAAAGAACAGAAGTTGTTTTACTTATCTATTTCACATGGAATGGATTGAAATTCCTTTCGATATTAACATTTCAATCCAATCTACATACAATTATAGTTGTATGTAATTGAATGTAAACATTACGATTAAACTTTCCAATGGATTTATTATCTATTTATTATCAACAACTTTCAATTTAGCCAAGTTTGCGTAGTTCGGTGGTTTAATGAACTTCAAATGGTAACTGTCACTTTATGATCATTAAATGAATTATGTAAAACATATAGGAAAACGTAGATTTTCAGCTTAGAGTTTGCATGACAATCAGAATCACTAGTTGGAGACTTTTTCTGAAATAGTTGAATAACGATTTCATTGAAGGAGATACATTTCATATGTTATCTCCATTATATTCATGATATCGGATTTCGTTAGTGAAATTTTCTTGATGCTATAGTTGGTTAATGTTTTTGACCTCTGTTGGCAATATGGACTCCTACTAGTATACCTTGATACTAATAGGATATTCAGTAGGTTTTAGTCCATTTTGTTGCTAGTAGTGGAATTTAAAACGCGTGTTTCGTTCTATTTGGGACTCGTCAGCCGAATGTACATGCATTCCAGTGAGTAATGTTGTTCCCCGTGAAAGTTGGACCCATTGCTTGAAACACCAAAGCGTTATCCACTAGGCCACCGAAGGTTCTTAGAACTTTCTGTGAGTTTTCATTTTTGTTGCTTCATATTTCAATATGGTGACTTGAAATGTTACAAGTTGTTTTATCTCAGAGTATTACCAATTTGATGTTGATATTAGATGACTGACTGGAAACATAGAAGAAAAGGATTTGAGAAGAAAGTCAAGAACATTATTGATTGTTACTTCATTGTTAAATGCAGAAGATGGAATCCCTAAAACGTTGGTCAACATCAATTGTACATTCTCTCTGGAATCACATAGATAACTCACAGTGAAATATAAAGAGAAATTTGGGACCAAAGGAAAATGAAAATTTCGAGTCACCCCCCCCCCCTCCCCAAAAGCACTGAGAAAAGATAGAAAATATTTAAACGGAATGAAGTTAGATTCAATGATTAGTGAGACATTGGAAATTATAAAACTCTTGGTCAAAATATTATGTTGTATTTATCAAGGATTGACATCATTTTGAGAATCATTTAAAATCTGAAAGCATTGGATATCTGTTTCATCCTAGTATAGGGCACCTCATCAGCAACGTGAAACCTTTTAGTGTCATATTAAGATAAGGTGATAGAAATTGGAAATATGGACCATTGGATTCTCACTCAGTGGCTCAATGGTAATGTGCTAGCCACGGAACCTGAAGGTCATAGGTTCGATCCTGGAGGCGTCATGTGTACGTACTGCTAAGGAGTCCCAAGTTCCCTTTGTTCCTCCAACTGATATCATTCTACGATGAATAACAATTTAAGATGAAACAATTAACGAATACTTCAAGGTTTGCAATAATTCCTACAATTCATACCAATTCATGATGAATATCAACCATTGAAGTAAATGTCTTTATAAACGTCAAATAATATTTATGTGTTCAGAAGTAGTATTCATCATAGAGTGACATCAGTTGGGGAACCATGAGAAGCTGGGAGCACTGGACAGCTGTTTCGTCCTACTATGGGACTCCTCAGCAGTACGCACCCACAACCCGGCTAGGGATCGAACTCAGGATCTTCAGGTTTTACGGCGAACTCATTAACCATTCAGCCACTGGGTCGGTTTCCTCTGGTTCACAATTTCCAACTTCTATCAATTCACGACACAGCGCGACTATCACCCAAGGTCTTCAGTTAGCATCCACTTCACTTCCGACTAGTTGACCCTACAGGTCATGACTTCTCATTAGAGCTTCATGATATCCATTTGGAAGCAAGTCATGGGTGTGTACTGTTGAGGAGTCTCATACTAGGACGAAACAGCTGTGCAGTGCTCTCAGATTTTCAATGGTTCCTCAACTGATGTTAGTCCATGATGAATAATACCTCCAAGTTAAAAATCCCCAGTCATCTGAAAAATACATTTATGTGTTCATTTCAACCATTACAAATATCATTGTTTATAACATTTTCATTATAAATTAAAGAGAAAAGGAAAAACAAAGAATACACTCACATAAGAAGATAAACAGTTGTACATTGAAATAAATAAACAAAATGTTGATAGATAATAAGTAAAAATCTAATAATTGAGATGAAAATTGTTGTTTTTCTTTCTTTTCAAAATAATCACTGGCATAACTTTTCTTTCATTTTGCATTTGTCAGTATCCTTTTCCATTAACCTTTCTTTATACATTATCATAATATCACCATAATTACTAAGGATAGAGTATAATGTATTAATTAATTAAATCAGTAAATAAAGAGAAGATGAAGTAAGAAAATAAACAAAATGATGGTGATAAGATGAAGGAAAGTAAATTAAATAAGCAAATAAACAATGAAAGCACAATGGTATGTTGTACACATTTTGTTGTTGTTTGTAGTCACAAGTATAACTTCACCATTGAGTAATACTTTAAAATATTTACTGATACAATGAAAATGAATGTCATTTCATTTTAGTCTGTTTATTAAAAATATCACACAGTGAAACAGCAACATTCACTGGATAACATCGTTTCCGAGACAATTCATTGTCCATATTCATATCAGGTAACTCCAACAACAACTTCGAGACAATCCTTATATATTCCTAATTCTCTCTCATTCTCTGTGATGACAAGGGTAGTAGAATTTTCCATATATCTGGGACAGGTGCAGAATCATTTCGATTGCATGTGTTTGGTGTTGATTGGATAAACAAAGATTCAGTCGGTTATCAATCTCTCCCTCCACCTAACTGAGTTAGTTTTCAACACTGTCGCTCTATCCTATCCTAATGTGATTGTGTGTCATCGCACGCAGTGCTATAGCCGAGTTTTCTCTAGATTTCTTATCTTATTAGGATCTTTGAAACAATTAGTCCCTTTAATAAATTTCGATAACGCTATTAGAAGACGAAGATTATCTGAAAAATGTGATGTATTTGCGCAATACATTTCGAACAATCTGATCACACATTTACTTGTCAAGTCAATTTATATATGAAAATTAAAGGTCAAATATAGTGAATATGAAAAGGTTGTGACACTAGTCTTGATAATATAATCAGATAAGGATTACCAAGGTAAATTAAGTGAAATAACAAATTGTTTTTTGTATACACAGCGGGGGATTAAGTTTAATATAAATTGACTTCACAAGTAAATGTGTGATCAGATTGTTCGAAATGTATTGCGCAAATACATCACATTTTTCAGATAATCTTCGTCTTCTAATAGCGTTATCGAAATTTATTAGATCTACTAATCTTGATTTACCTAAGTTTATGTACTCTGTTACTCTAATCGACCATGGTCGAAAAGAACACAAAAACCTAGCTAAATCAAGATTAGTAGATCGTAATAAGATAAGAAATCTGCGTGCGATGACACATAATCATACAATAGGGTGACAGTGTTGAAAACTAACTCAGTTAGGTGGAGGGAGAGATTGATAACCGACTGAATCTTTGTTTATCCAATCAACACCAAACACATGCAATCGAAATGATTCTGCACCTGTCCCAGATATATGGAAAATTCTACTACCCTTGTCATCACAGAGAATGAGAGAGAATTAGGAATATATAAGGATTGTCTCGAAGTTGTTGTTGGAGTTACCTGATATGAATATGGACAATGAATTGTCTCGGAAACGATGTTATCCAGTGAATGTTGCTGTTTCACTGTGTGATATTTTTAATAAACAGACTAAAATGGAATTACAATCGACCACAGTGTCCAAGTTATACACGTATATTAATGAGAATGAATGTCAACGGATGAGAACACACTACACACACACACACACACATACATGAACAAAGTGACTTCAATACAAATTGATGATAACATGAAATCTAGTTAATAATCTTCAAAATTTCAAGCAATTATGTCATAAAACAGTATTGATGAAAAGATTCAGTTATACAATCAATTCAATTAGTTATTTCATTCACTAAAACTTCTCTTCAATCCAAAATATTTGTCTACTTACAAAAGTATCCATAAAAATCACTCGGAAATGTTTAAAAAAACCGAAAACAAATAAGAAATAAGTCAAAATTGTAAAAATGCATATACATATACATAATGACAAAAGAATATAATGATATGAAATTTCTCTTCATTTCTGATAGTTTTGATAGAAATACTGAATGAAACAGAAAAATAAAGTTTTACAATCATAGAGATTAACTTTAAACAAGAAATTATTGATTTAAATAGATAACTATACGATTTTATAGTCAGTCATGTAATGTTTATATATATATATATATATATATATATATATATATATATATATATATATATATATATATATAGTCCATATTGTAATGAAATACTTCAATTGGATTACATTGACTAAATTACCTTCATTGTAATCAATTTAGAGTTATGGTTGAAGAAATTACAATAAATATAAAGGAGAAAAGGAAAGGAATGAATATTTGGTTTTAAAAATAAATGCATGCAATGTATGTTTGTATGTATCCATTGAATAATTGTATTATGATAAAATGTTAAGTACTATTTCGATAGAATCTATTCATTTTTAAGTCTACAGACTATATATACTACTGATAAAAAGACAATAGATACTTATTTCACTGTTAATTACCTGTTGAATTGTTTTCAATGCCTTTTTTATAAGTTTACTAGAAGAAAAAAAAACAAGTTAAATAAGAAGAAATAAAATAATCTTATATATATATACATATATATATATCGTGAATTGACATTAGATGAACGAAGATTAGAAACCTGAGAGTACTGGACAGGTGTCTAGTCCTAGTATGAGACTCCTCAGCAGTACCCATCGGGGATCGAACTCGGGGCTTTCAGGTTTCGTCAGAGTTCAGTCGTCCACATTTTCCTATTTCTATCAATTCACGATATAACGTGACCTACATTCAATGTCATTATTGATTAACTGTTCTCATGTTAGACATGCTTCACTTAACTGATCACTACCTCTCATTGTAACTTCGGCAATCACCTCTCGAAGCTAGTCACCAATGAGCGCTAAATTAATTCTATCTGGAGGTTTATGAAGGTTTATCAATCGGTTTTAGGTTGGGATTTGAGAGGTGATTCCTGAAGTAGCAATGAGAGGTCATGACCAGTGGAGTCAAGCAAGTCAAACATGAGGACATTGGATATACGTCGTGTTATATCGTGAAATGACAGAAGTTGGAAAGATGGACGATTAGATTCCTGCCCAGTGGCTGAATGGTGACATGTTGCCCACGGAACCTGAAGGTCCTCCTTCCAATCACTGATGGAGTGGAGCGGGGTCATAGGTGTGCACTGCTGACGAGTCCCATGCTAGGACGAAACAGCTGTCCAGTGCTTCCAAGTTTCCAATGCTGCTCCAACTGACGTCAGTCCATCATGAATTCCAACTTAAAATCAATTAATAAACCTCCAGATAGTTTTATATATAACTTGAAGTATAAATGAAAACAAACGGCGCATCAGTAATCAGCAAAATGGCCTAACTGACTAAAGTTCCATGCTAGTTGGCACTTGTTGGCAAAGCGTATGTACAATCTCAGTGGAACTGGTTTTCTTTCAAAGAACGCATGCATTCAGGTAAACTGAACAGCTTACTTTTATTATGATACTATGCATGTGATGCAGTCCTACAGGAGGTTAAATATGGCTGGAATAGCTCACTGACAACATTTACAGATGATATGGGTTCGAATCTAGCAGGAGATAAGAGTTTCCAGGGCGTTGCAGGCACGCCTTACTAATAAATGCTAACAAGCACAAAACCTAGGTCAAATAAAGCCTCCTATTTATGGACATCTCTTCTAATAATTATAGAAAGCCTAAATCGTTTACGAGAAGAATATTCTCACACTTTGATTTAACTTCAATTGTCTATCTAGACTAAAGATTCCGATGAATTTTATGGAAATCCTGGATTACTAGTATGCATAAACCAACACGTTTTGTTCATCCTTGAAGACTACAATGATTATTAATCATGGGGTAGTTATATTATGTGTACAATATTATCATACATAAATGCAGCATCAGGATGACGCTGTATGATCTAATGAAATGTCTTATGACAATGAATAATGAACATCCCTATTTTCAGGTTGGTATTCATTATAAACTGGCATGAGTTAAAAAAATTGGGAATTTGAAAGCACTGGATTGCTGTTTTGTAGCAGCTTGGGACTTTTCAGAAGTATGCACTCACAATCTTCAGGTTCCAAAACCAACACGTTACCACTAAGTCAATGAGTCAGAATCCAATGATTTATATTTCCTATTTCTGTCACTCCATCCGACTCCGTAACTGTCCTCATATCCGACTTAGTTAACTCGATTTGTCATAAATTTTCGTCAGAACTTCAGGAATCACCTCTTGGATTCCGATTCAGTGACTTAGTGATAACGTACTAGTCATGGGACTCGAAAGCCCAGGGTTCGAGCTCTGGAGAGGTGGGGTCTCGAGCTAAGAGGGAATAGCTATCCAGCGATCCCATGATATCAGTCCATGATGAATAGCAACCTCAAATCAATGAATCAATACTCACAAAACCTATAGATTGAATATCCTTATGGAAACAAATGTGGAGACATACCTAATATAGAGTAGAAACAATGTAACTGTCTTTAGAATATGTAAACACAGAAATTACTTTTTTTCCTCATCAACTAATTGAAGTAAATTTATGCTTAATTACTACACTTCATAACTTCATGTTGTTACACACTGAAAAGTAGCATAACCAAGAACATAAATAAGATATAAAAAGTTTATATAGAGATTAAATAACAGACAGTGTGATCATAAGAGCCAAAAAGAAAAAAAAGTCGAATGTATCTGAATTACAATATTATTGATCTCAACATAAGGTATGCATAAGGATTGGTGTTCACTATGTTCAAAACGATAATTTTATCAGCTTATTGTCTTTTGAACACTATCAAAGTATTACAAGCAATCAGCTCACTACTTCATATTCTACTCTACATTATGAAAATCTATACCAAGTAATTGACAATGGGAAGCTCAGTCATGCCTCTGAAGTGAAGTGAAGACAGGAGTGAAACAATGCTGCCTACAATCACCCGTGATATTCCTGATTGTAGTGGACTGAACTGGATCATGCAGCAAACAGTGAGGAGCGAGAAGAGGGGGATACGCTGGAACGCAGAGAAGAACCTAGGAGATTTGGATTTCACCGATGACTTGCATCTAATGTCACACAAACTTGAAGATGTATAGGTGAAAACTGACAAGTTGACAGAAGAGGCAGGGCAGGGCAGCAAAGATGGGACTTCAAGTGAATATAGAGAAGACAGAAGTGATGAAGATACCCAACCAACACCAACAACAAACTCTAATCACCATCCACGGGAGAAAGTTAAAGGAAGTAGCCTCTTTCACCTATCTAGGAAGCACTGTTTCAACTACAGGCGGCACGGACGAGGATGTCAAAGTCAGAATCGGAAAAGCAAGGCAGGCGGTCATTAGCCTGAAACCAGTGTGGAGATCTTCTGCACTCGGCATGTGGAACAAGATGCAGATTTTCAACACCAACGTGAAGTCAGTGCTCCTGTATGGTTCAGAGACTTGCAGCGTTACGAAAGGGATTTCCAACAAGCTACAGACATTCATTAACAACTGCCTACTCTGGCTCGTTACTGAAGATCAGGTGAATGGCCAGAAAGAATTAGCAACAAGGAACTCTGGGAGCGAACCAACCAAGAATCTAATACTCAACAAATATGCACTGGAGAGAAGTGGAGATGGATCGGATTGGGCATACACTGAGAAGGCCGACTGGGGACATCATGCGCCAGGCCAGGCACTCGAGTGAAACCCCGATGGGAAACGACCAGTTGGGCGTCCGAGGTGAGGGTGACATGGAGGAGATCGTGCGAGGAGGAAATGAGAGTTTGTGGGCTGTGGTGGAGCCAGGTTCAACAGATTTCAGAGAACAGAGTGCACTGGAGACGTGCTACTGAAGCTTTATGTTCCATTAGGAACCCAAGGGACAAATAATAATAATAATAATAATAATGGTGCAAAATCTTCTTTCGATGCTTACAATGAAAAGGCATAACGAATTAAATTCTCTTAGAAGATATACATGGCATACATACTGATATAAATTTTAAGAAATTATTAAATGAATAATTAGTTAATTAGTTAATTGAATATAAAAATTACTATTACTACCTTTATATTTGGATTCAATAATTTATTTATTAATTACTAGTAGAATCTTACAAATAATTACTTATCAAGTGGTGGGAAAAACTCTGTTTTTATTTCAAAACTGTTGAATAAACATGTATAATTTTATATGTAAAGTTTTTTTTGCTTTTTAACTACTTATTCATTAAGTGGTCAGAAGGTAGGTAGTTATAATATTTTTCAATTAAACCTACTAAAGCATTTTTTATTGTCATAGTGTTTATTATCCTGTAATGTTGATACATAAACCAAATATTAATCATATTTTATCTCCTGCATATTTTATATTCAAGTTAGCCAATGAATAACTTTATACGAGTATATTTTAATATAATCTCGGTGTACTAATGATGCATAGTGGCTAGCAGGGGAATCCAAGAGGCATATTTCGTCCTATTTACGATTCACCAGCTAGGTGTATCTACCTCCTGGATTCCACTACTAGCCACTATCTATCATTAATATATGAATCAAATACAGGGAATATCGAGGCATTTCTTTCAGTATATTTCCTCAATGAACTGACTATCTTTATGTGGATTTTTGTAACTGTGTATCATTTTACCAGTTGTAGTGTTTCAGAGTTGATTCATACTTGGTAAGCAATGGGAATGAAGAATATGTTTATGCAGTAGGCGATGTGAAAAACATCTTACTGCACTTGGCAACTTACAGAAACTCCAGATTGATGTGTAGGCAGTTTTTAGCACTTAGTTACCAGGATCATAGTATAGGTTATGACTTTTTATGGTATCTACCTTCTAGTAACCTTTCAGAAATCATATACTTATCTACTAGGCTGTTAAGTCATGGACATCGATTCTGAGCCATATCACCTAGAGTCTCCAGATAGAGGTTTCTGTTGTCACGTGTACCTCAACTAACTACCTGGCATCTCCCTTCATGGCTCAAAGCAACAGTCAAAGATTTGATGCAATGTTGCTATGTTTTAGTCCTGCCGTCCACAGCATTCTTCAAAACGTGAACCTACTTCAGCTAACATAGCGCGACGAGGCAGAGGGTCAATAAGCATGCGTAACACATGTCCCAACCATTTCAGTCGATGAAGGTTTACAACCTCACAGGCTGACTTTTTCTCCTTCTGACATCTGTGTCACCCACATGGTGACACCATGACATACAGTCTACGACACGAAGGCAACGGTAGTCAAACACCTGAAGCCTTATCAGGCTCTATACCTTTAACGGCCATGATTCACAGCCGAATAGCAGAACAGAGCAAACTGTAGCACAGTACACTAGACCATCAATCGATACAGATGACATGAGTTAGCAAAAGCCAACCTAGTCTTTTGTATCCGTGTACAGACTTCGTCGGTCACTGACACTTCAGGGCTGATCTGACTTCCCAGGTAATCATAACTCGAACACTGCTAAAGCTGTTAAAAACAACAGATCTCACTGAGGTATTTTAATTGAAAAATACAAAACAAAGTGAAAAGTAAGTTATAAGCTTTACCATCAGTCGTCAATATTCAAGAAAGCTATCTCAGTCTAGTCCGCAATAATACTGGGTTAATTCCAAAGAGAATAAATTTAATTGTATCCGGCAAAGTGAACCGATTTTTAGTCGGTTAGTAAAAGAAGGGAATAATAATCATAACCTTCAAGGTGTTGAATACATAGGATATAAACTTCTATAAATCAAACTAGGAAATATGCAACAATGAGTTACAAAACTGAAACATACTTCAATGATGTGCTCAAAACCACGGACATTTGATCCAGATCTTTTTCTTGCTATAAAATATTCTGATTGTAAATCTTGTTGATCTTTTGATATTGTACTAATAGTAGATAAACTGTTTCTACTTTCTTCATGATCATTGTTAGACGGAAAGCATGGTACATTAACTAAAGTAAGTGATGATATTGAAACAGGTTCATCCTTATCAACTCCATTTGTTGAAGGCTCAATATTAACATTTGTAGTAGTGGTAGTTAGAGAAGTAGAGATAGCTGAAGCTGAAGCTACAGCTGTACCAGTAACAGTTGATATATCATTTATAGGACCATGTACACTGGATAAACTTAAGGATGAATCACTGGACAAATTACCAGCACGTCCTGTATTACTTAAACCTATAACTGGTGTATAAGATGTTCTTAAATCTTCTCCAGGCAAATGAGAATCAATTAATACTTCGAGGAAATTAACAAATAATTGAGCAGTATCTGCATTTTGATTTGCCTAAAATATAAATATCAAATGTAAGTGTTAAGGATTTTAGTGACTATTTCAATGAGTAAACTATGTTACATCATTAATTAGATCGAAGTAAATTTTCACGTTATTGACTGGCCAGACTAAAATCAGACTAGAATATATAAGTAAGTTGATTCACTGTTAATTTCCGGTGACCATACAGGGTCGAATTGCTCGACTTCTCTTGGCAGATGGACTCCTATCCGGATGCCTCGATACTGCCGGATATCCATGATGTCATATTGATCCTAGCGGTTGGGAGTTGAATCTAGGACGCACGTTTCGTCCTATTTGCGACTCGTCAAATGGATGCACCTGTACCCCGCCAAGTAATCTTGTTTTCACCGGGACTCGAACCTAGTACCCATCGCTTCAAATGACAAAGTGTTATCCACAAAGTCACTGGATGAAAATGGCCACTTTTTGTACAACGGGTATCAGTTGTTGGCTATCGTACCCCAGTAGGTTGAAGGATAACGCTGTGACGTTTGAAGCGAAGGGTACTGGGTTTGGGCCTAAATGGGAACAATATCACTCAGTGAAGTGCAGGTACATCCAACTTGCGAGTCCTAAGTAGAATGAAACGCGGATTTTGGATTCCTCTACTTGTTGCTAAGATCGATTTGAATTCATTCACGTTATCATACAATGAAATTGTAATTGAGTCAGAAAACACAAGTAATAATAAATCCAGTAAATATATGAGTAGGAGACTGACCAATTTGCAAGTGATTTACAAACTATACGGTCCACATTGACATTTCTTCCATCTGAATAGTTTTTTTTCCAACTGTTACCCAACTGTAGTGTCAACAGGGTTTCCCCATGGAAACCAATTAGGTGAGATCAAAAGGTGGGAACTTTGACAAAAAGATTCATGAACTAGAGAAATATACCACTACTGAACAAGTTGATCAATCAAAAACCACTCAGGGTGATCTGTAGACTTCGGCTTTATAGGCTGAATCTATCAGAGTATGCCGGTGATAACCTGGGCTCCAAACAAGCAAAACAGCCATCTGGTGTGTAGATCACTCTAATTTGTCTGAGGAAATCTACAGATCAGACTAAGGGGTTTCTTACTACAGAATTTTTTCAGTAGTATATTCTATGTGCAGACTGAATGTATATCTATGCCTACTTCAAACCAAGATAGTTAACGTAAGGTCTAGGATTAGTTATATTTGTTAAGCAATAAACCTCGGGCAGCCATAAAACCGACAACAATCTAGAAAAGTATTTAAGATTTTAGTGGATAGGTGTCCTCCTCTTATAGGTGATAACTACCGTAATTCCACTTTAAACTATATAATAGACTTAAACAGGAATCCTTGAAGAGTCAAATAAAAGCTTTTCAATAAAATTATTGATACTTCTGTAATTCAAAACTCCTCATCTGTACATTTAGAAAGTAGACACAATGTGAGTGAAGAAATATTTCTTTCCAATCAGCTCCTCATCGATGACTGTACACTAATAGACAGCGGTTTCAAAATACATCGTATCAGTCTACTAGTGATAACGGCCTACCAATCAAAAAGTATCCAGGAGAGTAATAATCAATCAAGGTGATTAAGACAGCAAGTAACATATAGACTAATTACATAGTAAAATTTGTAAATTTTCAAACAGACTTGTTGTATAATCGATGGTTTATGCAATAGTGACTAATATGAACAGAAAAGCGATTATTATGTCAAGTGGTCAGTTGATAGGAAGTGGCCTAACTCGAAATCAACATTCTAATTCATCAGTCACTAAGCTAGGGAGTTTTCGATTACAACCCTCAGTTTCATGTTACGGTGTGGTCAGAAAAAATTTGATTGGACAGTTTCGTCCTGCAGCTGACCAATCAGAATAAGTTTGATAACTTCTGACTTAGTTGTATTATAAGTTGGTAAAAACCTGATGTGATTTTGTCAAATAGAGTCATAAGCCGGTCTTTCTGCTTTTCGCGGTTCAGTGAAGTAAAAGGTTCTGAGAGAGAAGAATCTCTATTCGTATCCAGTCCAAGCGTCTGACTGCGTTAGTAGCGTTCTGTCAGTCGCGTCGTCAGTTGATGACAGTAACTAGAAACAAGAGAGGGGAAGAATAAGAGATGGCGAAAACTTTAGTAGTACTGCTGATAATAATAATCGTCTGGATTCGTGAGATGAACGGAGGAATGGTTGACATTTTTATAGATAAGCTATACAGATGGCCAAAGCAAAGAAAGAAGCTGTTAGAATTTCATCTGGATACACAAACTTGGCATGTTCAGGTGGATTTCGATGGCTTTTGTTGTATACAAGAGATGAAATCGTAGAGTATCGGTGATATTTGACGGGAAACGATAAATAACTCTAAAGATGTTATAAGCAATAACTTGCTGATCAGCATCAACCAGATGAAAGAGTACTGAGCCCCGTATCGATCTTGTTTATGTTTTACTTAACCATGAGCGCTAATGTTCGGTAATTCGATGGCTGAACACATAGTTGTATGCTAGCTACACAGGAACAGTTGAAGTGGTAAATGTACATAGAGAAGGCGAAGTCATCATCGACCTTCCTTTAGGCGCTGTATCATAGTTTCGCTAATGATGTCACCCGAAAACTGTAGTCTTAGGAACAGAGATACACTGGAAGCTATTGGTGCTCTGGTTTTCTTATTAGATGCGTTCATACTTTTAACTAGAAATTCTTCTGAATATCCATTACTATGGAATAGTTCACAGATAGGTTAACAAGGAATATTTCTTCACTCATATGTGGTCATTGATATTTCTGGGTGCATTTTTCATCTAGTTATGTAAGATTATGTTTTCTAAACATGATGACGGTATAGATATTAGTTGTTAAGTATTCAAACATTATTAGAATAGGCTTTTCTACTTCCTTTCATTGTTTTATGGATTATCTAAATTGTATTCTTTTGCCTCAACTGACCGAAATCATTGTTGTACTGTAAATGTTTTTAGTACTGTAAGAATATACTGAAAAAGATTATCAGTATAAAGTAATAACAAGCATCCAGGTTGATAGAAATGGTAGAAAAATATAACATTTTATCTAATAATTACAGAAATGTATTAATGATGGACAGTGGTTAGCGGTGGAATCCAGGATGCGCATTTCGTCCTACGTGGGACTCGTCAGCTGGATGTACCTGAAGGATGTACCGCACAGGAGCCCATATACCAATAGAGACCGATCAATTCGGTCCAAGCAACGACGGTGTCATATAAAAACAATCATACTAATTACGGAAATGGTTTAAATTAATATTTCAATTTTGGATCAGAAATAAAATTTATCAACATATGTATATACACACATGTGTATGGTATATGTACATACCTTTGAGAAGTGACCAGAAAACCTCCAGAGACCACCGAAACCGATACCTAACAATGTAGAATATAGTTAAGTATTTTGTGAATCAGTAAAAATAAACCATTGACAATGGTAGAAATTCATTTATTACACTATGAATAGTATTTACTTTGCAACTCGGTTCTGATGAGACTATCATATTTGAAAGTGAAATAAACTGAAGTAGAATTTTGAATTTATTATGAAATTATTTTGATTATGACTTAGATTTCAAGAAAATTATGATCATATTCAGATTGAAAGTAATTTTTTTCTAGGTCACTGACGAATAAAACTATTATTTGTTAGTTGGTTGGAAGCAATCAGCAGGAAGCTCTGGACCTAGGTTTTGTGCTTGTTGGCACTCATCAGCTAGGCGTATCTGCAACCTCGACGGAACTGATGTCCCACCTGAGATTTGAACCCGCGTTAACCCAGTGTTGTAGTCAGTAACTTTATCACTGAGCTATTCGGGCCACGATTGACTTCCTGTAGGACTGGCTTACATGTATTGATTGGTCACAAGAGTGAAGCCAATTCCATATAGTCTATTATGTTAACAACCAATAAATATTTCTATCCACATTCAACGAGATCACCATAATATGAAGTTATATTGAATAGGAGTAAAATTTAAGTGTGAACTGACAACTTTTCAATTACAAGGAGTTTCAGGTGCATTAAAATTTCATAATATTCTATTAGAACTAAAAAGAAGTGAGTAGGCATTTCAAATTTCACAAATGTGTAAATGTTTTACAGTAGTGATTGTAAGTGATTAGCAGTGGAATTCAACATTACTAGAAGGTTGAAACGATAAACAATCACTGAATCCCCACAAACTTGCAAATTTATTTGATCTAGTGTTCATTGGTGACTAGGTTCGTGAGGTGATCCCTGAAGTAATAATGAGAAGTCGTGACCGGTGGGGCGAACCTGGTGGCCGTGAGGATGAATTCTCAACTATAACATTGGGTAATGGTCACGCTATATCGTGAACCAACAGAAGTTGGGAATATAAATCATTGGATTCCGACCCAGTGGCGCAATAGTAACATGTTGGCCATGGCACCTGAAAGTCCTGGGTTCGATCCCTAGTGAGGCGGGGTCACGGGTACGCACCACTGAGGAGCCCCATGCTAGAACGAAACAAATGTTTAGTGTTATCACCTTTCCAATGTTTCTCCACAATGAATACCAACTTAAAAAATCACTAAATCCCCACAAACCTCCAAATTCAATATCGAGATGTCCCTGCGAGAGCACTTATGTCAGTAGAGACTAATCAATTAGGTCCGATCAATGATAGGGTAATTCACGCAACAGCCTAAAAACTATACCTATCGCACAGGAAGTGGCTTAGTGGTTAACGCTCTGGAGTTTGAAGCGATAGGCCCCGGGTTCGAGCCTTAGGAGGGACAACATTACTCATTGGGGAGCAGGTGCATCCAGCTGACTAATGAGTCCCATATAGCACAAAACGTGCATCCTGGATTCCACTGTTAGTCACTACCCATCATTATTATACCTAATAAACAGAAAGTATATGAGACATGATAGAAAAAATAAGTGGAGTTCACTGAAACGTTCACACAAGTAGACACTGTCAGCATTAAACCTGAAATAACTTCATATAGGTTGAGGTTGTTAGACTGCATACCATTGTATCAGCATGGAAGCTATCAAGAAGAAGGAAAATAGTAAGACAGGCTATCACAAAGGACCATAAAACGGAGAAAAGTGTATAAAGAGGAATATGAGTCACTAGTTAGGAAGTAGATATTTATTGGTCTCTGTGATAGTAACTTTGGATGAATAAGACAATCAATAGTAACCAAGTTTCTTATCAGGAAGGCGAACAAATAATTGACAGCGTCTATCAACTTTCAAAAGAGTAGAAAATCATTTTCTTCTCTTGTAAAACATTCTGCTTTACAGTGGTCTTGGTAATATCACATTAGTAAAGCTCGAAGGAATGAAAACAAAGATCCGAATTGAAGCTATAGACAGACAGAATCAATGTAGAAACTCCTACACAAGTGTATCGGTTCAAGTTGTCACAATTTACAGTAGTATACAAATAATAGGTAGATAGAAAAAGATTCATATAGAAATAAACGAAGTTGTATGAGAGAATAGACAATTTAAAGGTAAAGGTTAGTGCTAAAACACCGAAAACTGAATAAATCCATACTATTATGACCAATTTTCAGTCATGTAATCAAATTCAAGCTGTATCACAGACATGGTTACTTTTTTTCGTTTATTTGCTGAGATGTGAAATGATTTGTTCACGGCCAAATTACCATCAATCTAGTATTGTGAATGTAACAAACCAATAGTGAGATAATCGGTCAGATATACTATCAGTATCCAGCATAACGCTATGTAAGCTTTATGTGGCATGACAAACTGCCATTAGTGGTTATTATTTTGTTCAAATAGTGTGTAACGTTAATAATTTCCAGGGTAATTTTAGTCAATACATTCATTTGTTGTCATCTTATTTATTGATTTATCATTTCAATTACTCCTGTGGAACTAATTACACTGGGCGTACAGTAAGGCAAATCTATTGTCGAATTTCTGAGCAAGGGACAAATTAGAACAATAAAGAGCTCAATACTTGCACACTTTGTTGACACAGGACATCGGACAGATACTAGAATACCAAACAAAATTAGTTATCACACAAATTACACACTTGCTTACTTCACATAGCAGAGGTGATTGCAATCCATCATTTAGAAACCTAACCTTTGTATTCAAAAGAAGTTTATTCAACCACTTTGATTGCCGTGGCCGTCAATATGATATAACTTCTAGTATTACCTTGTACACCTCTTCCCCCTCCCTCGTTTCTATCAATATTAGTTTGTTTCACCATTATTAGGTAATGATCTATTGTTTATGACTGAATACTCATCAGAAATTACTCCATTTACATAAGAATAATCTGCTTCATATTACCAATTTTAGTTACTCTAGTGATGCAGGTACATCCAACTGATGAATCCCAAGTAGGATGAATCACGCATCCTAGGTTCCTCTACTAGCCAAAACTAGCCAAATTACCATAATTAACATTCAGGCAATATCGAGGCATCCGCATAGGAGCCCATATGCCAATAGAAGTCGAACAATTCAGTCCAATAAAACAACAGAGAATTTCAAGTATATCAATAAATAGTAATACTCTATTGTTTATTTACATTTTAATTTCTAAAACTTATCATCTACATGCGACTGCGACTGCGGAAAAGAACCTTGAAGACTTGGATTTCGCCGATGACTTGTGCCTGATGTCACACAAAATTGAAGATCTACAGGAGAAAACTAACAAGTTGATAGAAGAGGCAGCGAAGACGGGACTTCAGGTGAATATAGAGAAGACAGAAGTGATGAAGATACCCAACCAACTACAACAACAAACTCCAGTCACCATCAACGGGAGAAACTTCAAGGAATTAACCTCCTTCACCTATCTAGGAAACACTGTTTCAACTACAGGCGGCACAGACGAAGATGTCAAAGTCAGAATCGGAAAAGCAAGACAGGCGTTCATTAGCCTGAAACCAGTATGGAGATCTTCTGCACTCGGCATGTGGAACAAGATGCAGATTTTCAACACCAACGTGAAGTCAGTTCTTCTGTATGGTTCAGAGACTTGCAGCGTTACGAAAGGGATTTCCAACAAACAACAGACATTCATCAACAACTGCTTACGCTCGCTACTGGAGATCAGATGGCCAGAAAGAATAAGCAACATAGAGCTCTGGAAACGAACCAACCAAGAACCTATCACGCAACAAATATGCAGAAGGAAGTGGAGGTGGATTGGGCATACACTGAGAAAGCCGACTGTGGACATCACGCACCAGGCCCTCGAGTGGAATCCCCATGGGAAGCGACGAGTTGGACGTCGGTGCCGAGGGTGACATGGAGGAGGTCGTGCGAGGAGGAAATGAGAGCTTGTGGGCTGTCGTGGAACCAGGTTCAAAAGATCTCAGAGAACAGGATGAAATGGAGACGTGCTACTGAAGCCCTATGTTCCACTAGGAACCCAAGGGACTAATAATAATAATAAAATAATATCATCTGCATGACTTACTTAAAATTTCTGTGATTACTATCCACCAACCCTCCACAACCACTTGATTGGTTTTTTGATTAAGTTGTAAAAGTATATATTAATGTAGAGCCCAAAATGAAGACCTAATTGGAAAGGAATATTTTTTTTCATTCAATCAGTCTTTTTTCTAAATGTCTTAAAGGGAATATTCAATGTACTGACAGATGCTGATTTATTTTTCAGTGGATTCATTTAGTAACTATTGTGTATAGATGAGGCTTGTTTGAGATGTTAAATATCTTGAATAGTTTAGGGTTTTTCAAACTGTTTTAAACTACTGTTGAACTTCACCTAAGATTCAGGTATTATGCTCTTCGATGACTGCTGTACTGACTATTATACTTGTTTTGTCGTATACCACAACCCCTTTAAGTGCAATCAGTCAGTCAGTCAGTCAGTGTCAACATGGAACATAGAACACAGTTTACAGATTATCGATAAACTGAGCCTTTCACTTCAAGATTTAATCCAGCTGTGAATAGTTTTTCAGTCATTCAACTCTGATGTTAAAATTCTTTGGTTATATTTAATTTTAATGTAAATTTTTGAGGGGGTTGTGGAGATTTGGAAATATTTCAAGTTGTTATTCATCGAAGACTCAATGGTAACGCGCTGGTCGCGGAACCTGAAGGTCGCGGGTTCGATCCCTGCTGGTGGGGTCGTGGGTGCGCACTGCTGAGGAGTCCCGTACTAGGACGAAACAGCTGTCCAGTGCTCCCAGGTTTCCTTTGTTCCTCCAACTGATGTCAGTCTTCGATGAATAATTTTAATGTTTTAAAATGATAATGAAGCAGAAGGAGTATATTGTTATTTTATTTTATATATTTATATAAATCTAATTCCATGTTCATAGAAAAAATATAAATGAATATTTAATCGAACTGGATTATTTTCTACATGTGTATCTTATGCATGAATTGCATATTTTAGATGAACATTATTCATTTCAAATATCAAAAATAATTATTCAGGCAATATAACTAGGCGACCGCATAAAAGCTCATCTACTAACAGAGTTCGATCAATTTACTCCAGTATAACAAAGGAGAGTTACAGAGTGACTTTAAATACTAACCTAGCAACAAGTGAAATAACCAATTAAACTTTTCTATTTTATGAAAATCTGCTTTTCTAGTCAAAACAAAACAATTTAATTAATCATTTTGAACTTTGCTAGAATGACCTTTAAAAATGCCTAAATTACAAGCAGATCAACAAATAATAATGAATACTATCCGTTGTAAAAGAAATGACTATCGTGTCTCAGTGGTCTAGTGAATAATGCACTAGGGTTTGATGTAATGGGTATGAGGTTCAAGTTTCAATGAGAACAACAACACACCTGATGAGTCCCAAAAAGGACGAAACATGCATCCTAGATTCTACTGCTAACCATAATTTGGTTAGTTATTCACTTCAAGCTATAAAATAGAAATGGTTGATCTTATTGTTGAATAAATAATTCAATAACTGGATAATAAATGAATATATCTCACTTTGTAAATAATGTAGTTGTTGTACAGATGTCTCCCCATTACTAATCATATTCTGTATGATACTTTGGACAGCACTCAAAATTTTCTGATCATGACAATGTGTGAGAACATAGTTGATTTTTGAATCCAACAGACTGTGTCTACAATAAATAAATATAATTCATTCATATGAAATGAAAAAGAAACTATTCCAGTGTGGATAAGTTATATATCAATAAAAAGTGTTATGAACTAATATTGTAAACTGACAAAAGCAGGGAATATAGGTCATTGAATTCCGATACAATGGCTTAATGATAACATGTTACCTGCTGGTCCTTGGGTTCGACCCCTAGTGGTGTCTTGGGTATGCATTGCTGAGGAATCGTAACCTAGGACGAAACAGTTGGTCAATGCTCTAAGGTTCCTGATGCTTCTCTAAATGATGTCAGCTCAGGATGAATACTAGTCGGAAATCAATTAATAAGTCTCCAGAAACCTCCAGATAGAATTAGTCTAGCGCTCATTGGTAACTAGCTTCAAGAGGTGATTTTGAAACTTGCAATGAGAAGTCATGAACAATGGAATTAACCAAAGACATAATTGTCAATTATTATAGCAGACAAGAAACATAACAATTTTGTTAGATGAAATAATCTTTTTATAGGTAAACTATTCATTTGCATGAATTCAAATAATGCACCATAATATGGCTAATTGAAAGTGAACACTTCCGACCTTATTTAGCATCAAAACTACAATCAGTTAACCGATTAGTTAAATGGAAGTTTGAAATCAAACCAACTTATGTATAAACTGAATAGTCAGCCAGTTTTTTCACCTAACTAATAATAATAATAATGACAACTTATAAAGTTAGTTTCATTCACGTTTACTCCAGCTAGAAAGAAGAATCCAGTTTTAGCTGTTAAAGCTTGACAATTAAACAACTCCATTCCACATCTGACTTTTATCAGCAGTCGTCATTCAAACAGATAAATAATTATATTGTATTGTACTACTTTAATCAGTAAATAAGTAAGTGAAAATTTTAATAGTTTTGCATGTTATAACAATTCCAATCAATTTTAGGCTTGAAGAGTGTTGTCCGGTCATTTTATCGCTCTTTATTCAGTTTACTTACACATATGGTTGCGGTTTTCTGATAGTAAATTGAGAAATACATCTAACAGTAGGGTGTACTAATGAATGACAATTTGTCATTCATTCAGCTGATATGTAGAGATATCATGAACATTTAAACTGGATGATGACTGAAGGTGAGATGAAAATCTAAACAGCAGCCGGAATCGAACTACTCACTATCGGGTTTCTGGAGCGATACCATATATATATATATATATATATATATATATATATATATATATATATATAATATATATATATATATAACGTATATTGATTGGTCAGTGCATAGCAACCAATTACACGTTGCCTGGTCCTCAATACTGACCGAATTCTAACGATCATTTTGCAGTGTGGCCACCAAGCTAAGAGGCTAGCCACTGCGGTACGCTTTGAAGCATGTCAGTTGGTTGGAGGTAATCAGCAGAAAACCCTGGACTTAACCTTAATAGTTGTTGGTATCCTACTCGGCAAGGCATATCCTAGCTTGTTGACTATGCTGATTGGTCTCCAGTGACCAGGAGGTCACTCGTTGCCTACATAACTCAGTGGTAACTTCTCTGACTACAACTCTGAATAACGCAGGTTCGAGTCCCACAGGATACAACATTTCCATTGAGGTCTCAGATACACCTTACTGATAAGCACCAAAATCTTGCTGTCGATTGCCTCCAACCGACTAACACATATAAAGTATACATACTAATGCAATCATCAAAATACTGTCAAGTAAAAGAGGCATAAATATTCACGTCTGAATTACTTCAAGATCTGAGAAAGTGAAATCAACACTACTCAAGAATGATAAACATGGATACATAAATAAAGTATAAGAGAAAGAGGAATTGGTGAAAACACAAGAGTTGTTTGAGAATTAGTTTATGCTGATACACTCACTAATGGTTACATTTCATTTCGACCAAGGTAAAATTACTATTATTGTATAAGACTTTAGTGAGTGAATAATTTGACTAAGGATTGCATAATATGTTTTGTTGTATTATTACTATTTGTTCCTTGGGTTCCTAGTAGAATATAAGGACTCAGCTGCACGTCACCATTCCACTATCTTCTCTCCACTCTTCTGAACCTCACACCACCACACCACCACCACCACAAACACTGCCCACAAGCTTCCATTTCTTCCTCACACCATCTCCTAAATCTAACCCTCACCTCAGACGCCCAACTCATCAATTCCCATTTACCTTACACTCGACAATATGGTCTGGCCTGGCCAAGCCTGACCTGGTGCGTCATGTCCCACAATCGTCTTCTCACTCCACGTTCAATCAAATCAAATCCATCTCCACCTCCTTCTCCTGCATATTTGTTGGGCCATAGGTTCTTGGTCGGTCGGTCGGTTGGTTGGTTGGTCGGTTGGTTGGTTGGTTGGTTGGTTGGTTGGTTGGTTGGCAGACCACAGTTCCTCCTTGCTTATTCTTTCTGTTCATCTATCTGATCTTCACTATCGAGTAAGCGTAGTCGGCACCTGTTCATGTGTGTTGTCTCCAGTCTGTTGGAAATGCTTTCGTAACTCACCAAGTATCTCAACTACCACACAGAAGCACTGACATCCTTGACTGCATTAGTGTTGAAAATCCGGATCTCGTTCACGTTTTATACTGAGCGCAGTGCAGTGCCGTGCAGTACAGTACAGTACAGTGCAGTCGATCTCCACACTGATTTCAGACTAATGCAGGAAGGCCTATCTTGCTGTCTTTCCGATTCTGCCTTTCACATCCTCGTCTGTGCCGCCACCGTCACCCCCGCCTGTAGTTGAGATGATGCTGACTAGGTGGGTAGGTAGGTGAAAGAGACAACTCCCTTCACATTTCTCCCATTCATGGTGATTGGTGCTTGTTGTTGGTTTGGTATCTTCATCACCTCTGTCTTCTCTGCGTTCACCTGAAGGATGTCCCATCTTCTTTCGCTGCTCTGTCTCTTCTGCCAATTTGTTGATTTTCGTCTGTAGCTCTTCGAGTTTTTGAGATAAGACATTAAACATAAATCATCATGTTCGAAATCCAAATCTTGTAGGTTCTTTTCATCGGTCAAACAGTGTATGCCCATCGTCTCGCTCCTCATAGTTCATTGCATGATCCAGTTCAGTCGACCACAATCAGGAAGATTATAGGTGATAGTAGGCGGCAACCTTGTTTTACTGCTGTCTTCTCTTCAGCTACATCACTGAGCTTTCCACTGTGAATCACTTGGCATGTAGCGTTGTCATATAGCTGTTGAATGGGGTCGATAGTATAATGTGTATTCATTTATATGTCACTGAGCATCAAAAACGGGTTAGAGTCCAATTCTGAGTGACAGAATGAAACATAACACAAGTATGCTCTTACACTGATCGGTCACTGGAGAGAAACCAATTTCTTGTTGGTTGCTCTTAACGGAAGTCAATCGTAGCCCGAATAGCTCAGTGAAAACATCACTGACTATCATATTAGGTACAGTGGGTTCAAATGCTACAAGAAATACCAGTTTCCCTGAGGTTACAGATATGCCTTGCTAACGAATGCTAACAAATTTGAAACCTCGATCAACCAGAGAATTCTATCAATCAGTAAACAACAAGAAATCCACACCGTCTCATTCACACGGTAAATACTATTTTAGTGATGAGTTGAAAAGACTGAGAAACATAGTAAGATTCAAGTATTTCAATAGCTATACACAATAACTAAATGTCAAGTAATTCAGTTAGCTTGTTCTGTTTCACTACTCTTTAGTCAACAGAATAAATGAATAGTATAATATTACTTGGTTACTTTAGGGATTGTGAAAAAGTTAAGAATAGATTGATGTACAATAGTGTTTACAATTTTACAAACTTTCTTTCTATAAAAATATTTATGATGATATAAAAGACAAAAAGAAAACAACACCAACAACAATTAAAAAGAGTACCAGTTGCGAGAGTAAATAAATTTTATCATCATTCATAAATGATATTGTATGCATCTATAAACGACTGTATTGACTTACATTACAGGGAATACACGTGGGAAAACCATAGAAGCATCTGCTAAAAATTCATATAATACTCTTGATTCATTCTCATCAGTTGTATAGCGTACCAGAGTAGTCTTTGGTTTAATTAACAAATCAACCAATAAATAAATAAATGAATAAATAGAATTATTTAAATATATAATTACTATATAAGCATTAAGGAATGTTTAGAGCATACCATCGTCGGTTCACAGATATTCACAGATTAAACGTTTCTGTTAGTTGTTACTGACAGGTTGGTATTCGTCATGGACTGAAATTGGAAACCTAGGAGTACTGCAATGCTGTTCGGGATTCCTTGGGGGTGCGCGTCCGTGACCCCATCTAGTTACGGGTCGAGCCTGTGACCTTTGGGTTCCGTGGTCAGTACGTTACCATTGACTAGGGTAATTATCCACTTTGAGTGGTTCAGTGAGTATATGTTACTGCTTACTAGTGCAAGTTTAGCTACGGGAAAGCTCCTTCTCAGTGCTCCTTTGATTGTTGTGTTTCTTTGCTTGGATATTGCATCTTCCATAAATGTAAGTTGCATAAAAACCATTTTCTTTTCCCCAGTGTGATGTTTATTTCTCTCGATCCGTTCTTTGCTATACTTCATAATAAGTCTATTAGGACATCCGATCTTTCACAGATACGTCAAAATGAAGTTTGCTTCTTCCTTTAACTTGTCCACAGAACACAATTTCCTAGCTGTGTTATAAATTGTTTTGATTAGCGCACCCTTGTAGCTGGCAGGACAGAAACGTATAGTCAAGGTATCGTCCAGTCCAAATGTCTTCTTTGTGGATAGTCTTTTCAACTTTACCATCAGTTCCTCTTTTCACATTGAGGTTCAAAAAACCAAACTGGTCTTCATGTTCAGATCCCATCGTAAATTTTATGTTAAGATGGGCCTCGCAGAACTTGTCAAACAACTCAGTTACATGTTTCCTGAGGTAATCAGTTATTTCTCTGATGACTGAACCCAGAGGCGTCTGTTCGAGATAACCTATAAAGATACCAGCTAGAACAGATCCTAGAGATGAACCTATTGCCTCTACATCAATTTGTCTATAAAGTTAGTTATTGAATTGGATCTGGATACATTTTGTACAAAGGAGTAGTAGCTGTTTCATCTCAGTGTTGAAAAAAAAGCAGCAGACCAGTTTGTTGACAGATTATATCAATCGTTTCACTCACTAGTATATTTATAAATAAGGAAGTCACATCAATTGACACCCTGAGATTGTCTGAAACGTTGAGATGATCTAGTTCGTGAGAGATTCAAATGTATTTTTAAACTGAGGATCACCGACTTGCTCCGAATGGGTTCAACAATTTTTGCTAACCACTTTTACCAGCTTGTGATATGGCTGAATAATAACTGATAATATAGGCCTTAAAAGTACATAAGAGACTGCATTACATAACAGAATAGCTGTTCGATCATCAACTAAGCTATGTCACACTGTTTTACTTGATAAACTGACTTTTATGTTGATGATAATTGAAAATGAAAGGCAGTACGATTAAGACACTCTTAGTTTACATTATGCTGGAAGAATAAATACTTTAACTATTTCTCAACAATAAATAAATTATGTTTGTTTTATAAAACAATTTCCGTATCATCAGTATGACTATCTCACATGGCTGTGGATTATTGATAGTGAAAGATGAAAATCTAGGTTGCTAAAGGAATCGAATCAATGGTCTCTAGGTTACCATTCCAGTGCTCTACTAAATAAAGCTACAAGATTCAGCTACTTGCCGACTTCATTAACTTCATTTCAATCACCAAACGAAATTTACCTAACTGTCATATGAATCTATGATATATAACTATCCGTTCATCATAAACACACTGGCTATTCAGGCAAATACTTTTGTATTTTTGAGATGAATGGAGATTTTTAATTTAGAAGTAGTATTCATCATGGACTGACATCAGTTGCAGAACCATCGGAAATCTAGGAGCACTGGACAGCTGTTTCGTCCTACTATGGGACTCCTTAGCAGTACGCACTCACGACCCGGCTAGGGATCGAACTCAGGACCTTCAGGTCTCACGGCGAACGCGTTAACCATTCAGCCACTGGGTCAGTTTCCAGTGGTTCACAATTTCCAACTTCTGAAGACCATGGGTGATAGTCGCGCTATGTCATGAATTGACAGAAATTGTGAACCACTGGAAATCGACCTAGTGGCTGAATGGTTAACGCGTTCGCCGTGAGACCTGAAGGTCCTGAGTTTGATCCCTAGCCGGGTCGTGGGTGTGTACTGCTGAGGAGTCCCATAGTAGGACGAAACAGCTGTCCAGTGCTCCTAGATTTTCAATGGTTCCCCAACTGATGTCAGTCCACAATGAATACTACTTATAAGTATTTTTATCTTAATCCATATAGAGGCGAATTACAGACGCAGAGTGTCCAGTCAATTATTAGTATGGCTATCTGAAATAGTACTTTTTAGTAGATGGTCGTTCTATCATTAGCTATCCCATTATAGGTTACTACCTAAAGCAGATAAAGTGTTACGATAACATTTACAATAATAGAGCTCTTTACATATATCATATTAATTGAATAGGAACAGATATTGTAGTTAACATTTGAACTCAAATTGTACTTACATTTGTTACTTAGCCAACAGTTATGTAATGTTGATGGAATCGAATATTATTTGACCCTTTTTTAATAATTAAAGTGAACTTATAAGATCATTTTTAAAGTTCGAATTTGAAACTAAGCTTATGATCATGATATCCCTTTATGACATTGGTTTATAATATAAGTATACTCTAAATAAACTAACATAGATGTAAAAATATCTATGATGTATGCAGGAAATGATGAGAGCTTAGAAAAAGATTTCAGAGGTAAATTCTATTAGGGCTTAATTAATATGATAAAAATTCAGTTTTAATAGTATCATCAATTGTAAATTATTTACAAATTGTACAGTCCTCATTGACATTTCTCATACAGTTGAGTTGTTTTTCAACTGTGATACGAAAAAGGTTTCCACTAGAAACTGTTCAGTTGAGATAATGAGATGTGAGTAGTGTGTAAGTAGTTAGAAACCAATAAGGTTGATCTGTAGTCTTTTGCCAATCAATCAGACAAATCAGAGTGATCTAAACATCAGATAGTTGTTTTGCTAGTTCGATGCCAAGCTCATCTATGGTGGAGCTGGACAAATTCAACTCACTTTTGTTTCCTTTCCCGTATAGCTTAGCAGTATAAGATGAAAAATTTCTTGAACTTACAACTAGCGTGGAAATGACTTAGCAATAGAATCTTTCAACTATCTAAGAAAACAGGCATGAAACAGAGGGAAAACTAGTTCAGAGGCTGTGACTATTGCTACCATTCAATTAACTTAAGCTCACAACTGGACCCATGATAAGACCCTACAAGATTTGGATTTCGAATATGATGATTTATGTTTAATGTCTTATCTCAAAAACTCGAAGAGCTACAGACGAAAATCAACAAATTCGCAGAAGAGACAGAGCAGCGAAAGAAGATGGGACATCCTTCAGGTGAACGTAGAGAAGATAGAGGTGATGAAGATACCAAACCAACAACAACAACAACAACAAGCACCAATCACCATGAATGGGAGAAATGTAAAGGGAGTTGTCTCTTTCACCTACCTACCCACCTAGTCAGCATCATCTCAACTACAGGCGGGGGCGACGTGGCGGCACAGACGAGGATGTGAAAGGCGGAATCAGAAAGACAGCAAGATAGGCCTTCCTGCATTAGTCTGAAATCAGTGTGGAGATCGACTGCATTGTACTGTACTGTACTGCACTGCACTGCACTCAGTATAAAACGTGAACGAGATCCGGATTTTCAACACTAATTCAGTCAAGTATGTCAGTGCTTCTGTGTGGTAGTTGAGAGACTTGATGAGTTACGAAAGCATTTCCAACAGACTGGAGACAACACACATGAACAGGTGCCGACTACGCTTACTCGATAGTGAAGATCAGATAGATGAACAGAAAGAATAAGCAAGGAGGAACTGTGGTCTGCCAACCAACCAACCAACCAACCGACCAACCAACCAACCCCGACCGACCGACCAAGAACCTATCGCCCAACAAATATGCAGGAGAAGGAGGTGGAGATGGATTTGATTTGATTGAACGTGGAGTGAGAAGACGATTGTGGGACATGACGCGCAGGTGAGGCCAGGCCAAGCCAGACCATATTATCGAGTGTAAGGTAAATGGGAATTGATGAGTTGGGCGTTGAGGTGAGGGTTAGATTTAGGAGATGGTGTGAGGAAGAAATGGAAGCTTGTGGGCAGTGTTGGTGGTGGTGGTGGTGATGGTGGTGTGAGGTTTAGAAGAGTGGAGAGAAGATAGTGGAATGATGACGCGCAGCTGAGTCCTTATATTCTACTAGGAACCCAAGGGACAAATAATAATAATATGGCTTTTTAACCAATCCGCTTTAAAAATCTGACAGTTAATTCATTACATGCCATCTCATTTAATTTTGTGATTGGCGACGAACTGTAGTTCAGGATCGGCTGAATCTAGTTACAATGAATTAAGATGAAAGTTTGTGAGAACTTATTGATTTCATCATACATTGACATTAACTATGGGATCACTGAAGAAATCCAAAAACATTGGAAAGCTATTTCGTTCTGCTTTGCTACTCTTCTGTAGTGCACGCCCAAAACGTCTCAAAAGGCCAAGCTAGGGCTACCAGATCCTGTGGTAAACGCGTTATCTATGGATTGAAATTCAATGACCACGTTTCATAGTGCTGTCAGTTCACGGTATGGAATGACCACCATCTATTGTCACAGGTGGGCATTCACGTAACTTCTGTCAGGTGCCCACTTACATGAATTCTTAATGACTCCCTAAGTGATGTCAATCCGTGATGAAAACTACCTTAAAACGCAAAATTACTTTGGTTACTATTCAGTGAATATTAAATTTGAGTTATTTGTTGTTGTTTGTAACGGTCGATGAGATCCATATGCACCGATCATTCGCGTGGATCTTCAAAGTACGGATGGAATGTTGATTATCGTTCTCTGTAGTCGAAGCCTAGTTTTCACGCAGTCTGGGAGGAGCCTGTGTTTCTTCGAGGAGGTGTGCTGTATCAGTTTCTGCAGAACAGTCAATGAGCCAATTACCCGCGAACGCCGATACTTTGAAACCTGACGGTTAGGAGACAGGGATTCACGGATCACTTTTGAAACAGCAATAACTGAGTGCTATAGCTGGTTGCGTTGCTTAAAAGTTCCCTGCTCCATGAGAGGACAGAGATGTTAACGTCCAAATAGATGATGTCTCTCCCTCCTCGGGACTGAGAGATGAGCTGGAAATCGGAGTGAAATACTCTAAAGGCTACCCTAAAAGGAGTACCAACTTGAGATAAAGCCTAATATCCATGTTAATACATTAACAGGTTTGACTGTATTGAACATGAGTTAAATAAATGTTAACTTTTTGAAATGTAAGTCATTGCCTATTACAAGAATGTGTATATGGTTGCTCAGTGTTAATTTCTCATTAATGTATTCTATTCTTTCAGTTAGTTATTCTTACAGTCTATTCAAGGTGATGTTTACAGTGATTAAAAGTCTACACCTCATTTATATAATCGAATAAACTGACAAAATATTCATAAATAATGTAGAGAAATGTGAATTTACCAGTACAGCGATAGTTAAAGCTTGTGTTGCTTCATCAGTTAAAATACTTGGGTCAAGAAGTACACCAGTAGCTGTTTTTTGTTCTGTTTCTACTCTATGTGACAATAATTGTTCTCTTTGATGTCCTTCAGTAATATCATCAAATTCATTACTATTAATCACTTGACTATCTATTGTTTTATCTTTAACTTGATTTGAAATATTACAAGATTTTTCAATATGTGTACGTTCTGTATTATGAGATATACAATCATCGATAGAATGTGAACGTAAATTTTCTCTTGTAGATACAGTACTTTGTTGACGTTTAGATAATTGTTGATAAGTCATTTGAACTTGATTCTATTAGGTTAAAGTGAATAAATGAATAAATAAATAAACAACTAAATAAATAAGTAGGTAAGTAAACAAACAAATGAGTGAATGAATAAATAAATAAGTAGACAAACAAACAAACAAATGAATAAAGAAAAAAAAAAATAAATAATTCACTCAAATATTAAAAAAAATTAGTAGGAGCTTTCAAAAATAAAAGTCTAGTCCCAATAATAGTTTGTTCTTCCAGCCCTCTCCAGCTTAATTTTAGATGTCTCATTGTGAAGTCACTGCTGATGAAGTAGTCTAGTCTGGTGGTGAAACGTCCAGGAACAAACTTTATAGCTAAACAACTCCAGCTAACTACTATCCTCATCCTGATCTACTGACCTTGTTGATTATCTCAAAATCTAATTCTGCAGTTTAACAAATCTTTCTTTCAAACCATAATCAAAGGATAGTCATACTTCAGATCTAACGATATCTGATTGACGATCAAAAGACGAGTATACTGCACTGAAATCCATTCTGTCTAGTTTTATGGGTGTGAGATACGGTCGTTAAAAGTAAAAGATATGAGGAGGTTACTGGATTTTGATCACGGATATTTTCGTAGCACTGCTCTCGTTTGGTGAAATCATCATATGAGCAATTTCGAGGTAACACGAGGGGTACAAGGCATGAAAAGTCGACAGATGAGGTTGTGAACTTTCTCGACTGACGTGGGTTGGACATGTGTTGCGCATACCAAGTTACCACTTACCTTGACGTGGCAGCTAAAGGAAGCCGTATTAGGTTGGAAGGGAGTTCAGGCTGGCGATAAAGTTTCTTACTGTTTGTCTAAGTCGTGTGGGGAGATGTAAACTACCTGGTTGAGGTTTCCGAGACTATAGGAACCATTTGTTGAGGACTCTTGGTGACATGACTGGAAATCGGTGACAGTGGCTTGGATGTGTTCACTCCTTGATATCTTCTGAAGCCTGGATATTTTCAATAACCTCCATCTCCATATTGTTTATTCTCTCATATAACTTTATCTACTTTGGTATAGCTCCTTTCTGTTCACCTGTTCTTTGTATACTATTGTAGAGTAAGGGAACCTGAAACAATGCACCCGTGTGGCAGGTCCTATGTTGATTTTGTTTGTCAGTCTTCAATGGCAAACAGACTAATGCAAGCAGATTACTATGTGAATAAATGAAGTCATAATTCATATTTCTCTATGCTTCTGCTTCTATTTAACTATAGGCCATAAAAGTGGATGGTTGTTATGAGAAATGTTAGGAGTTAAAACTGGTCGATTTGCAAGGAAACGATTGATTTTATATCAGTTTTCACAGTAGATTGAAATGGTAGGCAGATGTGCTGGAAAACCGAAAGCACTGTACAGTAATTTCGTCTCAAGCTGACTCTTTGGCAGTACACGCTTATGACGATGAGAGGCATCCAGTCGTGAAGCTGTCATGTCTTGTGGTGATAATTTTACTATACTGCCACGGGGGTTAGAATCAAATTGTCAAAGTTTTCAACTTCCGTGCAATCACAACACAACATCACGACCATCCTTTCTTATCGGCGAGTACCTGTTGTAACTAAGAAATGACATAGCACCACACCGCGGTAATGTTCCATCTACAGTATTCATTCTGACGTCCAACTTGGTTGAATTTACATGTCAGGGTTTCTCTATGGAACCTCAGGAAGTCTGCTTACTTTGGAATAAATCAGTTTACCACAAAATAACCAGTCAAATAGTAAGTTTGTGCTAGCTAGTGACTAGTTCCCAAATAAACTACCGAGAGTTTAATGAAAATCACTCACTGTGAATGTCACCACAATGACAGTAAGTACAGATGCTTACTAATGATGTCTAATTCTGATCGTATAAATAATTCCAACCCAGTATCTGAATGGTAATTTGATCACTACAAGGCATGATGCTTCCAGGATCAAAGACTTCCTTCTTAGGAAAAAAGTTACTGTACAGTACTCCTGCTTTTAGTCGATCTGGACGGAACTTAAAACCACGACAAAGGTCAATTTGTTGCTTTTTGTCATATCACAAAACGTCCGTTGTTTATTTGATATAATCTTGTTAAAAGTCTAGCAGAAAACAACGGAGTGATATTAGAATTGAAGATTTTAAACTATGTACAGCCTCACTCTTCAACACTTTATTGTGTCGTCAGGTCAGATATTCAAAGTTGACATCTAGAATTCATCTTCAATTCAAGATTCGTTCAGTATACCTAAATACTGACTCATTTTACTAAGCGAATAGCTATATTTCTTTTTTAAGGCTATGATCATATTTAATCACTCGAATTTCAGCAGGCAAAGTGGAGTTCGAACTCATGACGAACAAAATGGATGTTAGGCGCCTAATACAATCAGTCACACTTCGAAAAAATCGATCTGCCTGAAAAACACCACAGTTCATTGTTCAGCAGAAACGGATGACGCTACTCAGGTTGGTCAAGATATATATATATATATATATATATATATATATATATATATATATATATATATATATATAAGCAAAAGCTGGGCCTAACACTAATGTCAAGTTAGTGTTTCTATATGGTTCAGAGACTTGGCGCGTTATGAAAGGCATTGTCAACAAACTACAGACACTCATCAACAACTGCCACCTACGCTCACTCGATACTGAAGATCGCGTAGCCAGAAGGAATAAGCAAGGAGGAACTTGGCCTGTCAACGAACCAACCAAGAAGCTATCACTCAACAAATATGCAAAAAGAAGTGGAGATGGATCGGATTGAGCATACACTGAGAAGATCACTCGGGGACATCACGCGCCACGGCAGGCATCGAGTGGAACCCCGATGGGAAGTGACGAGTTGGGCGTCCCAGCTGAGGGTGACATGGAGGAGATCGTGCGAGGAAGAAATGAGAGTTTATGGGCTGTGGTGGAGCCAGGTTCAAAAGATTTCAGAGAAGAGAGTGGAGTGGAGATGTACTACTGAAGCCCTATGTTCCATTAGGACCCAAGAGACAAATAAAAATAAAGTTGGGCCAACATTTATTTTGTTTTTTATGATTTCTTAAAGTAGCACGGTCAGTTTTCTGATCTTGTATCTCTGAGTTAATACGTAGAAACAGTAGAACTAACTCAAAAATGACATAAGTCGAAACAGATTTTTATCAATAAATGGTGTATCAGTGGGTGACTTTAAAGGCCATCCTAACAGTTACCGAGATAACCAATCACATTTCATCATTTTATAGAGAGTTAACTTTCTAGCCGAAATACTAAAATCTAATTGGTCATTTCAACAGCAGTTACTGGGGTTGTGCATATATACATGTACATGTATACATATGTACTAATGTGGTCAATTTCGAGAAACGTAATTTATATTTTGCTTTCGCCGAATTCTCAAGACTCCGAAAACTCCAATCAGGCAGTTCACACTACGGTGCATAGAATTCAACTAACAGTTATAGTTTTCATAAAATAGTAGTATGCCTTGATCATCATCTTCATACTTAGCCAGTCTCCAAGCTATCGTGGTTTGTTTAGTACGCAGATTGTAGAAGGCAGCTTATATTTATATGGATGTACTAGAAGAAGCATAAGAAAGACTACTGTAATTCCTCAGACATTAAATTGGAGTGTAATTCACTTCAAGATTCCTACATAGTAGTTACCGCTTATGTGTGTCACTGGAAAGCTTAACAATCGGGAAGGACAGATCAATAATGACTGAGACAATGTTTTTTTATCATTCATCTAATTCAATGAAATTTTATGATGATGAAATTTAGTACAATAATATAAAATTCATATCGGATCACAAAAAATGAATGAATGGTAACAGGTTTCATCTTCATAATAAGATATATTTAGTAGATTAGCAGTGGAGTCTAAGACGCTTGTTTCACCCTGTCTCGGACTCGTCAGCTGGATGTGCATACACCACAGTGGGTTATAATGTTCTCAATGAAGTTCAAACTTAGTGATCATGACATCAAACGTGGAAGTATCTATTGTCCACGAAGCTACTGAGGCACAACAACCACCTCTTCTACAATAAGTGTGAATCGTTACTTGCTGATACTTTCTATTCTCCATCAATCCAGCTTTTGAAACGATGGGTTCGAGTCTCAGTGGAAACACTACCATTCACAAGGGGGCAGGTGAATCTAGCTGATGAATCACAAATAGGAAAAAACGCGTGTTCTGGATTCCACTGTTAGTCATCAAGTAAGTTACAATATGATGAATACTCAGACAGTATCGAGGCATATGCATAAAAATTCATCTGTCAACAGAAGTCCAGCAATTCAATCCAGTATAACAATGGGGTCAGACAGATTTCCAGGGATCAACGCAGACAATAGATTGAATGAAGTTACAAGACTAATGAAATATTCTTCACAAAAGTATCCTAAGAAAATGATGGTCAGATCACATCATTAATTTTGAAGGTGAACATTTTTGTTAAATCGATGATATGACTACGGGAATAACAAACTATATTCAGTATATGGTTTAATAGGAAGGAACCTACCATTTCTGTTGACATATTGATCATTTGACGTTCTGATGCTATTGGACGGTGTAATTGATGTGTAATAACATCAATTGGTGATAAATTATTCCCAGAAAAATTGCTTGTACTATTTAATTCTAAACGTGAACGATTATTTTTCTGACATAAATTTGATTGGATCAAAGGATTTGGTAGTAATGCTTTGATAAGACTAATTGAATTATGTCCACGTTGATTAGACAATTGTTGTGATGAAGAATCAAGTAAACTTTCATCAGATCCAACTAATTCAATATTACTTGAATATATTGTACTTGTAAAAGAAGATGGATGCTTTGTTGAAGTTGTAATATTTGATGAAGTATTCAACTGACTAGTTGGATATTGTGATTCTTGTTCATTTGTACTGACAAGTGTTCCTGGGATACGAAATTTTAATCTGCATCGTTTTCTCACTTCTTCAGACACAGGAAGTAAGGCTGTTAAATAAGCTATACTCTCATGACTAACTTGATATTTATCTCTGTAAATTATAAAAAAATTAGATTACAACAATTATAATCTTCTTACTATTTATTGATATACTTGTTATTCTCCATTGTTTTGTTGGACCGAATTGTTCGACTGTGCTAGTCACAACCAACCAATTTATCATAATTAACATTCAGGCAATATCGAGGTATCCGCATAGGAGCCCATATGCCAATAGAGGTCGAATAATTCGATCCAACAAAACAACGGAGAATTACAAGCATATCAATAAATAATAATAACTACCACCTGTTGTACAAAAAGTGGCTATTGTCCCTCTGTGGCATGGTGGATAACGCTTTGGCGCCTGAAGCGATGGGTACGGGGTTCGAGTGCCAGTGGGGACAACATATCAGTCACTGCAGTGCAGGTACATCCAGCTGACGAGTCCCAAATAGGATGAAGCGCTCGTCCTGGATTCTTCTGCTGGCCACAACCAACCAATTAATTATAATCTTCATTTTTCATCAATGGATATTTCATTGAACAATTTATATTTTAATTTTTGTTAGTTGATGACAATAAGCAGAAAAATTTGTTTAACTTGGTCTCCATTCTTGTCAGGATCTGTCAGCAATGTGTATATATTGCCTCAGAAAATGCATAGACTAGAATGAACTAAGCAGTTAACAACTTTTATGACACTATATGTGTATTCAAGACCTGTAGGAGGTCAATCGTGACCTGAATAGATCATTGCTAACGTCTCTGAATGCAGTACTGGGTAATGACAATTTAAATTAAAGCGATTCAAGATGATGAGTTTCCAAGCTTGATGACTGAGTCACAAAATGATCAATCGAACTCAATTGGCACTAAGGAGTGACTTTAAAGTCCACTCTAGCAACTGATGAAACTACTAACCATGTTTCTTTATTCTATGAAAAACTGTCTTCCCAGTCAAAATACAGCAATCTGATTGGTTATTTTGGCAGTTGTTAGGGTGACCTTTAAAGTCGCCTGTAACAAGTACCAAACAACATCAAATTGGTTAGTCTTCAACGACCAATTACAGTTTACAATTTGCAATTTTTATGAGCTACGCTAATTTGGCTTTAGTGGAAGTTGTTAACTTCAGAGTGATTTGAAATTATGTTCTTTTTCATATTTACACATAAAAATCATTTTATCAAGTTGTATTCTTGGTCGTCAGTACGGTCAAAACGCTGTTTTTCAAGCCAGTTTTACTTACAATGAACATACTTCCCTAGAAAAGTTATTGAATTTTATACATGCATGTACACGCCTTATTGACTATAGTGGACTTTGTAGTTATACTAGTACAGCTTGCAATCATTCGAGTACAAATCTAGAAGTGACTTTAATGGGAACCCTACCAACTTTATTTTATAAAAAACTGCCTGTTTGGTCCAGAATACTGAAATTTGACTGGTTGTTTTAAAAGTTGCTAGTATACTCTTTAAAGTCACTTGAAATCTGGTCGCTTTACTGATTACCGTTGGATAATGTAGATTTGTTAACTAAGGTTAAGAAAATGTTAATCACTGAACAATACAAAGCATAATGAAGGAAAATCGATATTTTCACTTTGAAAACTGAAAAATCAGAATATTCTGAAGAGGTTTTATTGACACTTAAGTTTTTCTATGTGCTCAATAACAAAAATTATTCATTTAATTTGTCCTTAAAAATAATCACTTCGACGACAGCTTTAATAGTCTGAGAATAAAACATGGTTAGTCGATAGGTAAACTAAGATGTTCACTGAATCTCTTACGTGATATAATACTTTGGTCAAGTGAAGTTCAGATATTACTTGAATGATTAGTCGGATGAAATGTAAATAAATTCGTTCATGAGTGTGTAACATAGTAATCAATATTCTTATTTCGTAACTCATGCTGTGTACTTGTAAATAGAAAAACGTATTGCAGTCTTAGAGAGGAGCAGGTCAGTTGTAACTTGTATACTTACTTGGCGAAGTCTGATACCGATCCAACTCACCTAAGGAACACTAGTTTTCTCATGGTTGCAGATACATTTTGCTGATGAGTGCAGATAAGTTCGAAACTAAAGTCTAACAAGACGCTAGTTCACGTCCGTCAATACGTTATCATTATAGTTCCTTTGTTACAGTTAATTTTTTGACACTACTGAAGTGTCAGCTGATCAATAGTTATTAAACTGATCCAGTTAAACTGATAACTACTCGTAACACTGATAATTGATTGACAAATGCCAATCCAAATGCCAACAAAATACAGAAACCGAATGAAAGATGCAACCAGGGTGTGGTACATGTGAATCATTCATCCACCAGGAAATAATTAGTCAATCATTGAAGTAAAAGTTGTTTGCCAGCCATTATGTTCTCATATAAGACTGCATTCCTTTGCTCGATAAATAGCTTTGAATAATTTTCATTAGGTATTTCGTTTGATTACGGGAATAACTAACATAACCATAGATAAGTAAGTACTAGTCATTCAGTTATGTAGACATCTTGTGTCTGTCAGTCTTTCAATCAAAACAATCATCATTTTTAAAGATCACCTTTATTTTGACTTCAATGTATATTTACATTAGACGACTATTCAGATAACTAGCTGGTTCCACCTTCTTTAGATGAATTCTACTTTGATTTCAGGTTGATAATCAACATAAATTGACATCATTTGAAGAATTACTGGTGACCTGAGGTCGCTGAACAGCTGTTTCGTATAAGACTCCTCAGCAGTGGAAACTAATGGCTCCACCCTAACAGGGGATTGAACTCAGGAACTTGAGATTTCACGACGAACACGTTAACCATTCAGTTACTGGGTTAGAATTCAGTCACCTATAGTTTTCTACTTCTAATCAAACTCTTCAGTTAATATTCACTTCATTTCTCATTGGTTGACCCTAAAATGACCCTGTGATGAATACTACCTTAAAAATAAAATTCTCACTAAATTTAAAACCAATTATAATTATCTGGCATGCTATTCATTTTTATTGTGAAACAACGCACCGGGTATTATTAACAAATTAATATTCACTACCATAGTTTAATAGAATAAGTATATATTATATATATATATATATATATATATATATATATATAATCAACCGATTAATGAATATTTTAGTTAATATTGATAATTTTACTCACCGATTAATTGGTTTTGCTACAATACTTAACAGTAAATTCAATACACGTATAGTTCGTGCCATTGTCTTAGCATCAGGATGACGAAATCCTTTTAATAAATGACCAACTAATGCAAAATGAAAACTATCACGAAAACTTAATCCTACAGCATGATCCATTTGTTTATATTGTAGAATAAATTGTTCACGACATCTCATCATTATAGTGCTGAGTGACTAGATTAGTAGAAGAAAAAAAGATGAAATATGAAGGCAGGGAAAATAATTTTTGGCTGACAAGGGTAGAATTGCTCGACCCTAACTGACTGACTGACTGCTCACTGTATTGTCATCTGCTTGGTGGCTAACAGTGGAATCATCCAGAACGTGCATTTCATCCTACTCATGACTAATATCGAGGCATCTAGACAGGTGACTATCTGCCAACGGATATCGACCAACTTGACTTAGTATAGAAAATGGAGATTACAAGTATCAAATAACACCTTATCCCCGTGGTAAAAGAGATGGCTCTAGTGGATGGCGTATTGGTGTTCAAAGCGATGGGTACTAGGTTCAAATTTCAGTCAGAACAACATCACTCAGGCATTTCCAGCTGACTAGTTTGAAGTAGGAAGAAACGCACGTTCTTGATTTCACTGCTAACTATAAAGCACACTACAACACAAATTTTGACCATATTTAATGTTGACCCATAGATAAGTCGATAAGAATTAACTAACGTCTCATTTTACACCAATCTATTTGATAAGTTTGGATTTTAGGAATCGTATTTTATCTAGAACTCAAGATCAGCACCAGATTTATCATACTCATCAGCTGTTTCACTAAATTTCTATCCATATACCCACTATTACTATGAATTTGAATCACAGTGTTGCATAACAATAGTATATCTATACTCAAAGATGAAACCATGATATTCTGTTCTAACACATCGAAATTTGAGACTGATGAGTTAGCATAGTTTCATGTAGCTAGTTAATCGCATTCAAAGAAGTCATTATTTCCGTTAGTTATTTACTTGTATGAATTGCATGAAGATTATAAGGATGTAGAGTGGGTTGCAGTTCACTTAATATTTCAACCTAATATTTATTCACTACAGAATATTGACACTTCTATATCTTTAAAAAGGTAAATATTTGTGATGACTATTCAATCTCACTGGTGTTTAAACTGTTTACTGAAATACTATAACAATCGAAATCCATTCAGTAGCCTTGCATACATTCATGCAGTAGGCAATGAGCCACACTTATCATATGTTGAAGCCTCGAACCTCAGTGAGTGAGGCAGTTTTTGAACCGTGACCCACTGATTGAAACTCACCTCTCTAGAGCAATGAAACCCAACAACCATACAGAATAAAACTAAATATATGCCTTGTTTCGCACTAAATAACCTACACTGATGAATATGCATTCATTGTAGGCTGGTTCTGTTCATTGTAACATAACCTTAATGAAAATAACGGGGACTTTATGCATCATTACCTAGTTGATTTGAAAGTGTACTATATCTCTGTTAAATAAATCGTACAGTTAAGATAGCTTACATCAAGTCATACAAATATTTTCTAACAAGTATGCCAAAGCTTTACAATACATTCGAATTGGAATAGTCTAATTCTAGTAAGTACATGAATAATCTTATTTACTTGATATTCGAGAGGTGAGATTCGGATAATTCTATTGGTGCTGCATATTTGTTGCAAGAACCTATCACGCAACGAATATGCAGGGGAAGGAAGTGGAGATGGATTGGAGTCAGCATACACTGAGAAGGCCGACTGGGGACATCACGCGTCAGGCCAGTTGCTCGAGTGGAATCCCTATGGGAAGCGACGAGTTGGACGTCCGAGGGTGACATGGAGGAGGTCGTGCGAGGAGGAAATGAGAGCTTCTGGGCTGTCGTGGGACCAGGTTCAAAAGATCTCAGAGAACAGAGGTCACTGGAGGCGTGCTACTGAAGCCCTATGTTCCACTAGGAACCCAGAGGACTAATAATAATAATATTGGTGAAAAATATGGGAATACGAAGTTGATAAGTAGTTCGCTTTCATTATCAACTTCTATTGGTCGACCGTAAATCGAATATGTTTCTACACTAACACATTAGGTCAACCCATTAGCTTGAATTCTTTAAGTGTATAAGTTACAAACTGTTGACCATCATCATTTTCTAGTATTTCTACATGAAAACATTCTATTGGCAACAACTCCTATTATTCCTTTGTTTTCAATTAATCTTTGTTTATTATCAGTTTCCTATGTGTATAAATCAATTTGACAGGGGAATTATTCACTAAGTTGGAAAATGTTTCATCGTCCAATATATCGATTGAAGTCATACAATTTATGTCAATCTTAAAGTCAGTTAACAGAGACGAAAGATCAGTATTGGACTGATTTTGCATGTAGTAGACATGTAACAATTGTGTTGGTCTATGTCAAATAAATTATTATTTTTTGAATGGAATGAGACTTTTTAATTTCGAGGTCATGGGTACGTACTGCCAAGGAGTCCCATACTAGGACGAAACAGAGGTCCAATGCTCACAGATTTTTAATGGTTCCCCAACTGATATCAGTCTATGATGAATACTACCTCTGAATAAATTACTCACCCATATGATAGACTAGTCATGATTACTATTCTTCATTCTCTGAAGTTTAATAAAGTATGAGTTGTTATTGTTGAGAAAAATTCTCTATTGATGCGTCTATCAGAATATCACCGTCGTGCAATCGATTAAATTTCTAATATCACATATATATAAAATAATTCACTTACATCATGCTCAAATGTTCCATTCTGATCCAAAGTTAACAAGTTTTGTTCAAGTAAAGCTAAACCAGCTGCATACAATGAGACTTCATCCAATTGTAATATGCCTAATGCAATCCAAAATAATGGTTGATGTGTTTCTGAATCCGATGGTAGAAGTGGTAAAAGTCGAGTTAAACAAATAATTATCGCTTCAATGAGATATAATTCTATTGAAGAAGAAAAAAAGTAACAATAAAGAGGATTCCTTAAAAGTGAAATTATTATACAGGAACCATTTTAGTGAACAGATATTCGAAAATTTTTTTAGTGACTATGAAATATGAGATTATTTGTGATAAATTGGAGGAAGTATCAGTAATAATAGGAATCATTCCTACTGATATTAAAATATACAATCACCGAGGATTTTATCAGCACAATACTTTATGATCCTAACGTTAGTTTCTTGAACAGGACTGACAGATTCTTGTTATAAAATGTATTCTCCATAGAGAAGACTAGATATCTTTGGGGGTTTTTGTTAAGGTAGCTGAAGGTGGTGAGTAGTAGAAGGGTGGAATGAACATTTCATCCCATTTATGACATAAGCTTCAGGCAGAATTGTACTGATTTCATATTGATCACGATGACTAGTAGAGGAATCTAGGATGCACGTTTCGTCTTATTTGGGACTCGTCAGCCGGATGTACCTGCATCCCAGTGAGTGGTGTTGCTGCCACTGAGGTTCAAATCCAGTATCCACCATCCACTAAGCCACTGGCATACCATAATCACCTATTGTACAATGGGTATCAGTTGTTGCATTGATTTCTTTATTGAGATTAGAGTTTAGTAGTAACTGTTTAGAAAAGTTAACAAAATATCCAATATCTATCTATCTATCTATCCATCCATCTAATATCTACGATAATCGTCTTGGAGTGCAACGAGTGTTACGATGTTGTGAGGGAGTTTCGCCCTGTTTAGAAGCTATCAATTATTATTGTTATCACCAGTTCGACTGTTCGAGATGGCGGCGGTTTGGCAGACTTGTATTGATACTCAGTAATGATTGAAGGTGGGATAAAAATTTGAATTCACATGACAGTCAGAAGCAAAAATCCTTGGTGAATAAAATAAAGTAGAAATCTGGTCAGTAATCGTGTCTGGTAGTTCAGTTGATAGATTACCGAGCCGGAAACCTAGTGGTCACTGGTTCGAATCCACCCATGGCCTAAATTTTCATTTCGTCTTGAATCATCACCCAGTGTTAATTTTGTCATGTCCATTTTTGTCATCACGATTGGAACCTAACACTTATTCTTTCTTATACTAGTAACAAATGGAGTTTTTCCGACTAATCGGTAAAAGATGTTAGGAAAGTTAGTTCCCAATGGGACTGAGCGCATCAACTGGAGTCTGAAAAAAAACTTGTTATAGTGTACAGAAAGATTGGAAGAATCTTCGTAAGAAACCGCATATGCCTAAAGCTTTTTTCAATCAATCACTTTGTTTCGGAATTTTGGGAAAAGGCACGTGAACCAACGTGTAAGTATCAGGTTGGTTGAAGAGATGAAAAATCAATGGAACTTTAGTCTAGAAAGGCCTGGAAATAGCCAAGGCCATGGTAATGTATATCAACCTCGTAATTTGTACATATTATTGACGTTACTGTTGACAGTGCCAAATACATCTATTCTGTTACCGCCTTTTCTATTTACGGAGGAGCTGAGTGACTATTAGGAGAGAATCCGAAGGTATTTGTACAGGCGTCCACATATACACAATTCAAGCTATGTCAAGTCACTGGTAAAGATATATAAAATTTGCGACTGAAATATGTAAAATGGTGACGGATGAATAAATGCCAACTCTTTATCATGAAGAACTTAAAGCTTCTCTGTAGTGTTATAATGAAAGAATGAAAGCCTCATCACTGAGGATTATTGAAAAATTCAATCAAATGCCGAATAACATACAGATAGGATCTACATCGAGAAGTCATAAGATTTTAAAAAGACGTTTCTTAGACACTTCAATGATAGACATACTGAAGTTGAAAATGAGTTCGAGAAGCCTGATAATATGAATCATGTTATGTCGATGGATGAGAACGATATTAACCCCTCCACTACGCTGCCACAAAATAGTAAATCATGAAAATATTCAATTAGATTATGTTGATGAAAATCAATGGAGTACTTGTCGAGAATTTACAAAAGGGACATAACGTTTTTATTGTCAATCACTTGTGTGTATTTTATTATTAACATAGCATTTTTAACAGTGAAATGCTTACACCAATTCGCTAACCTCGATGAACCAAATTCACTTAAGCTTTTTTAAGCAGGTAGTGCTGTCATACTATTTTGGTCATATTTGCCAACAAGCCTTAGCTTTCTAGATGACAGCGTGAGATTTTGTGTCCAGTTTGAGCCAGGTAATTTAGATGTAGTTGGTATGAATGGTTAGGTACTTCGCTATCCGATGAATCACCATAGTCAACACCATAGTATTCTACCACGGTGACTTGCTTCTGACCACCTGGTGCATTGTGAATTTGGATGTAATTAAGGTTTTTCAGTTACCTGGTGGTTAGTGGATGTGATGTCTGAAGTGAAGCTGGCTTGCAGATAGTCCTAGTGTCCATTTTCTCGTATGAACATAAACTGTCTTTGGTAAAGTAATCCACTATCGTGCTAAGCAACTATGTCAACTGATGCGTGTACAGGGGAATTGAACCCCTCCGTATATCTGTGTAATTATTGGTAATTGAGCTTGTACTGGTACTCTCTGAGAACTTCTTGTGGATATTCATTGTGAGGTTCAGTTGTAGAAGCCTGGGTAACACTAAACATGTTACATTATTTTGCAAACTGTCGACAAGTACTTCATGGCTTTCATCAGCATGATCTAACTAAATGTTTGGATAATTTCACGGTCGGGGGTGGATGTGTTAATATCGTCCTCATCCGTCGATTCAGTTGAAGGTCATCGTCAAATGCTATACGTTAGATATGTTAGCTGTCTTCGCTTTTTTACATTCAAAATGTGAGGGATTAAACAAATTGAAATAAAAATAACGCACATATCTTGTTTTAAACTAAAACTATTAATGGAGTAGCTATGGGTTCTCCGGTATCCCCTTTGCGTTGTATTCATGTCTTACATTCAATCAATCATCTTCTTTAACTCCATCAAACCATGTATTTGCCTTAGATACCTAGATGATACATTCGTAATTTTTAAAAAGATCTCGTCTCAGAACTTATTCCAAATTAATTAATACTCATTCTTCACACATTAAATTCATATGTGAACATGAAAATGTAACCAGTGGAGTGTTTGGTTAAAAGGAATGGGAACTGAAGTCTAAGTTTATCGATTTATCACAAAAGTAACACATTCAAATGGATATCTTGATTTCAACTCAACACATCCACTCAGTGCTACACTTTCACTTGCTCAGAATTGATTCAGGAGAGCCAAAAAGCTCATCACGAATGAAGATGACAGGGCAAACGGAAGTAAGTAATGTATTAGATGTATCATATTCCAATAACCACCCTAAGAATGTCATTCAAAAGACTCAGAAATATGAACAGAAGGACCCAAAATGAATTTGAAATGATGATTTTCAGATTGGCACAGTAGTTCTACCATTCCACCACAGTAAAACTGAACAGCTACAAAGAATCTTGAAGAAATACCGAATTACAGCCTTTTTCAAGACTACAAACACTCTCAGAAATGCTCTAGTACACGTAAAATATACAATTCCTTTCACCTCCACACAGAATCGTGTCTACACAGATTAGGCAGTGTTGATTGTGATGCCTAGTATATTGGTCAATCATCTTATGAGATCACCATTTGGGTTAAAGGACATGGAAGCTACACATAACGATGGCTAAATAATCTTGTAGAATTTACAAGTCAAGTCGGCGATCGCGGTTCATGTCATCGATCACAGTTACAAAATCGATGTTGAAAATATTAAAATTATTCAAAAAAGGTTTCTCCAACAGCGAGGAAATAAGAATAGCTGAGACATTTCATATTATGTTGAATCCAAATACACTCAGTAGAGAAATGAAGGCCTTACACTATCCAACCAACCTGAACAGTATTCCCAAAAACAGCACACCACATACAATATTCAGAACTAAAGTGCATACATACACATACACAAACTGAATTTGTCATCCATAGTATTGTTCTTACACTTTCACAACCAGTCACATGTATACATATTCACATCACCTTCAATTCCCGACTAATCATGGGTAAGAAAGACAAGTTCGAGCGCGTCCTGACCAACATAACAGTGATATTTATTAAATTGGCATGCACGTTGGACTGACACCAATTGTAGAAAAATTGGAAAACTGAGAGCCCTCAACAGCTGTCCATCCTTAGTATGGGACTCCTCAGCAGTTTGCACCCATGACTCCGCTAGGGATCACACCCAAGACCTTCAGGTTCCGTGGCAGGCAGGTCATCATTGAGCCACTGGGTAGGACTCCAATGATCCATATTTCCTACTCCTATCAGTTCACGAAACAGCGCGACCGCCATCCAATGTCATCATTGAGTATTTGTCCTCATGGCCACCGGGTTTCTAATGTTCCTACTACTGATCTCAGTCCATGATGAATACCAACTTTTGAAAAATCTCTAAATTTTAATAAACTCCCAGATTCAATGATATTTATGTCCATATTATTATTATTATTATTATTATTATTATTATTATTATTATTATTATATATAGACAATGTGATCTTCGAATTCATCACTACTTACTATTTAAACAATCGATGGAACTTGTACAGGTTTTACTTGTATTAATCATATTTTTAATGTATATATAAGAAATTCCTTATGAATATATTGATAATAATTAATTAACATAACTAACCTGCTTGTCCAGTATTTACAGTTCTATGCCTTAAATCTTTTTCCATATTCAATTCATTTGCATAAGATGCTAATGCTCTAGACATGATACACAATAATTGTTTAATATCAGTGTCTGTGAAACTTTTACAAATACAGCCAAGTACAATGATAGCACGTGGTTGTAAGGCTGGATTATGCTGAAAAGCAAATCTTAAAAAAAGTTTTTTTTAAATATAAATGAAACGCATAAATAAAGTGATTCAATCTAAAATAACATTACCGATAGTAGCAGTAATAATAATAGTAATGATGATGATGATAATAATAATAATAGTGGTAACAAGCTTCTGTAGTATTAAAAACTTCAGAAATGCATATTGATTGATTAATGAATGGTAACTAACTGTATATAGTCTTGTTCTAGGTGCTGGTCGAATTCTACCGATCATTTTGCAGTATGTCCACCAGGCTAGGAGGTTCACCGTCACGAAGCCTTAAGATAGATGTTAGTAGAATGAAGGCAATAGGCAGAGGTGATGAAGATACCCAACCAACAACAACAACAGCAAAAGCGACAACAAGCTCCAATCACCATGAACGGGAGAAACTTAAAGGAAGTAACCTCCTTTACCTATCTAGGCAGCACTGTTTCAACTACAGGTGGCACAGGCACAGATGAGGACGTCAAAGCAGCCAGGATCGGAAAAGCAAGACAGGCGTTCATTAGCCTGAAACCAGTGTGGAGATCTTCTGCGCTCGGCATGGTGAACAAGATGCGGATTTTCAACACCACCGTCAATTCAGTGCTTCTGTATGGTTCAGAGACTTGCAGCGTTACGAAAAGGATTTCCAACAAACTACAGACATTCATTAACAACTGCCTACTCTAGCTCGTTACTGAAAATCAGATGAATCGCCAGAAAGAATAAGCAACAAGGAACTCTGGCCTGTCAACGAACCAACCAAGAACCTATCACTCAACAAATATTCAGAAAAAAGTGGAGATGGATCGGATTGGGCATACACTGAGAAGGCCGACTGGGGACATCACGCAACAGGCCAGGCCGTCGAGTGGAACCCGATGGGAAACGACCAGTTGGGCGTCCCAGCTGAGGGTGACATGGAGGAGATGGTGTGAGGAAGAAATGAGAGCTTGTGTGCTGTGGTGGAGCCAGGTTCAAAAGATTACAGAGAAGAGAGTGGAGTGGAGACGTGCTACTGAAATCCTATATTCCACTAGGAACCCAAGAGACAAATAATATAATAGGTCCCGTTTGACCCGGATTTCGTGCGTTTTACAATTTCAACAGGACTGATATCCCGACTGAGATATGAACCCCCCGTCAACCAGTGTTGCAGTCAGAAATGTTACCATTGATCTATTCAGGCTGCGATTATCCTCCAGTAGGACTGAAATAGGTACATTAGAAATGTCTCTTCACATTTAAAAACTCTGTTTAATAAAGACTTCAGAATGAAATTCCATATTCTCTCCTTTCTCTCCTATACCAAACAAGACTGATCCTACTGTCTGTTGGTCATTAGTGACATGCTTCGAAATAAGATTTCCCGAAGTTCTAATGACGTATATTGATCCGTGGGACAAACCAATTCAGACGTCAGGACAATCACTCAACGACGGCATTGGATGAATTTCAAGCTGTATCATGAAATGGCCGTTGGGTTCTTACCTGTTAGCTCAGTGGCAACATGCTCGTTGCTAGATCTCATGGTCCTGGGTTCAATCCCCAAAGAAGTCGACGGTAAGCAATGCTGAGGAGTCCCATACTAGGACGAAATAATTGTCTATTTCTCCTAGGCTTCTAATTGTTCTCCAGCTGATGTCAGTCCATGATAAATACCACCCCGAAATCAACCAAATCCCTACAGTCCTCCAGAATGAAATATCTGGCTTACTTTTGGTCAATTTTTTCTTCCTACATTAACTCATCCAACTGATTTTGTACTACTTCTTGCGTAACATACTATCACAATAATATATGATGTGTTAGGAATATTTGACTTTACCCACTGTTCATCAATTTCTTGTCTTTAAAATATGCTTTGAGTCTTTGTATAAAAAGAAATGTTGAGTAATAATTTTTGTTGTATCAGTTATTGGTTTGTGCTCATTTCAGTTATTTAACAATAGTGTTACCTTACTTTATTTTTGTTAAAAATATTATGGGAACACTTTATTATGATCTATATTTTATGTCGTTAAAAACAGTTTAGTAATGATGGACGGTGGCTAGCAGTGGGTTCCAGAATGCGCATTTCATCTTACTTGGACCCGTCAGCTTGGTATACCTGCCTCCCAATGCCAAGTGGCGTTGTCCCCAGCAGAATTCAAACTCGGGGCCGGTCGCCTTAAACGTCAAGTTGTTATCCAGTAACACCACCGAGCCATGACAGCCACCTTTTGTACGGTGGGCATATTTTTAGTGTAAATGCTTGTATTGTACCGTCGTTGGTTGGACCGAACTAATCGGTCTCTATTGATATATGGGCTCCTGAGCGGATGCCTCGATATTGCCTATGTTTTTAATTATATAGTAATGATAGTATAAAACAAGCGTGGCTCGGTGATCTAGTGGACAGAGATGTGGCGTTAAAAACGATCGGTCACGAGTTCAAATCCCGGTGATAACAACATCACCCACTGGGAGGCATGTACGTCTAGCTGACGAGTCCCAAATAGGACGAGATGTGCATCCTGGGATACACTGCCAGCCAATGCTGATCATGAAAGCTTTTTGACAAAAGAACGCAGATAAGTCATTCAACACACTAAGACCCCATTTTCAATTCAGTCAGCCTTAAATGTTTACCGGTATTTTAATTACAGTTGGTTCACTGCCCTTACTTTGGCCGAAAATAAAGTGTTCAGTCTAGACTGAATACTTTAAATAATAGTGGATTTTATGTAAACTAGGAACTCCAATTTACGGTGGTTAGTAGGTGAAATCCAAATGTAATCTAGGAAAAAAATTTTAAAAAAATGTGATGCCAGGTTCAATCCAATAACTATAAGATTTTCATCTCCATCTAACTGTGAGGCTTAGTAGATAGAAATACATTTGGTCCACGGATGATAATTTTTTAAGTGTTGTTTTCTACCCCATCTCCCTCACTACCTGCGCCACTTGTTGTCAAATCAAAATACACGACGAACCAACCCAAGACATTGGTTGAACGAAATTGAAAAGTACTATAAAATAGAGGAAACTGGGGAAGGGTTACTTTATTTCTATGATGAACAACGATACCATCCGGTGCTGTAACAGAAAATGAATCAATCTTCATGGAGCATTTTCGTCTAGCCCCATTTCCATCTTTAGAGTCTTTGAAGGACGCCCTAAAGAAGTATAAGAACCAGACGTATACGCACAACGTTGTACGAGATTCACATTTTTAAGGTGACCCAAGAGCCTACATCAAGTTAGTTTGCTTTAAGGCTAGTGGAAGCCGGTCAATAAAGGGTTTAGTGACAAGAAGGTCAGTTCTGTTTGTTTTCATTATATATTTCATAGGATATCCCTGAAATGCTTTTGTCTGGTGTTCGTGTTCGCCAATTTTTCAGAAGGTTTCTGGACAGCAACTCGGTGGCTGTTAACTCACAATTATCCCTGCAATTCTCTGCTTTATGACAATAGTTCTTGGGCACGGAAGTTGACGTGAGTTGAATTGGACAACATAAGGCCATTGCTAATATCCGACACGGCTGCATTTAATGTTCTTGTTTTCACTTATGCACACTAAGGTAAACGACTGAATAATCAAGATGTGTTCAGTACGCGTTATCACTTATTCATTTAGTGTAATCTGACCAGTATGTAGAATTTCCTATGAAACCATTTTGTTGTAGGAATTTATTATAAATTCCAGGAGCACATAATCAGTTACAGTGGATCGGCATTCTTCTCTGTTACTGAAAATGCAGATCTAAAATCCTTCTTTTTTGCTACAGTGGAGCAACTAAAATTTGCTGAAAACTAAACCACACAACACAATCAGGATCATCTACCTGAGCTACAGATATTTTGTACTATACATTCCAACCAATTTAGTCCAAGTAACATCACATCAAACCAGCCTAGTAGATAGGCATTTATTCATTGTGTTTACTGCATTAGATATGGGAAAGTTTATTGTTGTACATTAAACTGCTTCACTTGCTCATATCTTTTTATTTCTTGTCTTTGAAACTACTTAGTCTATTTGTAGGGTTTCTTACACTATGCCAATAATATTGGAATAAATATTTCACAATATTTCAGTCAGTCTATTTCATTGTTTACTCTCTGTTATACCTATTAATGGAAAAGAAGCTGGGAAGTTTTTGCAAGCATAACTGATTGTATTATTTTAGTTAATTTTAGAAGACATTTCATTGAAGACTTATTTTATCATATTGTGGTATAATTCAACTGAAGAGGTTTGTATTTAAACTGTGGCACCTGTTTCTCTTCGTTGTATGATTCTAGAATAACTGATGGCTAAAGAAAATCGACTATTATTATGTATATCATTGCTTTATGTGAATCAAAATCCGTTATTTTATCCCGATGAAGTATGGTGCATTGTGGTACCATTTGATGAAGTCTTTTGAGTTGCACTGGGCGATGTAAACTACTTGGTTGGGATTTCCTAAGAGATAAGAATTAGTCGTTGAGGATTCTTGATGAAATGACTGAAAATCGATCAGAATGGTGCAAATATATTCACTCATTGACATCTAAAATTTGAATATTTGAGCTAACCTTTATCCAGATATCCTTAGTTCTGTCATACAACTTTCTCTACTATGTTCTCTGTATACTAGTGTGAAGTGTAGCAACTTGAACTGATAACTCTGTATGAGATGTTCTACGTTGACTTTATCAGTCAGTCAATTCAGTTGTAAATCCTTATGATCAGATGGTCACCTATCAGAATAGTGAGCGTTAGTCATATCTTCTACCGAGCTAAGTTTAGGTAAAATAATTTTGCTAATAATCAATATATGAATTGAGAATACAAGAAGTTATCATCTTAAACCTAATAAATAATATGTTCAGAATTGTAAGCGAATCAAAAAAAATCATTTGATAACAACATATGAGTAGGAGTTATTGGGGTTTCTATGCATTAACCAACATTTAAATGATAAGAAGTAAAGCATAATATAGCCAAAATTATCCTTAAAATAATACTCACTTTCGTGCTAATTGTGTCCATTGATCAAGCCAATGAGTAAATTTCGGTACTTCTTTAATAACTAAACTCATTACTTCTAATAAAGTATCAGTTAAAAATTCCAATGAACTCAATGATAAACGTTCAGCTTTGTCTAAACCATCTAAAGGTATAGATAATTGTGATGATGTTGGTTGATTAGATAAATAACCTGGTATATTTGTATATGGATTGAAAATATGTGGAACATAATGACTAGTTAGATTTAACCTGGATGAATAATTATCTGAATAATTTACATTTATCCGATTTCCAGAATTCAAATTGAACATTTCAACAGGACGCGTATATTGTTGTTGTTGTTGATGATGATGATGATGATAATGATGATGACTGTATGGATTTCTGGCACAATTATCATTGGATTCATTCATTTGTCTATTGTGTTGAGTTGGTTCAATACCAGATGTTATTTCCTGACAAACGGTTGTTTCATCATAATTACCACCAATCATTATTAAAACAGGATGAGAATTAGGATTCGATTCCGGTTTCTTAATCTCAGAATTTCGTAAATTTGAATCTTTTTTTCCATTCATTAATTCCACACCATCAACTGAGATTGATGTACATGTACCACCACTACAATTACTACTAATACTACTACTACTACTACCTTGACTGTGATGTAAATTTGAGACTACATTAATTGACCCTGAAGGAGGTGGTATATTTAACGCTATAGAACCTGTATGAGAAGAGTTATTCAGTCCAGTGGATGCAATTAAACCTGATCTTTCACCTGGACGAAAATGTGGAAATGCGCTTATTGGTGCACATTTAACATGTTGTATACCGAATACTTCATAGAATTTTGGTAAAGTGAATTCTGCAAGAAGTTGACGAAGTTGATGAACTGTCTTTTCTACAAGACAAATAAAAAAAAATGACATTTTAATAGAAAAATGATATATTAATTTTCAAGATAGAAGATAACTAAAACTGAGATAATTTTCATTTTCATAAATAAATGTATAAACTAATTCATTCTGATGAATATAGTCGTAAAACCTGGGTACTGTGGGAGATTGTAATTCCACTTTAAGGTTTGTGGGGATTTATTGACTTTAGGTTGGTATTCATCATGGACTAACATCACTTGAAGAAACATTGGAAATCTGTCAACACTGGATGGCTGTTTATCATACTATACAACTCTTCAGCAGTGAGTACCCATCACGCCACCGGGTGTCGAACAGAGGACCTTCAGGTTTCGCGCCTAGCACGCTACCATTGAGCCACTGGGTTGGAATCCAATGGTTTATATTTCCTACTTCTGTCATTTCGCGATATACCACGATTCCGACCCGGTGACTTAACGGTAGGGTGCTGGCCACGGAACCTCGAGGTCCTGGTTTGACCCTTGGCAGGGTCATGGATGCGCACAACTGAAGAGTCCTATAATAGGGTAAGATAGCTGTTCAATGCTTCCAGGTTTCCAATGGCTCTTCAGCTGATGTCAGTCCATGATGAATTCCATTTTAGTCTGTTTATTGGATTTTAGCCATAAATATTTTTACATCAACAGTTCACTTTACTGTTAAGCTTATCGTATGTAATCTTTTTATTTACCTAACCTTAGGTACTTTGTATACCCAATTGCCTAATGATATACATGTATGAAGAGAAGGATTATATCTTACGGAATCTTTTTAGCTTTTCATAGACTACTGTCTAATTTTCTTTTGCTCATTTTCTGAAGCGATGCATGCCTTTTTCTCTTAACATTTGCTGTAAGCCCTAAGTCGAATCTACTATTCGATGATGAAATGTAACGTCTTTATGATAATCGCTAATATCGACAAAGGCATTCAAAAAAGTCTAAGAAGGGATGAGTTTCTCCATTTAGAGGCCTTTTTATTCACGTTTAGTAGTAATATTGGAAAAAATAATTAATGAAATCATATTTATTACTGAATAATTTCCCCATTTATGGTAGCCATAGTCATCATTAAAGCTATCAGTCATAACTAAATTTAGAGTTCTGCATTGAGAGAGTGTAAATAGATTACATATACGTACTTGCTGAGTAATCGCTTCACAGTTCAACGCTGCTACACCACATCTCAGTCAAAAGAGTTAAGTGTGACCTTCAGGTCAAGAAATATGGCAAATGTTGGTCACCGGTAAGTATATTTGTGTTCCAAAAACCTGTAGCAGAGGGAATGTCTAATCAGTGGAACTTCGTTCACTTTTGGGACTTAGCTGATGTTCTGGATTTTACCATTCTGATGTATTATCAAGGTGCTGTATAACTACAGACCATAGGGTCTTGGACAAGATGGTAGTCACCCTAACTCATCAAACGTTTTTACAGGAAGAGTTCTCTTCTTTTCAATAAAGTGGAATCACCAGTGATTTACAGCAAACTGACGGAAATACATTTCAGTCTCGTGCATAAACTGGTATCTTGATTTCTCGACCAACTGACTTTCTACCTTCCTCCTTAAGAAAGTTCCAATAACCAATCATCATATCCGGCCGATTTAAAACAGTTTTCAAGGCTTCGAGGATAGTTGAAGGACCAATATATACATTCCGTTTAGAGTCACTCTGAATGCTGGGTACCTGAACGATGGCTGTAGACCAGATGAACAGCTTATCAAAGTGCTCCACCCAGCGTTCTAGCCACCCATTCTCAGAGGTTAACACGCAGGCATCGTTTTCGCTGATGTTCTCACTAACCATTAATAAACCAAAATAATTAAAGAGAATTTACTCATGCTGATGTCTTCTCTGTATATTTTTTACTTTCGCCACCCCCTACTGCCTGAGGTTACTGTGAGGACTCTTGCTGAAAACAAGCTAAAATCATTCTACTTGTATCATTTAGTTCACATGAGGCTACAGAAATCCACTGGCTTTTGTAAACCTTTGGATATAGGTTACCAATTTTCTTTGCCGCTATTTCCATGGTAAATTGAATAACACAGCAGTGTTCATAAGCAAAATGACTATAGTCACATTCAATTAAATGGTTAACTAGGTAGTGAGTTGGAAGTAAATTAGTCATTTACACAAAAAATACACTATAAGATATAAAAATGATATTCAATGGACAAATTCTTCTCACTATATAGGATATTGTTGAACATCATATTCACAAAAGTTCATTGATAAGTATACAAATAGGAAGATTAAAATGGAATACAAGTCAAATAAAACTTATCTTTTTATAACTCATTTTTAAAGGAGATGAAACTATCAGAAGAATCAATCAAAAAAAATATGTGCTGTCCTGAAAAGAAGTTGTTCAGCTGCCAAAACATATTTCATGTATAATACTAATTGTCCATATAGACAAGATGTGTATCTAACACAAGGGTCTTTTTATGAATTTATGAACTTAACGAATACGAAGCTTTGATACTTATATATTTCATTAGCATGATTGTTCAGCACTTACTTATAACAATGAATACAATATCAACACATCAGACCATTCAAATTAATAAATAGACAATGAAAACTGACTTTTCACTTTCCACCTTAACTATTGTATTCAAAAAGAATATAGTCTTATATCATCTTAATGATTCTATCATCTAGGCTTTGTAGTTAGATAACTTCATATATCTATGCATTGTCAGTTTCTCCTTCTATTCATTTCAAAACTGTCTCTTATTTTTTGAGTTCTCTACATCATATTTCCTATGTTAATGAAAACCTGTTTATTAACATTGTTTCAAACCTCTTCTCAACTTATATTATCTTCTATAAACAACTAACATGAGAACAATTTTTAGTAATTGTGTATATTTTCAATAATTTTAATCATTCGTTCTTTCCAATCAAGTTTCCAGCCCGGTGGTCATTGGTTCGAATCCTGCCGTGGTCCAAATTCTCATTTCACATTCAATCGTCACTCAAGTATGAATACTAATCAACCAAAACACGGCTATCTCAAATAGTTAAAATGATAATTATATAAAATTTAAAGAACTTGGTGAGAACTAACGAAGTGTTATCTTAGCCTAAAAGTTGAAAGTGGGAATCTCAGATAAGTGCTACTACTAGTATTATTTCATTTATTTTAAAATTATTTTCATTTATGATCTAACTGGTAACATTATTGTATATCTGGATTCAAGAGCTTTCGATTAACTCCTCATCCTTTTCTTTATGATCTATATATCAGGAATAACTGTATATCAAGTGAAACTCATTTCTAAGCATTGTACCATATTTTGTGCTTGAAATCAGCTATTTCATCTTTATAGATTATGCTGCGTTGTGGTCGAGTAATTCAGTTATATGTACAGATGAATCAAATCACTTAAAGATATATACATATAGTAAGCACTAGACTTTGTGTTCTGTTGTATGCGGTTAGGAGTGTAGAATTGCATGGTTCATCGTGTGGTTGAATTTACTATAGGAGACTCGGTAAGCATGTATGAGACCAATCATATGCTTAAGTCATTTGCAGAAGACTTAGCCATAACAAACTGGCGACAGTTACAATTGTTCTTCTGGCTTCAATAGAACGGATAAGATGACTGGAATTCTGTATTGTTGTACTATACACTCACACTTAATAGATAACCTATTATGACAAACATAAAATGGCTATATAGGTTGAATAGCTGAAGGAAACCTAATAATCACAACTACTGTTACGATTTGACAACTTTTGGCTTGGCAAAGTAACATGTTTTTATGTTTATGTTATTCATCTTTAATGGATCTGTGAATAAATGGTGGGATTGCAACAATTTAAACTGCTGGATCATAGATACGGGATACATTGTTGAAGTGTAGCTTCCTAAATTAATATCATCATTTTCCTTTCTACATTAGATAATACTAAAAGACTGATGTGTAACTATCAGCATAAGTATAAGGTGAAAATGACTGACAAAATCAACGTTAAACCTTGCACATAGGTGAATCGACTCAAGTTACCACATTTCACAGTAGTATACAAAGAATAGATTGACAGGAAGAGACTAATATCAAAGTAGACAAAGTTATGAAAGAGAATGAACAAACTGAAGATAAAGGTTAGTGTAAATATTCAAGCTTTCGAAGACTTCAAAGAATGAATGCATCTGCACCATTGTGGCTAATTTTCAGTTATGTCACAAAGAGTCCTTTCATCTCATAGACCCATTTTCACCCGACCAACAATATGAGACTTCATGGATTAATATCAGTTCTTGATTTGGACACCATGAACCCTCTTCCAATATAATCCAGCTTTTTTTTAGCATGGTACATCAATGTAAACGATGGATGACCATGCTTAGTATATGTGGAAGCTATCTCAGTCGACTATAGTTCATATGAAACTTTATAAAACTAACACTATGTATTCAATTCATTCCACTTGTTTTTATGTTTTAGATAAAACTTTTTAACTAAATCTAATCATCTCAGTATCCCTAATGTTCTTTAGAATCGGAAGGAGGTAAAACATCATATAGAGTGTCTTGTTACATGATTTAAAGATACTTTCTGCAAAATTAACTTATCGAATAGCAAGACACTGTTTGGATGAAGCAAAAAGATGTTCACCAATTAGTGATTTAATGAGATTAGTAAATATCAATTATACACTTACAGTTAACTGTTTACTTTCAAAGAAATAAGGTGAAAACAAAAAAATATTGACAACACAGAGGTGATAATAATAGGTGAATGGAATTATTTAGTAATAACAGATTAATAAGGTCATAATACGAACAATCTGTTTGATGAATGATATATGACCATTTTGACATGAAAAACACTCTGAAACAATACACTCAACATGCAATGAGGAGAAAGGAGATCGATAGATATAAATCAATATAAACCAATCTACTTGGTAGTGACCAGAAGTAAAATCGACGATGCATGTTTCATCCTATTCGGGACTCGTCAGCTGCATGTGCCTGTACCTGTACCCCAATGAGTGGTGTTTTTCCCCACTGAGACACAAACCATGTACCCATTGCTTCAAACACCGAAGTATTATCCACTAGGCTGTTAGGTAAATCCAGCTGATGAGTCTCAAATAGAGTCGCAAATACTCCCAGCCACCATCAACCTGATGGATAACCAGACAGTATTGAGGCAACCGTATAGGATATCATATGCCAACAGAGGCCGATAAATTAGATCCAGAATAACAGCGAGAAGTTACAAGTGTCAATAAATAAAAAAATCGTTAGACCGAAAGGACAGTATCTGTGGTAAAAAAATGCAATCTTGAAAGTACTTTTGATGCCATTGACCCACCTGCTTGACACATTGTTCTTTTAGTTAGCGCAGTAAGCTTTTCTAGGAAGGAATCTTTGATCATTGGAATACACCTACCTTCTTTACCAACCAATTACATATTCTTAGTTGGATGAAGGCAGTTGGTAGGAAGTCCTGCATGACTTAGGTTTTGTGCTTGTTGGCAGTGGTCAGCAAAGCGTATCTGCAACCTCTACGGAACTCATGTCCCACATGAAATTCAAACCCCCGTCAATCAGTGCTGCAGTTAGAGACGTTACTACAGAGCTATTCGGGCTGTGACTGACCTCCTGTAGGACTAGATGGGGTACAATGATTAGTCACTGGACGGTAACCAACTTTATATTGTCTAGCCCTCAGCCCTGAACGAATTCACGCGATGATTCTGCACTATGGCCACCAGGCTAGGAGACTTAATATCGCAATGCAATGAAGCGGATACTAGTTGAATGGAGGTCATCGAGAGGAGGTCCCGTCGAATCTAGGTTTCTTAATTATTGGCATTCGTCTGTAACTTTGAGGGGACTCCTATCTCCTGAGAGATTCGAACCTACGTCACCCAGTGATGCAGTCAGTAACGTTATCAATGAGTTATTCATTGGTAACATTCACTTGTTGTTCTAGTCAATTAGACGTTGGTAAACAATAGATTTATGTACATTGGGTAAGAAGTTTTGCGTTTACATAACTGTAAAGTATATCAAAGTAATTAAATCATCTTATCAATTACAAAAAGTGTTATTTATTCATCAACTCACCTGATAATTGTTTAGCTAAAGATGATGTACACAAAGAATGAATAACATTTATCACAAATCCATGTACTGAAGCTCGTAGAGAAAGTGGACCAGTACACACCAATAAAGTAGCAATATGAAATAATCGAGGTAAATGTGTGCATACTGAAATGAAAAAATAAATATCTAGATATATTTATTTATAAAACAAAAGTTAGCATCTTTCCACTTTTCAATTAAATTGTATTTTACTGAATATATATTTTATCTAGCAAAAAATTAAACTAGTAGTTAGACAAAATACAGTATGGAACAACTTAAGTACTTAGAAAATAGTCTAATCTGAAGATTTTATAAGCTAGCCAAAATAGAATGATCAAAACATCAGATGGATATTTCACTCGTATACCCAGACAAATTTAGTTCAAATCATCTGAATTCATTTGACTAGCTGACTTACATTCATCGACTGATAGGCTTAAAATAAGATGATCAATTTGTATATTTCTTATACACCTGAGTAGTTTTTCAATTGTCCAATTATGGTATCAACAGGATTTTGATGTGAAAACTGCCCCTACCAATCAATATCACAAGGTATGATCTCTCAAAATAAATGTATGATGATCTAGCGAAAGATACTACTGATGAAAAACTTCAGTAGTTTGAATCCACTTACACTGATTGATCTTTAGATTTATTAGTTAAGTATTAAACACATATACACATACTTTAGCTTGAAGTTAAGATTCTTCTCGTTATGATAAGTGGACTATTAAATAACTATTTCCTACAGTTTCTAAAGCCTTTTCATTAATTCAAAATAAACAATGAGAGCCAGAAGTTCATCTCTGTCGAAAATAAAAACTGTTCATAACTATTTAAAGGCAGTGTGTAAATAATGATTATCTATCCTCAAAAATGTACCACAAATATACTGCTGGGAAATATAAAAAGAGATACTTATATATGTGTTTGAATAGATGTCGTCTACCTAGGTGGGATCCATAGGAAGGTCAGAAAACACTGACCGAATACTATATATATACTGGTGGGACCTGAAGATGATTTGCCAAATACTGTGCAAAATAATTGGCCCTACTAACTTCGGCATAAAGTAACTGAACTTAAAAATCACTATTCGATTAGTAGTTAGTAGCTACAAGGCAGCTGAAATATGTACGTGTCATCCAGTCGGAACCAAGTAAATCTCATGTTATTTATTTCTATGGGGAAAAAATGTTTAAATAATTCTGCTTTAATGCAGTATTTATCAACAAATGGGATCATTTAGAGAACAGTTGAAAACCTGAGATCACTGGACAGCTGTTTTACCCCAGCATGGGACTCAGCACTTCGCATCTACCACCATCCCCTAGGGATCGAACTCAAGACATTTAGGTTCCATGGCAAAAACGTTAACCATTCAGCCACTGGATTGGAGTTTAATGGTCTACAGTTGTCTACTTCTGTCAATTCACAGTATATTACGACTATTCACCAAGTTCTTAAGTTGTCATCCGCTTCACTTTCAACTAGTTGACAACTCAGGTCAAATTGCTCGACCTTTGTTGGTAGATGGGTCCTTATACGGATGGCTTAATACGGCCCAGATATTCATCTTATTATAATCTGTTTGGTGGCTAGCAGTGGGATCCAGAACATACGCTGCTATAGGAACGGGAAGTTATAAGTATATATATACGATTAATGCTTGTATGTAGATACAAAACAAATTCTTATCTCACTTACTATCCAGGCAGTTATTAAATGATAGCATTAGTAAATATCGTAGTAGTGGTGCAGTTTCTGGCCATAGCGGATGTTGTTCCAGTAACGTAGTCGGAGCAGAGCAAGTTTTTTCAATAAACTAAAAAAGTCAGAGAAACAGTTGAGAAAATGAAAAAAAACTTTAGTAAATTGTTTTGAGATCATAAATTGTTAAATATTAAATATTTCAAGTTGTTACTCATCGTAGACTGACATCGACTTGAAATATTTCCAAATCTCCACAACTCCCCCAAAATATTAAATAACTGGTGTTAATTTCGTTCTTATTCTTGTCGTCTTTGGATTCCTTTTTTTACTTTCAGTTAATACTACTTAATATTGTTGAGTAGTATAGTTAGTCTTCCACATAATGTTGCTTCATCCTCAGCTTTGGCTGTTCATTTTGTTCAATCGTATCTTGTTCACCATTTAACGTCCCTTGATATCAGTATCTTTCTCAGTACGTGATAGTGTTATAATTTCTTCCCTTGTTCCCTGATTTTATATTTTGCCCTGAACATTTGTTTATCTTGTGTCTTTACCTCATAGTGGGAGCTTAGCGGGTCTTTTATATTCCCTACTGGTTGCTTGGACAAAACTTTACTGTTTTTGCTATTGACGCACTCTCTGTGAGGCGCTCTAATAGCGATAAACTCACAGATACCTCACGACTCGAGGTCTTTATTTTGTTAGTCAGTATTGTTTATGAATATAGAACCATATTTCAGACAAATCCTGTTTTGGATTGTACACGTAACTCGAGCTTTTGGTTGTAAAGTCGTTTGTTCACTTTGGTTAGGAATTTCCTGTAAAGAAATTCATAACTGTGGAAAAAAAGGTTCCATTTAAACAAAATTATCCATTTTACTATTGCTTCATCACTGATTAGTTGAAATGTTAAAATTTATTGGAAAATTTTATATTTTAACTTTCATCAGTTCGCCGTTATAATACAAGCTTGTCTGTAGCTTCGAAGAGAAGGATGGCTTCTTCAGCAATTTAGATAGCCTATTCTTCAGGATATCTGCTGCAACGTTTGTACAGCAAGTCGCCCAGGAACCAGTTGCTGACTACAGAAGCTGCAGAGAAGCATCAGAAATGAGCTTTTGTAGTCAGCAATTGGTTCCAGGATGACTTTGTTTACGTACTTTGGTATCACTGTTATTACAAATCTAGGCTAGTAATGAACGCAAAGTTAGTAGAATTTGGAGGTTTTTGGGGTATTCACCATGAACTGACATCAGTCGAAGAATCACTGAAATGTTGAAGCACTGGAAAGCTGTTTCGTCTTAGCATAGGACTTCTCAGCAGTGCATCCATGACCTCACCAGGGATCGAATCCAGGACCTTCAAAGCTACCAATGAGACATTGAGTACGAATCCAATGGTCCATATTGATTGATGCCAGTTTGAAATCAATAAATCCTCACAAACCTCAAAACTGAGTTATTTTCCAATGCTCATTAGTGGCATGTATCGAAATGAGAATTCTCAAAGTTCCAATGAATTGTGACAGATGGTGGGAACCAAGTTGGACATGAGGAGAGGTACTCAACGACGGTATCCAATGAAGCTTTCGTTACGTAGAGAACTGATGGAAGTAGGAGAAGGTGTAGAAAATAAGGAGAAATAAAACAGTGAGGAAATTCTATATGACGGTCAGGATGAAGGCTGTATGTGGATACGTCAGCGCTACCGGGATGGATTCTCAGCCACGTCATACAGACTATTCAATTACTGATATCGGTTATCAAGTCAACCATAGATTGGAAGATATCATTCCTCTACACAGCCCAAACCAATAGTTAGAGAGTTCACCAACTAATGCCATTTCTTCATCTGGCCGCCTGTAACCTTTTTCCACTCTGAACCTACTTAATCTTACAATATATCATTAGGTAGATGCTCACAAAGCATGCGTCAACACAGTTGATGAAGGTCCACAATTCCACCAACCATAGTTGAAAACCCAAAGCTTCCTCATCTCTACTTTTAATGGCCACATTTCACAAATATGTAGTAGGAAAAAACGACTGAACTGCAGAGAAATACACTGAGCTCTTAATGAACAGTTGAATAAATGGCGTAAGTTAGCGAAATCCGAAAGAGCATTTTGTATCTGTGCTAAGATTTTATCAGTCACCACCAGGCCTGACCCCGCTTCTCAAGTATTCAAAGTTGCCGATGCGCTCAATAATTTCCATCACACTTGTTAAATATGCCGTCAAAGCAAACCAGCACTGAAGCAATAATTTGCATTAGGAGGGCAAAAAATGCATCCTTAACTTTCTAAAATCATGTCTTGCAGTGTTCAGATCAGAAGACTCTTAATCTTATCAGTGTCTTCACCTAACATGACTATGTCATCTGCGGTCGAATAAAGATTCTCTAGTGTCTAGCTTAGTCCCAGTAAAACCGGACTAGGAGATGGGGTCCATCAGAAGCACATCCATAGCCGAAATCATATGAAAATTGAGGGAGTAGACATCCTTGACGGACACTCTTCAATATTTGAAACTCATCATAGTCTCTAACGCACCTACAGGTATTCAAGTACACAGCCTTCAACAAAGCTATGAGATTACTCGGCATCCCTTTCAGTGACAGACACTAACATAAAATCTCTCGATACATGGAGTCAGATGTCATCTTCAGGTCAGGAAATACAGCCAGTGTCGAGTGTTGATAAGTGTACCTGCAAACAGTATCTGGTGGAGGGTGAATATCTGTTCGATACATTCATGCTCAGGTTTGAAACCGTTTAGTTTTCTCAGGTTTGGTGTTCTCGAGTTCTACTTAGATGTTTGGTAATTATAGGGTCTGGAATCTTAGACACTGTATGTACCAAACTGCTTCACCTGTGGTTGCCACAAGAGGATAGCTCACCTTTCTTGAAGACTGGGACAACGGTGATTGAGGTCACTAAGAGGGGATCATATCTGACTCCCATACACTAGTTAACATTTCAGTTAACTTGATCGTCCTAGCTCATCTGGTCCTGATGGACTTCTCTGTTTCAGGTCACTTGCAGCTTCCTCGACTTCTATAAGTGTTGGAGGTCCCACCTCAATGTTCCAATGCAGATGTGAAAGGATAATGGGCAGTGGGATGGTAGATAGAAGCCAGTTGTACTGTTATTTTCCTCCACCGAAATCGAACAACAGACCCATCCATCTCTTCTATAGTCACTCTAACGATTAAACTTTTTGCACGATTCTGTTTGATGAGTTTAAGTAGCTCTCTATGTTTTAGTCTTCACCACCCACCACTCTCGCAATCACTGCTTAGAATTCTTATCAGTCTACATCTCAGTTACTTAGACTCCTATTTGTGCACGGAGCCTACAGGAATGCATTCGCATGCTTCCATTAACTTGGAAGAAGCTGATAATATCCACTGACCCTTTTTAACCTCTTTCTGGGACTAGGTTATGGTCTTCAACGCTGTTTTGACAACACGCTAGAGATATTGCCAACTTCCTCCGTGTAAGTGACACTGTTTGTTCCAATAACTGTCAAACCAGTTCCCCATTAAAATGCAGCTTAGGAATGCCGATTGTCGATCTGAGCTAGGAATACTTTCATTGCCGCCGTTTCTCTACTTTCACTAAGGAGCCCATATGTATGTGCTGCTCAAACCAACGCGCTATGATTATTCAGACACATGCTTCAGAAGAAGTGGAAATCTACTATCAAACACCCCATCCACAACTGAAAGCACTCTAGTCTTTCTTTGTCCACCGATGGGATGAGGCTGGTGGGAGCTAAGTTAGATTATTCCTCTCCTTATATCTGAAGTTCATGCTAACCGGAGACAAGTGACTGTCTATATGCAGTTATAACCAGCGGTCTCCATCATTCGTTCACCCAAATGGGATTGTAAAAGCGAAAATTAAGTAGGTTTATGTTAGACTCAGTCTACTTATATGTGCGTTGAAACCGATTATTAGGCCATGTCTGAACGTTTGGCTTTCAGTAGGTGAATGAACAGTTTTCAGTAAAATTAATCTTTCACTTTGTTCGGACATAGAATTCAAATACACTAAGTAACTATGTGCACATTCGTGCAGTAGGCAATGAATCGCACCTATTATTTGGATACTAATGTACTACCTAACTGCTCAGACCTCGGTAAGTGCAGCTGGGTTCATGCCTGTCATCAACTGGCTATTAGTCGATTGACTAGAGTAATGAGCCCACAGCTTCCTTACTGCATCCAAACTGCAATCTACGGACGTGTAAGTAGAGGCTACAAAGAGATAATGTTGACTTTTTCTGAACCATCCAGATGAACAGCAGCACACAGACAACTGTCATCAGGGATCGAATCGAACAGGATACTTTCTGACTTATTACTTATTGTTATGCATATATCTGTGTGATCATGAGAAGTAAACATCTACTTTTCAGAAACCTGGAGTTTATGATCTTAAGTGTTCAGGAATGAGGTATGAAATTACTGCTTAGAATGACGGAGATATTAGGTAGTATATGGGAACCAGAGAAGCTCGATAACAACATACTTGAGAAAACCAAGCAAGTTTCAAATCTGGATGAGGGTGCATCATTCATATTTTCACCCTGCAACACGTTCGTACCATATTTCTTAACCTCAAGGCGTTATTTGACTCAGTTGACCATGATGTTTTGTAGCAGTGTCTCATTGTGTATGGAGTGCTGAGCAAGTATATAAAGCTTATCAATGCTCTCTACTCGAACTCATGTAGCCTATGCAAGGGCTTATGTTAAGTTGTCATTAGAACTGACGACAACTAGTGGTGTCAGCCAGGGATGATCACTATCTGTCTGTGTATTATTTACTAGAAATAACCATAGATATTTGTATTTGAATTTCAGGAATAACTATCTTCATCAAGACAGCTACTGACACCTTAAAGGTTATTCAGTTGGAAAAATACTTAGTGACAATATTCTTCATAAAATGTTTATACCATCGGCAAACTTTCTTTAAATCTCATTCTATCATGGCCATTAGAGTCAGTTTTCTTTCTCTTATCTACATTATTAGAATTTAGTGATAAATTCACTAGGCTTACATTAATAGCGGGTGATGATTGAGGGTGAAATGAAAATTCGGACTGCGGCCGGACTCGAACCAGAGACCACTGGGTTGCCGACCCAGTGCTCTATCAGTAGCCAAGTTGGTAGAGCATCGAGCTGGAAAACCGGTGGAAGCTGGTTCGAGTTCGGCAGCGGTCCAAATTTTCATTTCACCTTCAATCATCACCCAGTACGAATACTAGTCTGCCAAACCACCGCTAGTCGAAATGTCAGTTATATTAATAACTCAGCCAGTCAGGTAGAACTGAATGGTTGATGACTATACATACAACAAGGAAACAGTTGTATGCACTGCGTGGATAATGCTTATTCATCATATTTCCACGAAATAGGCCTCACAGATATATCGTTAACCGTAACTCCATCCCTCAATATTCCGGTTTTCTTTCTACATAGAAATAAAGTACCAGTAAGAAATGAAAAGATATTATACTTGACGGTCCTAATGTCCATTTCTTATAGGGTCTTGCGTGGACACATCTAAGTCGTCTTAAACAAGAACAAAGTATCTACAAATTGCTTTCAAGTTTTCAACGTTTCTTTTAGAAATATAAATCCTCAGCAAAAATCACGTTAAAATCAATTGAAGTTGGAATAAATTCTCTAAAATTCTAGAGTACAGGATAAGTCAATAAGACAGAGAGAAAGTTTAACCCAACACAATAGACTTTAACCAAATGGGTAACCGATATCATCTCCAACATGTTGCACTTCCAAATCTCTCAACGTTTTGTGCTTAGTTTATCCTGAAATCAAGTAGTCAGGATTACTAGATTTTCAGGTTGCAACGAAAAAAGAAACATAAATCAATTTGTCATAGACTATAAAAGAATATAACAGTCTACATTTTATTTTGTTCAATGAAAAGATGTTATAAACGATTTAGTTAAACGATGATTTACACGCACTTCGTCCTACTTCGGATTCGTCAGCTGGATGTACCTGCACTGCAGTGACTGATGTTGTTCCCACTGAGACTCGAACCTAGTACACACCACTTCAAACGCCAAAGCGTTGTACACTAGGTCACTAAGGCACGATAGATACTATCACTTGTAGAATGGGTGTTGGTTATTATTATTTGCTGATGTGCTTGTAATTCGGCGTTGGTTTATTAGACCGAATTGTTTGTGCCTCAGTGGCCTAGTTGATAACGCTTTGAAGTTTGAAGTGATGAGGGCGAAGATCGAGTCTCAGTGGGAATAACACTCTACACTGGTGTGAAGGTATATCCAGATGACTAGTGAGTCTTAAATGGAACGAAACGCGCGTCCTGGATTCCACTGCTGGCCATAACCCTGTAAATTATCATAATTAACATTCAGGCAATATCGACATATCCGAATAGGAGCCCATATGCTAATCGAGGTCAAACAATTCTATCCAGTAAAACAACAGAGAATTACAAACATGTCGACAAATAGTAGTAATAAGTTAGTAATACTTTGATTTTTTATAGGAGCATAGAAAGATGAAGAAGGACTATTAACAATGAAGACTTCAGTGTTGGAATACTAAATAACGATCAAAATATTCTTATTTAAAACAACATAATTCAACTGTTTTAAAGATCATTGTGCTTTATAATCATGTTAATACTGGAAGTTGAAGCAAAATAAATGTAACAGAAAAATACAACTTACACGACACAACTTTGATAGGACTTTTTTTGATACAAGCTGTTTATTTGCTGCCGCCAATGCTACTGATGTATCAGCCATAATTTCTGCTTGTAAACTGCCTAGACCACACTAACAGATCTTTGTATAAAATTGTCTAAAACAAGTCCTAAAAGTTGGGGTACTTGACCTAATTTGCCCCAAATTTTTATTTGAATTGATGGATACATTTGTTCTTCTTCAATTGTTAGAGTAATTAACTTGTCAATTATAACATTTACCTACAAAAATAAGTAAATTATTATTTATATAAACTATAGTCGAGATTTGATTAAACAACAGCATAAATATTGAGTATTGAGTTCAAGGTTAATGTTAGATATAGTTAATAGTTGTGTCCACCTCATATCCCCTACTGTAGGGATTCATTTATTGATTTCAGGTTGGTATTCATTATGAGCTGACATTGTTTGGAGAAACACTGGAAACCTAGGGGCACTATATGGCTTTTTGTCCTAGTATGGGAGTCCTCAGCGGTGCGCACCCACAACCCCGCCAGGAATCGAACCAAGGACCTCCAGGTTCTGCGGCTATCACATTTCCACTGAGCCACTGGGTCACAATCCAATGGTCTATATTTCCTACTTCTGCTCCATACTAGGAAGAAACAGCTGTTTACTGCTATTGGTTTACAATATTTCTCCAAATTATGTCAATCCATGATGATATCAACCTGAAATCGGAAATAAATCCCCAAAACCCCCTAATCTAGTGCTCATTGGTGACTAGCTTCGAGAGATGATTTCCAAAGTTCTAATGAGAAGTCAAGACTGGTGGGGCCAACCAACTCGGATGTGAGTACAATTACTTGACAATGACATTAGATGGAGGTTATGCTTTATGGTGAACTGACTGAGGTAGGAAATTTGGACAACTGGATTCTGACCCAGTGGTTCAATGGTAACGTACTGGCCACGGAACTTGAAGATATTGGGTTCGATCCCTGGAGGGGTGGGGTGGGGTAATGGACGTGCGTTGCTGAGGAGTTCTACACAGGGACGAAACGGTTTTTCAGTGCTCTCAGGTTTCCAATGTTTCTGCAACTGATGTCAGTCCATGATGAATACCAACTAGAGGACTATGATGACACCTGTGACATTTTATTTCGCATTTATGATGAAGGAGAGTACGAATTACAATACACGCACACACTATACAACAATAGACATACAACTGCACACTGAGTGATTAATAACTATATTTTAATAAATATTTCTGAAATTTTAGTTTTTGTTTATTTTCTTGAATAAGTTCAAACCAGACTTCCGTGTGAAAAGTTGGAATTAGCTTATTTCAAACACGTTGTGACTTATACAAGTATAAGCTAAATCTAATAAAATTAGTTTGAAATTTGTATGAAAAGGATAACTTTCAGCATGAAATATTATGCAACGTGTCTATTTTAATTATTATTAGTTGCTGATTAGTAGAAATACTTTTTAGGCATTACTGCACCAAGGTTAAAGGCTGATAATTAACTGGAATTCAAAATAGCAGCATTAAGCCCAGCAGTCCAATAGATCACTAATGTACAATCTGATGAATCGACTCTAACGCTAATCAGAATATCAACCAATACAACAACAACAACAACAACAATAATACTACCAACACACAAAGATAAGAAGAGAACATGTATCGTGAGTAGAGAACTTTTACTGCCTTAACAACACTCAAAAAACAATTGAGAGTGGTGCTGACGACAATACTAAATTCACTGATAGGTTAAAAGAGTTAACAACCAATGAGAGTTCAGCTTTCAGAAACAATAGGAAAAACAAAAGCTGATAACAGTGAAAAAACAATAATAATATAGTTATTTTAAGGTTATAGGCAAATATCAGGGAGAAGTTAGGCTACTGGTATGCCTTGATATTACCTGTACTTTCACTTTTGATATCAATTGATAGATAGTGTCTAAAGTGACGCTCTAGCGTTTTAAGCGATCGATCTCGGGTTCAAGTCCTATTGGGGACAACATTACTCACTAGGCGGGAGGTAGATCCAGCTGACGAGTCCCAAACAGGACGAAATGCGCACACCAGATTGCACTGCTAGTTAGTATCCATCATAATTATCAAGATAAAGCATAGTAGGTGAAATAAGTGATTGGTTTTTCAGTTAGTCATATATAATACTTATTCATCTGTGTGCTATAATATTCAGAAATAAGCAAATTAGGATTTTGAGACATATCTCTCTAATAGGTAAGTAATACCATGATTGGTTCGGGTATATATGTGACCATCAGTAACTTTCAGTACATGAACCTGTAAATGACTTTTGATAATTAAAACTAAAAACTGAATATTTTTTCACTAGTCAAATGGAATTCAATTGTTTAATTGTTTTATTGAAACTGAGTCATGTTGAAATGCAGATATACTAGAAAAGTAAATATCTTGACTAATATAGGATGAATACCTCAGAGCACAACAACATTACCACATAAATTGGTTAAAACTGACGTTTAACCTTTAGACTGTCGATTCCAAAGTAATTATAAACAAACGTCCACTTCATGATCATTATGTTGACGAATGTGTGTCTGTCAATACTCCCTTTACCATGGATATTTGTATTGTAGTGAATGAAAGCACAACTTCATAATCCTACTTGAACTGTTTTAAGATCTTTATATTATGATTCATTGACTACTGATCGAGTAATGAGTAGGTTATTGTGATGATAACCATAACGAGAGGCATAATTAAAGACAATTTATCTGGCGAGTCATAGGCAGTATTCATAAAATCTTAGAATTTTATAATGAATGTTCTTCATGTGCCTTTATTTTTTGGCCCCTTTCATCTCATATTATTACTTTCGATATTGCTAAACAATTTTCCCAATTTTCTATTGTCAAGGCTATCACATGTTATACTGTTTAAAAGCATTCTTATCAGTAGTACAAACCATAATGACAACATTATTGAAGTCGAGTCTTTTGTATTTCAGTAACCGCTTTCTGTCTTCTATCTATGAATAAGACTCAGTCAATTCTTCAGTAGTTCACTTATTTGATATGAGTTCAGCTAAGGTTTATAAATATAAGTGAAAAACTTGGGCATTGTGGTAGAATGTAGTTCCATATTAGATTTGTTTATTTGATATAAAGCGCACAGTGATACAGTATTATTTAATTGATATATTGAAAATACGATGATTTGTGAAACGTGCTTCAGTTTGTGAAAGTCGTGTGAGTTTATTGACTAGCCTTCGAACAGGAAGACCATAAGTTTCATTAATATAAGTGAAAAACTTGGGCATTGTGGTAGAATGTAGTTCCATATTAGATTTGTTTATTTGATATAAAGCGCACAGTGATACAGTATTATTTAATTGATATATTGAAAATACGATGATTTGTGAAACGTGCTTCAGTTTGTGAAAGTCGTGTGAGTTTATTGACTAGCCTTCGAACAGGAAGACCATAAGTTTCATTAATATAAGTGAAAAACTTGGGCACTGTGGTAGAATGTAGTTCCATATTAGATTTGTTTATTTGATATAAAGCGCACAGTGATATATTATAAATGACCACCATTTGAGTATAGTAGGTAAATGGATATCAAAATCATAAGAAAATAAATACTTAATTATTTCAATCCGACATTTTGTTATTCGCAAACAACTCAGTATTTTCATACAAAACAGTTTTCATAATTTTACGCTTCGAAAGAGGACCCGTTAAAGGTTTCTAATCAATTAGATAGCGAAAATCTTTTTTAAAGTTCGTATAATTGGAATAATTTGTTTTATACTAACATAAGGGAAAAACACTAAAAGGTTAGACTGATGAAATGAATGAATGTAATCAATAACCTTCTGCATGTTCACTCAGTAGGTAATAAGCAACACCGATTGTGTGAGAATTAGTGTTACTATCTGTCTGCCTAAACCTCCGTAGGTGGAATGGTAATCAAATATGCGACCCACTGATTAGAAGTTAACTACCTAAACCAATAAACCACAGCTCCACTAACTGAAAGAATAAAGATACAACTGGATGAGTAAAAATGGAAATTTATTCCCAGTCTTAGAGAAAAAACACAACTGAAAATGATGTAACATTAAATAAAAATAACGATTACTTGAACTCTCAAATAAACGAATGAATAAATGAATATAGTAGACTCACTTTTTGTCTTTTAGCATCATCTGAACGACAGAAACGTGTTAAGTTAGGTAACCAGGGTGTAATATATTCTAAGCATAAATGTTTCATTTCAATACTTGATCGACTAAAGCCTTGTATACATTCTTCAAGAAATTCTAATGTTAAATGTGGTTCTAATTGAGCTAAACGATTACTTATCTCAGTAATAAATAAAGTATTATTTCCAGGAATACATAAACCTGTAGTTTCTAAAAGTTGTCCTTCAATTTTTAAATTAAATGTTTGTGTCAAAGCACAAAGTAAATTATATGCAGCTGAACGTAGATTTGGATCTGAACTGCCTAGATTGAGTAAAGCCTTGAAAAAAAAATGTAAAGCAAATTTAATACAATAGTAATTTCTATCAAAATTTCATTGAGTTTTTAATAGTTTTTTTTCTCTTTACAATGATATAGTTTTCAGGATAAGAGAACTCGAATGGTGTACTTAATATTCCACTAAAAACTTATTATTTGAACTAATTTTATTAATCTAGTTTTCAAAACTTTATCATCAAGATAGCAGGGTATCAATATAAACCTTACCATCAGTCTTCTGCTGGTGTCGAAATTAGTTTAATAACAACAGCCTATCTCCTGGTGTTAAAAACTATAGACAGCTATTATTATTATTATTATCATTATTATTATTCACAAGCAATTTTTTTAAAGGACGAGGTCGCCATGAATGTCATAATTCCCTTACTTCTGATCTTTGTTGGTCATCTCATATCTTGTTGACTCTTAAAAACACTTGCATTTGACGTATAACTCAATCTCTCCTTTTTTTTACAGTTTATTAATTCCTACAGTTTACCTATCCTCCTCTATTGTTCCCCCCTGATTTATTCCTGGTCTCTAAAAAAGGAGTATGATATATTGCGTAGGGCTTTGAAAGCCATCAGTAGGTTGAGTGATGTACCTTTGACCCAACTGATTAACTCTACAATTGATAGGCACTGAGGATCCATTTCATTCACAGCTTTCACCATGTATCTCCTCTTAGGGGAGGACAAGAAGAAACTACATAAGACTGTACGCCCGTACAGCTAAGTACAACAATTCGGCTATCCCTTACCTAGCACGTATGTGACGGAAAAAGTGTTAGAACAGAACTCACATATCAGCTTTGGAACAGTTAACAATCATAATCTTAATGACAATAAAAAATAGTCTCGTTATTAATATATTGTTTAAATTACTTTAATTTTTATAATAACACAATTCGAAATGTTGTAAGGGTTTAAATACATACATATATATTGTTGTTGCTGAGACTTCCAAATTGTACCAAAAAACTGTTTGGAATAAAGTGAATTACTGTCACTAAAAGACGCTCGCTAAATTTAAGTAATTTTTCCAACCTACTGAAAATAGTATAAGTAGTTATACAAGCACCAAGAATATTCTTTTCAATAAGGCCTTGAACCTTACTCATTATTTTCCTTTCCTATGTTGTACACGTGCGCAACGAAGATTTATTGCTCAGGATGATTGAATATGATAGTTGTCTGGTGTTCTTAAAGGTTTGAGGCTTGCTCTCGAACGTTTCTCAATGAGGTAAATACCAATGAAGTCAATTAACCTGGTGATGAAAACCCATGAAGAAACCTTGAAGCTCATAGGACAACAACTTATCACCGTAATGAACATAAAACAACATAAATCACCCTTTCATCTACAAAAATCAATCCAATTATAATTTCACAAATATTCTAAAGTGTATTCACCGCAAATTCCATCATTACTGTGTTCACGAATTTGATTTTATAGAGTTGTACAGCCTAATGAAATGTTATTGAAAATAATGTTTTCTTCGAGCATATTTAACTCTTAAATAATATAGGAGACGAAAAATTAGAGATCTATGATAGGAGGGGAGTGAGTAAATGAGTGATCCAGTGAGTGAATGTGTAAATGAATATTGCTGTGATTTCATTTATATGTGGTTGAGTGAAGATCATATGAAACAAGAAATGTGAATATCAGTCAGACAAGGTGTGATGTGATGATGGGGAAATGAAACTGTCACAACAAATCCAATAAACATAGAAAGATTGAAGAGCTGGTTATAAGAATCATGTATTATTATTATTATTATTATTATTATTATTATTATTATTATTCATGAAATATTATCCTCATTCATATTAATGCACTTTACGATTCCACTTATTACAAAAATGAAACACAAAAATTTATCCTCCATCACAGATTGACACTAGTTGCAGAACGATTGAAGACTTGAAAGCACTGGACGGGGGTTTCGCCCTAGCATGGGACTTCTCAGCGGCACATATTCTTGAATTCGCCTCATTAAGGACTGAATGCGAGACATTTAGGCTTCATGTTGGATGCGTTAGCCACACGGCATAGTTTACTACTTCTGTCAATTTGTGATATAATACGACTACCCATTAATGTTTTCAGTTGGCATCCAAGTCACTTCTGACTGGTTGACCCCACAGGTCACGACTTCCCATCAGAACTTTGGGATATTCTTCTCGAAGGACCTCAGTAATGGGCTTATGGGTTAATGGAAACTGACATCAGTTCTCTCTTCGCTGTAAAGCTTACAGAATGATAAGAAAAAAATAATTTTTCTTCCTTTTTACCTTCATCCAGGTTATACTACAATTTGCTAACCTCTACACCTATAGGAAAGAATAGTTTACTTATCTCACCAATTAGAATGTAGTATAGTCTGTTAAGGAATCCCGTGTCCCATTTGTAGGTTGGCAGTCCAGATACTTATAATGGGTAGTGATTCATGGTGAAACGAAAATTTGGACCGTGGCCAAATTCTTACCAGCAACCACAGGCCTTCCGGCCCAATGCTCTACCAACTGAGCTACAAGATCCAGATACTGACCGTTTTTTATTCCCGTTTTAAGTGAAGAACTTAGACACTTTTAGGCTGGTCAATATAGTAGAAGAAGCTGAAAATATTTCCTTTCGGTGTAGAAATTTTTATAATTTTGACTGCTATCTGAGATAGCCGTAGCTTGGCGGACTAGTTATAATAACTTCAATCATCACCCAGTATCAATACTAGTCTACCAAACCACAGCTATCTAAGATAGTAGTCAAAATCATAATCCGTACAATGCTCCTCCCCTCTGTAATTGCGTTAGATTCCGATTAGAATGAGAAGACCTCATAAAGCATCGGGCTAAGAAACCGATGGTCTCCGGTTCGAATCCGGCCGCGGTCCAAATTTTCATCCTACCTTCAATCCTCACAACCCAGTAGAAATTTTTGTCAGACAGGGTGCATTTTGACATACTGATAGAAGTTAAAATGCTTAAAGATGATTTGCGAAAATTATTTCAGCACTATATCCTTTGATTGTTTAGTGAAATTATGCTTTATTTATTGATACTTGTAATTTTTCATTGCCGTACTCGAACCCCGTCTAATTAACTAGATCACTAGTTGCTAGCCGGTCCTAAGCCCGGAAAAGCAGGGAAGGTTGGGCATACGGCTAGCAACGCTACCTCACAAAACCAATCCAATCGCTAAACAAACTTCAAAGCACACAGGAATTATGAAAAATAAAAACAAACTTATTCCTTGCTGGAATCGGAGAGACAAAATAACACCGGTTGGTGACAGCCTTCAGGAAGCCAGTCGGCCGATGTGTCTTCTCTCGCTAGATGAAAGAGAAAGTAAGCATGGGGACATGGAATGTCTGAACAAGTATTTGAAGCTGGCTGGCTGGCTGGCAAGGCTGCCCACATTGCAAAAGAGATGAGAATGTGTAGCACAGAAGTGCTAGGAATCTGCGAAAGTAGACGGAATGGAAATAGACTCTCCAAACTATTAAATGTAGAGTCAATAATCTACTCCGATATTGTCACCCAGACGGCAACCACGAGCACACTGAGTTTTCGAGTGGACACCATGATGTCCCCAACAGCATCGAAGGCTCTCAGTTAGTGGTAACTAATCTCCTCCAGGATCATGACAGCAAGTATCGACTCAAAAGGAAGGAGAGTTACGAGCATACAATGCTACACTATGCACTATGAACAGTCCTGTTGCTGATTACCTTATCTAATACTAGTTACTATGAACTGTCGAAGAAAAATTGTGTTGCGAGAGTGTTGATTTAATTCGCCGATTGTATCAACATTATGAAAACATAATTGCTGCATAACTTTAAAATGTTTGCTCGCATATAATAAGTCAAAACAAAGTGTTCTAACACTCCTTTTGCTTTATTTTGAGTTTACAGTGTACAAACACATTCTTCACAAGACTTTACATGTGACACTAAAATTCAGGTATTACTTTTGAGTCATTCCTGACGGTATATGAAGTATGAAAGGGATGCAGTCGATTTCATACAAATACAACTTAGATTTTAGGTTGCAATTCATCATGGACTGACATCAGTTGGAGGAATATTGAAAACTTGGGGACACTGAACGGCTGTTTCGTCCTAGTATGGGACTCCTCACCAGTGCGCACCCATGACTTTGCCTTATCAAGGGTAGAACCCAGGACCTTCAGGTTCCGTGGCCAGTAAGTTACCATTGAGCTACATGGGTGCGCACTGCTGGGGAGTCCCATACTAAGACAAAACAGATGTCTAGTACTCCCAAGTTTCCGATGTTCCTCCAACTAATGTCACTCCATGATCAATTCCGACCTAAAATCAATTAAAAAAACTTCACAAACCTCCAGATAGACTTAACTTAAATGCTTGACGTCAACCACAATAAATCATGACTTGACAAACACACTAATGGTAATTGCATAGAATTGTTCAACCTCTGCGGACACCTCGATACTACTTGATTATTCATTATATTTTAATTTACTTGGTGGTTAGGAGTAGAATCCAAGAGACAGCTGTTTTGTCCTATTCATGATTCGTGAGTTCCATGTACTTGTATCCAAGTGAGTGATAGTGTCCTCATGGAGATTCGAGTCAAGTATTCATCTCTTTAAACACTAAAGTGTCATCCACTTAACGACTGAGGTAGAAGAAACACCTATTCTACGCATTTCTCGTTTCTCTGGGGTTTGAAGTGATGATTTCTAGTCTCCGTGAGAATACCATCATACCTAGCTGATTAGTCGCACATCGAACGAAACGTGTATCCTAAATTACACTACTAGGCAACCACCAAACAAGTAACAGCATAATGATTAAACGTGTAGTATCGAGGCATTCGCATAGGAGCTCGTCTGTTAACAGAGGTCAAACAATCCGATCCAATACAACAACAGGAAATTATAGTTTTTATTAAATAATAATAATGATAATAACTCGCACATATTGGACAAGAATAAAACAGTAAATAGAAGTTAAAAAACATGTATGAGAAGTATATCAATAACAGAAAAAATACACAAAGAGAACTTACTATATTCAGTAAAGTTCCAGGAACATCACGTGGTCTAATTTTTGCATGAATTGCTGGTGTATCCGGTTGTGATAATGCCCATCTAGTGCGTATATGAATAATAGCTTGAACAATAGAATCACATGCATCATGTATAAATGATAATGGACCATTATCATTCAAAATGGTTAATGTGAATTGATTATTATCAACTAAGCAAACCTATGTTAAGAAAAATGGAATGAATTAGAAGATAGTTATTTTCTTTAGAAATATATATATATATATATATATATATATATATATATATATATATATAGATATATATATATATATATATATATATATATATATATATATATATATATATATATATATAGATATATGCGTTTTTGAGAGGAATGGGGATTTTTAGTTTAGAGGTAGTATTCATCATGGAATGACATCAGCTGGGGAACCATTGAAAATCTGGGAGCACTGGACAGCTGTTTCGTCCTAGTATAGGACTCCTCAGCAGTACGCACCCACAACCCTGCTGGGGATGGAACTCAGGACCTTCAGGTTTCACAGAAAACGCGTTAACCATCCAGCCACTGAGTCGGTTTCCAGTTTTTTCATTATTTCCAACTTCTGTCAATTCATGACATAGCGCGACTATCACCCAGGGTCTTCAGTTAGCATCCACTTCACTTCCTACTGGTTGACCCTACAGGTTCCATACTAGGACGAAACAGCTATCCTGTGCTCCCAGACTTTCAATGGTTCCCCAACTGATGTCAGTCCATGATGAATACTACTTCTATATATATGTGTTATTTGTTTTTAAAAAATGTAAAAATGAGAAAATTTTAGAGCTATATTATTCGACTTGATAAATCGAGACAAATGTAGATAAAAAAATGTAACTCAATCTAGAATATAAGTGCAAAAGTTCATTCATTCAAGTTATTACATTTTGAACCAGTATACTAATAAATGTAGGTTAAAAGGATACGAGAGAAAAGAGAATAAATGGATGAAAGTTAATGAAAATATTCAAGATTTTTGATGCTAACAAAGTGTAATTAATTTTCAACAACAATATTATCAATAGTTTCCAGTCAATGATTTATACTTCACCCAGTACACCATTTGAGTGGCCTATTTCATCCTACAACGGTTAGGGCAATATTACATAAACTAGTGCCACATCGAATATTCCACCAATCTAATTATCCTTCGACTGATATTGTCAACTATAGTTAACAATCTCATCAAATGAATACCTAACACTCTAAAGGACATTGAAAAGTCTGCTAAACTATGGTTATCTCAGATACTAGTCAAAATCATAGTCAACATGATACTCCTTCCCGCTCTAATTCAGGTGGATTTGAGTTGATATAAGAAGTCCTGACTAGTCAGCTAGTGTTAGTACTATCAAGCGACAGTAATGCGTCACGAACTCACATATTAGTTGGGCAAAACGCTTGGTGATTGAAGTGAAATAGAAATCTGATCAGTACTGTACCGGCAACTTGGTGGCCATTAGTTCGAATCCCACCGGGGTCCAACTTTTCATTTCACCTTCAATCATCATCATCATCATCCAGTACCGATACAAGTCTGACAAACTACGGTTATCTCACTCAGATAGTCTAAATTATAATTTTAATTACAAAAAGTGTTGGGGATGGATTCTAAATTTCCGGAAGCTTTAGCTACTAGGAAGTTTAAGCCACCTGTGTACATTCAGAAACAATTTATCACATCAAATCCCCATTGATGAATTTAACTTTGAAAGCAAATTCCATGAACTATTATCTTCCCCATACTGATTTTCATTGTTATTTTGATCTTTTAGCTTAGTCTTCCTACTTGACCACCTTTCCTATTCTCATGCCTTATTTCTTTATAACTGTTCATATAAATGAAAAATGATAGTATCCCATTTCTTGATATTCTGCTGGTAAAAAGGTTAGATGGAACTTTGAAACGAAATGCATACAGAAGGCCAAAATTGATAGGTTTAGTGCTCTACCCCTCCAAAAGGAACTTGGTGAAATGCCTAGCATACCATGCCACAGCTATTTGCTCAAATGATGATATACTGAAAAAGTTTGCCGCCATCTGTGACCTGCTTAGTAGGAATGGCTATCCAGCGAAGTTTGTAACTAAGCATATGAATGTTATGAAGGTTAAGACAAGAACGCCAACAGTTCCTAAGAAGTAAATCTTCTTGAAGCTGAAATTGAAGAGTGAAATTACCAGTGAGATCATCATACACAGTATTAGAAGAGCCTTGCAAAAAGCATTCTTAGCCACTAAATTGTGTTCCATCTTCTACAGCCGCACGACTCTAAGTAAAGAAATAAAGACAAACTGCCTGATTCTGTCACTTTTATGTGCATTTATCAATACAACTATTCCTGTGGAACTAGCTACACTGGACAAACAATGAGGCATTTCCATCACCGAATTTCTGAGTACCATCCCATTACGGTTGAGTAAGGGACAAATTAGAACAATAGAGAGCTCCATACTTGTACACCCAGTTGACACGAGACATCAAACTAGATACTAGAAAAGCTTTGAAAATTATTCATAGCATTCCAACTAATTTGCAACATGGCTTACGCACTCACTTCACATAGCAGAGGCGATTACAATCCACCTTTACAAACCTGACCTTTGTAGTGAAAAGAATTTTGTTCAACCACTTTTGTTACCATAACAATCAACATGATGTAACTTCTAGTATTACTTTGTACACTTCTTTCCTCTCCCCTTCTTTCCATCACTATTCATTTGTCTTCTAATTATTATGCAACAATCTATTGTTTATGACTGAATACTCATCAGAAATCACTCCATTTACCTAACAATAACCTGCTTCATATTTCCAATTTCATATAAATACCTATAACAACCAAAGTATATATGTATGGTCAGACTGTTCAAAATGTCTTGGTTGTATTGTGTTCTCTGAGCTGGGTTGTTTAATCGTGAAGCTTTCATCACCTTTCTAGACGACATCATCAGCACTTATCTCAGTATGAAGTGAGCTGACAATATCTCTCCGTTAGTGATGTAGTAGCTTGCCTTGACGAAGTGGTCTGAATTTTTACATTGTCGAAATTGAATTCATGTCCATAATTATCCACGTGCATTGAAATGAGTGACGAAATGTCGTGGCGTTTAATAGCCAACTGGTGCTCATGTAGGTGAAGGCAAGAGAGCGACCACTTTGTCCAATGTAGTGTTGACTACAGTTATTGCAGTTGATTTTGTAAATAATATTCGGTTTGTCTTCTTTGCTCGTTCCATCCTTTGGTCTGCATAATAGTGTTTGGAGGGAATTTGTTGGTTCATGAGCCACACCAATTCCAATTGGTCTCAGCAATCTTGTTGTGATTTCTGATATATTCCTTATGTATGGTAGGACGATGCGTTTGTTGATTTCTGTTGATGACTTTGTAGTTGATGATGCACAGGATAGGCATCCACTGATAAAGTTTCGTGGGTAGCCGTTCTTCTTTAGGGTGGATATTAAGTAATTTTCTTCGTATCTCCGTGAAGTTGTTGTGCTGCAGTATGTTCTCTCTCTTTTGAATAGAGTCTGCACGCAACTGATTTTGTGTGTTGTTAGGTTGTTGCTATTGTAGTTGAGGATTTGGTCAGTAATTGTTGGCTTCCTGTACACTTGAGTTTCCAGCTTTGCGACCTTTGTCCTACTGACTGAAATATCCAGGAATAGTAGTTGGTTCTTTGACTATTTCTCCATTGTGAATTTGATGTTATTGAAAACGTCGTCGATTAAACTGTGGGTGTTTTCTATATCATCTCCTTTTTTAATGATGACAAAAGTGTCGTCTACATAACGAATCCAAACTTTTGGTTTGATCACAGGTAGAATAATGGCTTTCAGTCTCTGCATCACTGCTTTTGCAATTAATCCGCATATCGGTGATCCCATTGGAGTTCCTTTCATCTATTTGTATATCTTGCCGTTGAATTGGAAGTATGTTGTCATACAAAAGTCGGTGAGTTCCATCAAACTTGAACATTTGAGTTTTGTGCGTAAATACAGTCGGTACATGAATCAGACAAATTACGTGACTACAGTGATTACAAAAGAAAATATACGGTTTAGTACTTACTTCTTCAATTTCTGAAGCGTAATATACATCATTTAAAATAACTGAATGACCAAGAACCTTAGTTTTTTCAGTTGAAGTAACTTGAATAGCGTTAGTACACACCTAAAATATATGAAAAGAAACACTAGAAGAAATATGTTAGTTACACAAGATGACTATTTCAACTATATGGCTTCGATAATAAATTTCTATCAGTTTATTTTATTGCACAAGGAAGATTTCTGTTTCACAAATAAAAATTTCTATAAAATTTTTAGTCAGGTGAATTACATATATTCACTGGTAATCTGAATGAATAAAGGTTATACTAAATTTGTAACACCGATATACAGATGGTATTAATTGCAGATAATTGTGGATACACGCTTCATTTGATTTATAAACATATTAAATTGTTTACTTGATATGGTAAGCAGTGATACCCTATAATTTACTGGATGATGATGTTTCGAAAAGAATTTATTGTTCATATTTATATCAAAGTTACCATACAACTTTCAAGCTTCCTTTATATGGTTCAAACGTTCTTCATTTTTATTATTATTTTAACCACAGTAAAATTTTCCAGATATTTGCAGTATTTGATGAAACATTCGTTTTGCATAAACAAAGATTTCGTAATCAATCTCTCCCTCCAGCTAATTATATTGAACTTTAGAATTATTAGCCTGTTCCACCCTAAACAATGTGATTATGCGTCAGTGCCTGCAGAGCAATAGCCAAGTTTCCTTCTAGATTACTTATCTTACTTGCGTCTACCACTGTATGTTTCACTGACAATATAAAACAAGTTAGCCTATTAAACAAACACACCCCCACAACATATGAGTTATCAAAATATTTAGCTACAACGATAAAGGATGAAATTTATCTCCAGGTGTTATAGTGTTCTGTGTGAAAATACGTATTTTCTGCGTTTTGTAAGCATGCATTTTGATGTGAAAACTGCAGTCATAAAGATTTTTCTTTAGTTTGAAGGCTCAATTACCTTACTTTGATTGGTGAGCTTCATTCTTCACCCCAACTAGGAGGTGGAAGTTCAACCAATACTTCACAAATGAATAAGCGATATGAAATATAATTAGATGACAGGGTGGGTTTGACAAATTATAAAAATAGGTAAAATATGCATACAGCTGTATGCAAACTTTTCCGCTTTTCCCCCTCTTCTTATGCCTTTCATAAACAGTATCTCCATCAATGTCTACTTTTCCTCTTCATTTCCCCCTTTTTACCAGACTACAAGCATTCAGAAAATATGCGAATTCGTGCACTGAACATGGTATCCCATAACAAGCACAGTAACAACTGGGGATAAGTTTTAGCCTCATCCATTACAACACACTATCCCTATAACAAATCCCTCAAAATCTAGACTCACCAATTCAATTGCATTGAAACACACACTAAATAATATACAATCACACGAGAAAGAAAAGATGGTCATTTCTGATGTGACCAGCCTCTATGCAAATATACCAATTAATATAGCATTTGAGGCAGCCAGAAATGAACTCATAACTGACCATGAATTCAGTAATAGAGCTAAAGTTTCTATGGAAGAAATTATGCTGGAGATAAGATTATGTTTAACTCTCACAGTTTTCAAGCTTCAAAACAAAATATAAACACAAACAGAAGGAGTAGCAATGGAATAACTAATATCCCCGATCGTAGGAGACATATTTATGGATAGTTGGGAACATGTAGTATCAGAAATATTCTAACCCACTCGGAAAGTATGGTGGCCATATGTAGATAACATATTTACTGTGCTGAAATCAGAACACATTCAGAGTTGTTTTTGCATACATCAACTCGATAGTAGATGCAATCCAATTCTCACTTATGAATTAGAAAATGAAGAGGGAGAATTACCTATGTTGGACTGCAAAATCGAGTAGAGAGAAGATGGATTCTCAGATACCAGTGTTTATAGGAAACGAACACATTCGAATAGATAGTTGGACTTCATATCATATCACGCGGTATCTGTCAATGTAAGCTTGATAAAGTGTGTAAGTAATCCGAAGGAAGTTTTGAAAGTTGTATATGATTACTTTGATATGAATGTAAGCAAAAAATTCTGCTCGATACGTTATCCCATAGATGATACTGTATCATTCGTGCTATATCAAATAAACCAACTATAATGGAATTATACTGTATCACAGTGCCTCAAGGTTAGCTCCTACATGAATTTTTTTTTCGACCAAAGAGTTTAGATTTCAATGAATAAATCATGACGACATGACTAGACTTTTAGATAAACTGATTCCATTAAAAATTTTGCAGCAGTTGCTATACACCTTATCAATGTAAACAAAAAGTGGCCAAAAGAGAGTAAAGTGAACAAAAAGTATTGTTTACGTAACCATTGATTCAAAATAAAAGAGAAAAAGATTTACAACTTTTCTTTCAGATTCAATCACATTATTAATACAGGGAATACTAGTTTTATATCACTTTTATTAGTTACCTTGATAGCTACTTTTGTATCTTTATGGGATAACTTCAAAGCACCGTTGAATACACGTAGATCTTCTTCTAGAACTAATGTTCCTGCTGGAAGTCTTTGTTGATCAGGTTCAATATATTCATTTAAACGTGAAGGATGATCAATAAAGACTAGCTTTCTAGAGCCCTGTATAAATTATGAAAAGAAAAAAAAAAGATAGTGTTCCATTTATGAACTAATTACAATGAGATATCTTTTGTAACTATTTCTTATGTGTAGCCTAGCGATTACTATTATCATTTTGACTACGATCTGAGATGGTCTTGGTTTGACAAAATTGTATTGATACTAGGAGATGATGATTGAAAGTGAAATGAAAATTTCAACCACGATCAAATTCCAACCATCCACTACCGGATTTCCAGCACGATGCTCTGCCAACTCACCTACGAAGTCCAACTGGCGACCAGATGTTTATTTCACATCAGTTGTCATGGATTTTGCCTGAATATGATGGGGATTCGTGATGCATTACTATCACTTCATCACACTCACACAGACTGCCCAGTCACGACTTCTTATCCCAATCCAAATTTAAGTGAACTGGAGAGAGGAAGTATCATATTCATTATGATTTTGACTACTATCTGAGATAGACGTGGTTTTTCAGACTGGTATACTAGGTGATGATTAAAGGTGAAATAAAAATTTAGACTGTGGTCGGATCAAGCGGTAGTAACGCACCACGAATTCTTACGGTAGTTGGGTAAAAAGCTTGGTGATTGAAGTGAAATAAAAAACCGGTCAGCAGTCGGACCTCGTAGTTCAGTTGGTAGACCATCAGGTCAGAAACCTGGCGGTTGCTGCTTCGAATCCAACCGCGGTCTGAATTTCCACCTGACGACTGCTGTTTAAGATTACCAATATCGTGTATCTTTAATCAAAGCAAGCAATTAAAGTGTGTCAACTCGTATTATGACATTTTCCCAATTGATCCATTTAAAGACTTGTTGGAAGACAAACAATGTGATAATTCTAAGGTAGTATTCATGAGGGACAGACATCGGTTGGAGAAACATTAAAAACCTGGGAGGACTGTACACCTATTTCCTCCTAGTAAGCGAATCCTCAGCACTACGCACCAACGACGCCACTAGGGACCGAACTCAGGACTTTCAGATCTTGAAATCCTGAGTCCGAATCCTGGGAGGTTAGAACTACACCCTGCTTAGGAGTGTCATACTTGGACGAAACGCCCAAGTAGCGCTCTTAAGTTCCCATTGTATTATTCCCCAGCTGACATCAGTCCGTGATGAATACTACCTTAAAATTCAACATTCCATTAACCTCAAAGTACATTCATGTCATAACTTTGGTATAGTTGCCACAATCATTAGTTCAAATAAAATCTAAAGAGAAAACAAGATTATTCAAACTTTCAAGTTAAATCTTAGTAGTATAAGCTTTGAATATAAGCCGAAACAGTAGACAAATATTACTTTGGAACTCATTATGATGTTGCTAAACAGTACCACCAACCTATATCGGTAGGCGATATTTTCTCAAATCAGTTCACTTTTGTTCCGTTTTATTCAAAGTTTCATGATAACAAAAATTACTAAAAATATTAATTCATGATCATCAGTTTTTGTTATTTTTAAACAGCGTTATGAGATGACGATCATTTCATACACATATGATGTAGTAGCGCTAGACACTTCAAACAGTCTGATCACACACACCAATCCGTAGAAACTATTTACTATATGAAAATCTAAGCAATTAATTGACTGGATCACAGCAGGATTTGATTCAGTGATCACTAGGTTTCTGGTTCGATGCTTTATTAACTGAGCTGTAAGATCTGACTGCTGAACACATTTTTTAAAACCTTACTTCAGTCAGCAAGGCTTTTGCCCAACTGTCATATTGATTCGTCATGCATTGCTATCGCTTGTTCGTAATCACACTAGCTGCCCGGTGACAACGCCCCATCTCAATTCAAATCTACTTAAATTAGAGACGGGAGGAGCATCATACTGAATATAAATTTGACCAGTATCTGAAGTGGTTGTAGTTTAGCAGACTTGTATTGATACTGGGTGATGGCTGGAGGTATAAGAAAAATGTTAATTCACTTGGGAGTCAGGCAAAACTCTTGGTGATTGAAACAAAATAAAAATCTAATCGTGTCGCGGGCAAAATTTTCACTTCATCTTCAGTCATAACGTAGTATCAATAAAAAATCTGTTTTAGACATGTATATGTTTTATTTTTACAATAAGTGGAATCGTAAAGTGCATTAATATGAAAGAGGATAATATTTTACGAATAATAAGATCAATTTGAAAAAACATGTAGGAGACTATATGACTGTTACAGCTATTCCATTTTTCCATGTTTATTCGATTTTTCAATTTAGTATTCATCATAGACTGACATCAGTTGGAGGAACATAGGAAAAACCTGGGAGTACAAGATAGCTGTTTCGTCCCACTAGTATGGGACTCCTTCAGCAGTGCGTACCCATGATCTCACCACAACCCACCATGGATCGAACTGGACACTTTCAGACTCCATGGCCAGTATCTTACCACTGAGCCACTCTGTCGGGATATAACGGTTCATATTTCCATTTCTGTCAGTTCATGACATAGCGCCACCTATATCCAATGTCGTCGTTGACTAAATGTACTTATCTCCCACTTACTTCACTCTGCTGGTCACAACTTCTCATTGGGACTTCGGGAATCGCCTCTCGAAGCTAGTCATCAATAAGCGCTTGATCAAATAAATCTGGTGGGGGGTTACGAGGATCCTTGGTGCGGTCATGGCTGCGCTTTGCTGAGGAATCCCATATAAGGAAGAAATAACTGTCCAATGCTGTCAGGTTTCCGATGTCCCTCCAACTGACGTCAGTGCATGATTAATATGAACTTGAAAAATCACTAAATCTTCCCAAACTCTCAAATTTATTCGATATGTTGTGACAGTTTCGTTTCCCCATCATCACATCACACCTTGTCTGACTGATATTCACATTTCTTGTTTCATATGATCTTCACTCAACCACGTATAAATGAAATTATAGCAATATTCATTTACACATCCACTCACTGGATCACTCATTTACTCACTCCCCTCCTATCATAGATCTCTAATTTTTCGTCTCCTATATTATTTAAGAGTTAAATATGCTCGAAGAAAACATTATTTTTCAATAACATCTCATTAGGCTGTACAACTCTATAAAATCAAATTCGTTAACACAGTAATGATGGAATTTGCGGTGAATACATTTTAGAATATTTATGAAATTATAATTATAATTAAATTGTATATTGCATTGCAGTCCATCTGTCAACAGAAATCGAGTAATTCGACTCAGTGTAGCAACAGGAAATAAGTATCAGTAAACTATAGCTTATACCCGTTACACAAGAGGTGGGTTTCATGTTCAGTTGCCTAGTGCTCAATGCTATGGTGTTTGAACCGACGAACTACTTAAAAACTATCAACTTAAACGCAGACATGTCTGAAAGGGGAATTTTCTTCGCAGAAATCTTTTTTTATGTTTTAATGGGTTTTTGTTCAGTTTATACTGGGTGATGACTGAAGGTAAAATGAAAATTTGAACTTTGGTCAGATCAAGCGGTAGTAACGCATCCTGAATTCAAATGGTAATAGGGCAAAACCCTTGATGATTGAAGTGAAATAAAAATTTGGTCAGCAGTTGAACCTCAGATGTGAGTTGGTAGAGCATCAGGCTGAAAATCAGGTGGTTGCTGGTTCGAATCCGGCGGTGGTCCAAATTTCCATTTCACCTTCAATCATCATCACCCAGTATAAATAACAGTGTGCCAAACCAAGGTTATCTCAGATCGTAGTTAAATGACAATTTTTAATTTAGTTAAATTTAAATAAACAATTGTGGAAAAACAAAAACGTCACTAGTAAATATTTGTGTGGCAGCAATGTTTTCTTTAAAAAAATATAATCTCCTTTCAATGAGTTATTCACACTTTGAGTATAATGAAAGTATCAACTCTTGACTTGACAACTAAAAACTTTTTCCTGTAAATACTAAATATCCAATTCAAAGTATTAGTGTAAATTAATTTGAAATAAGAAAATTTCCTTTTGAAAGTCGGGTTTTTTCTAATTGTTTTATCATATTAGTTATAAATTTTATTTTATAACTTCTAGATTATGAGTTTACATTTATTCCACACCTTTCTTCAATGATCCAAATCAAGTAAAGTTAACCGATTTCACTATTCCTGCTTAACTTTTGCATCAATGATATTCAGGGTGTATTATCCCCGGAAGGAAATGTGTCGTGATGATGTGAATATGCGATTAGGGTGAATTACTTTTTCACCTTGAGTATGCAGATGGTATCTTTTTTATTGTGAGATGACACATAAACTGTTGAAATCGCATTCAATCAGCTAACGATCAATTTTTCTAGATATGATATGCTTCTTGTATCATGGAAGTGCAAACTGCTTCTACGAGACTGAAAGAAGCTTGTACTTGCACACATCCTTGGTAGGAAACCGATGAAGATTGTCGAAAAGTTTTTGCAGCTGAGTATTTGTATGAGTGCTGGTGGAGATATGACTGATGATGTTTTCAATCGTATATCAAACAAGAGTGGCATAGGCTAAACTAGGGAACTTATGGTGCCGCCATCACCAGAGCACTGCTATGTAAATTAGAGTATGAAACTCATTGGTGTATGAAGTTTTTCCCTACATCAGCGAATCCTAGCCTCTCCAAGCCGAAGATGTTGGACAACTACGCGCGTTTGATCACTTTTATCTCCACTGGACTGCTCATACTCAGTGGCATAACGTGTTGGTTGACCTTTGAAGTGAAGAAAGGAGTAAGACAAGGTTACCGCCTACTATCACCGATCATCTTCCTGATTGTGATCAACTGGACTGGACTGGACTGGATCATGCAGCAAACCGTGAGAAGCAAAGAGGTGGAAATACGCTAGCGGGATCGATGAAAAGACCCTAAAAGATTTAGATTTCACCCATGATGATTCATGTCTAATGTCTTGTCTAACAAACTCGAGGTTCTATAGGCGAAAACCAACAAATTGGCAGAAGGGATAGGGCAGCGAAGACGGGACTTCCTTCAGGTGAACGTAGAGAAGACAGGGATGATGAAGGTACCCAACCAACCAACAAAAACAACAGCAGCAAGCACTAATCACCATCAATGGGGGAAATCTAAAGGAAGTGGTCTCTTCCACCTACCTACCTAGGCAGCATCGCCTCGACTACAGGCGGTGGCGACGGTGGCGGCACAGACGAGGACGTGAAAGGCAGGATCGGAAAGACAGCAAGACAGGCCTTCCTGCATTAGTCTGAAATCAGTGTGGAGATCTACTGCACTGTACTGTACTGTACTGCACTGCACTCAGTATAAAGCGTGAACCAGATGCGGATTTTCAACACTAAATCAGTCAAGCCAGTGCTTCTATGCGATGGTTGAGAGACTTGGCGTGTTACGGAAAGCATTCCCAACAAGCTGTAGACATGCATCGACAGCTACCGCCTACGCTCACTCGATAGTGAAGATCAGATGGCCAGGAAGAATAAGCAAGGAGAAACTATGGTCTGGTGACGAAACAACCTATCACCCAATAAACATGCAGAAGAGAAAAGTGGAGATGGACTGGATTCGATTGAAGATAGACTGTGAAGACGGTTTTGGGACACCACGCGTCAGGCCAGGCCGTCGAGTGGAACCTGAAGGAAAAACAATGAGTTCGGCATCAGAGGATACGGAGAAGATAGTGTGAGGAAGAAATGAAAGCTTGTGGGCAGTGGTGTTGGCAGGTTTAGTAGACTGGAGAGAAGAGAATGAAATGGCGATGTGTTACTGAAGCCCTATATTCTACTAGGAACCCAAGGGACAAATAACGATGATAAATGACCTGAAAGGGGCAGCGTGTTTAGGTATGATGAAGATCGTCATTCAATGAGTGTGGCCGCTTGAAACGCTGACTCTAGCTAGTTGGTCATGTACTACCTATGTTATCTCAGTGTCTCTTACACCCCTCACTGTTTTTTCACCTTCACACTTTTCCGAAGAAGCGGAACAGTAGTCAGTATATGACGTGACGTCGTGGCTCTATAGTGAGAAGTATATATCGAAAACTGATGGTTAATGCATAGCATACACACTTCCTCAACTTCGTGCCGGATAACCTGAAAATGTCATCAAAAGTGACATCAATTACAATGGTCCTAAACGAGCATTGACAACAGCGAAGAAGCCATTGTTTCCGTAAGGGAAACGCTGCAAGTGACGTAATATCACAGCGCTTAGCTAGAACAGTTAGTAGAACGTTTTATGCCGGTTGTATTTGCATATTTTTCAGTAGTTGGCCATTACTCAATCCGAGACTAAAGGATAGCCTACATAATCTTAGGCCTTCATCTTTCATATATTACTTGAACTATTCCTGTGGAACAGGTTGTATAGAAGGTACGATCAAGCAAGTGCCTCTCTAGATACGAGAACATTTACCGGCTTGGTTTGGAAATGGTGAACAGTTTACGTCCAGGTGTGTGTGACAGACACAGGGCATCACAAAGGTGCTAATAGAACTTTCAATGTCATACATGAAATACCATAAAGAATTCCATGTGTAGCTCGCTAACGCCTGCTCAACATAACTGTGGCTGACGCAGTAAAACTGCTCAAACCTGAATTCTGCATTTAGAAAGATCTCCAAGAGTTATTCCTTCCTTAGCCTTCAGTAAACTAAAGGCCACTCTTGTCTTCTCTATACACTGTCTTTTCTTGGACTGTCTATCACATTCTTCATCTCTATATGTATGTGTCATCCTTTCACTAACAAGGAGAAGTCGATTTCTTTACGGTCCTTAAATCTCACTCCATTTTTAAATTTTATTCGTCCCAAACTTGGCTTGCTTTTACGCTGTACAAATGCACATTATGAATGTAGAACCTAATGAGAGAATTTATCTAAAAGAATATTCTTCGTTCAGATTACTGTCTTTTATTAGTGTTATGGAAGTCTTTAAGTGTTCAGCACTTCAATTATTATGATTATTATTGTGATTTATTTGGTTGCAACCAGCAGAAGAATCCAAGACGCACATCTCGTTCTATTCGAGATTCGTCAGCTGGATGTACCTGCATCATAGTCCAAAGTGGTGTTATTCAAACTGAGACTCGAACGTCACTTCAAACGCCAAAGTGTTATCTACTAGATCATTGAAGAATTTTAAAGAAATTCGAAAAAGTAGTCTATATGCAGACAACTGATATTCTATGATAATTATAAACAAATTTATTGCTTCTTGTTAAGAACTATTTGGCTCCGACATTGTTTTCCTTAGAAAAATAAAAGAATCTTTCACGGTTATATTTAAACAAAAAAAAGGTGCTGCATAAAAACACCTAGATGAACAATATACACATAAATAGTTGCAAGGGCTAAGTACAATATATAACCTACTTTTAGCGGTGAGAAAAATCGATCATGTACTTTAGTATATTCTCGAACCCATGAATTACAATTATATATATAAGCGGCAACAAGATATTCACGAAGCACTGGTCCAATTATATTGGCCCATTTGTTTAATAGGTCATTCTGTAAAATTGTAAAATAAAAAGGCAAAATTTATTAAAACTTTATATACATATAATCACTATATTGTGCTAATTTAATACCTACAAGTTTTTTATCTGAATCAAAATGGATTTGAGAAAGACTAAAGTGTAGTTTAATTTGAGGGTTTGTGGAGATTTAGTTGGTATTCATCATGAACTGATATCAATTGGAGGAATAGTGGAAAAACCTGGGAGCACTGGACAGCTGTCTAATCCTAGTACGGGACTCCTCGGCAGTGCACATCTACGACCCCACCACATCCCGCCCCACTAGGGATCGAACCCAGCACCTAACCACTGAGCCACTCCATCGGAATTCATTGGTCCACATTCCCAACTTCTGTCAGTTTACGACAGTGCCACCACCACCCGATGTCATCGTTGAGTATTTGTCATCATGGTCACCAGGTTTTCCCCACTCGTCACTACTTCTCATTGGAACTTCAGGAACCGCCTCTCGAAGCTAGTTACCAATGAGCACTGGGTCAATTAGATTCGGGGGGGGTTTGTGGGGATTCAGTGTAATTTAGAAGACAAACTTTATCTGGTGTATTTGCCCAATACAATTCGAAGAATCTGATCACACATCTACTTATCATGCTAATTTATATAAAACCGAAGAAATAATAGGAGGACAAATGGAACAATTAAAATAATAGGAAGAGTAGCATAGTTGATCCTAATCTTGATAAAATCTCATATCACTCTTCTGTTTTGTTCTCATCTTTCTTAATTGTAATCCCCTATTATCTTAATTGTTCAACTTGTCTTCTCATTCATTCTTCGGTTTTATATAAATTGATTTGACTAGTAAGTGTATGATTGGACTGTTTGAAATACACACACGTTGTTCACATAAACTTCATCTTCTAATTACCCTATCTAACTTCATGAAACGGACTAATTGTTTATTTTTTTTTTCATAAGGGAAACAGTTACTCTATGACAAGAATGCATGGAAGTCACGTTATATCGTGAACTGATAGAAGTAGGAAATATAGACTATTGGATTCCGACCCAGTGACTAGCTCAATGGTAACGTGTTGATTGAGGAGACTGAAGGTTCTGGGCTCTTCCCTAGCGGGGTGATGGGTGCGCAATATTGAGGAGTCCCATAGCGGAACGCAACAGTTGTCCAGTGTGCCCAGGTTTTCAGTATTTCCCCAAATGATGTCACAGTTAGTGATGAGTAACAACCTGAAATCAATGAATGAAACCAACAAACCTCCAAATATAAATATGGCAAACAGAATAGTAAGCTAAATGTTACTTGAAAATATCGGGTGGCTGTAGAAATCAAGGTCCAATTGCTTCCCATTTGGACACCTAATTATCATTGAGATGAAGTATTATTGGTGCTGACAGGATTGACAAGTTAACGTGAAAAATGGTCCATTTTAATTAATTCTAAGTCATCTAATAGTCAATAACTAATGGTTCCATAAAATCACAAGCAGGCTATTAAGGCAGCGAACATTTTCGTATAAGCCTCAGACTACTAGTAAAACGCCTTATCTACTGATTGTATATCTGAGTCTGACAGACAGACAGACGAAATCAATGAACAGTTAAAGATGCTATAAAGGCTGACTTATTGTGGAAGGTCTGACTGACAAACTGACAAAATCAACGTAGAACTTCGAACACAGGTGCATCGGTTCAACTAGTCACATTTTACAGTAGCATACAAATAACAAGTGGACAGAAAAAGAAGTGATATCAAAATGGATAAAGTGATGTGAAAGAATAAACAAGTGGAAGATAACTCTTAATGCAAATATTTAAGCTTAAGTGGACGTCAAAGAGTGAATATACTTACGCCATTGTGACCGATTTTCAGCGATTTCATCGAGAGTCCTCAACCACTGTTTCTTATCACCTCGAGAACCACAACCAGGTAGCCAACATCTCCCCACACGACTCAGATTAAAAGTTACGGAGTTCATGAACTGATGTCACGTCTTGGTTTGGTCACCCTGAATCCTCTTCCAAACCAATCCGACTTTGCCTAGCATTGCACCTCGAGGCAGGTATGCGTAACACATATAAATACCGTCTTAGCTAACGAAGGTTCATAACCTCATCAATCGACTTGCCAGCCTGTTCTGCATATTACCCTTCGCCTAACCTAGACATTGCTCACACGGTGATTTCACTAAACGCGACCAATCCTACCAAGACACCTATGATCAAACACCTATAATCATTTCATGTCTTCTACTTTTAACGACAATATCTCACAGGCGTAAAGCAGGACAAAACAGACAGTAGCACAGTATATTCGTCTCTTGATAGACACTTGGATAGTTCACCAGTTGGAGCCACACATGACGCAAGTTGTCAAGTGCCAAAAGAGCCATTTGTATCCAAATTGAAATTACATCAGCAACCATACCGTTCAAGCTAGTGTAACTCTTCAAGTAAGTGAAGTAATCAACAAATCCCACCACTTCAATCCCTATCAATAAACTGGGAGTACTTGAACCAGGCCAGTCCTGGAGCATTATCGCCTTACATTTGACAGGTGTGAAGCACATATCAAACACATTCAGATTTCTGCTCAACACATCTAGAAGACCCAGGATTTTGTCAGCGTCTTCACCTAGCAAGACAATATCATCTGCATACTCTAAGTCAATCAGATGACCTTCATGGAGTAGGCCAACCTCCATGAAGTCAGAAGTATCTCAGGTTGTGTCCATTAGGAATGTAGTAAATGGTTTGTGTAGCACATATAACTTATTTTTGACTTATTAGAAATTAGGTTAACGGTCAACTGATAACTTTCTGGAGTAATATAACATCTCGATTCCACTTTAGCTATCTAACGACATAACATGTTGCCTTCAATCATTATTAGGTATTTTATCAAACTGATTAAACAGGATGAAGAGAATTCGGAAGACAGTGTATTTGTTATTTTAGTCAACTTCACTAGTATTCCTATTTTTTATATCTTTTTATACCACATAGTAAACTATAATTTTTCAGATAAAACTCACTTGTCAAAACTGTCAATGATATAAAAATATAAATTTTATCGAAGTAGATTGAATATGATTTTCAAAAGGTGAACAATAATCTTTTGTATCCCACTTATCAGGCTATTCAAAGATAACCTGTTACGACTTGTTCTTATCAATAATGATATGATTGTACGGTAGGTGTGTGTAACTCCATTGTATTTTCCTTTTTAAAAGAGATTCAGTATATCTATCTGTTTTTGTTCTTTTCATTCACTTATATGACATGTTAGTAGCTGGTGGTACAAGAGATCAAGTGGTTAAAAATCAATATTCACTATATTGAAGCTCAAAGATTGGTGGGTATTTTATTTAGTTTATGAAATAAGCATAAACTATGCTTGTCATAAAAATGACTAGTTCCAATCAACATACGCTTACTTTTCAAAGTTAATGCATATCTTTACAATTTAATTATTCTCCTATTTCACTACTTATAAAAAAATTCCTGAAGATGAATAAGAGAAAATTTTAAATCAAAATTCCACTTCTCAAACCAATCTATTTTCAACCTTTTTTTCTGATGCCTATTCTCCGGTGATATGTGATTACAGATATTATTTCCATAAATTATTTTCTAAGTTTAACAGCATTATCACAATGAGTAAAGATTGTTCACGATGTGTATTTAAATGATTTACCTTCTAATATAACTAGATTTCGTACATTAATTAAGCGGCATTCGTCAGAACTATGACAACTCTAGATATTAATAATGCGCAGTGGCTAGCAGTGGAATCTACGATGCGCATCTCGTCCTATTTGGGACATGTCAGCTGGATGTACCTGCCTCCCAGTGAAACATGTTGTTCCCACTGGGATTTGGACTCGGGAGCAATCGCTTCAAACGCTAGAGCGTTACCCACTACACCACCGAGCCATGATAGCCACTTCTTGTGCGACGGGTATAGTATATACAAGTAGTAACACTTTAACAGATATTGTTTCAACATCAGAATTTGATAATGTTTAGATGAGTACAAATAAAATGTAAGGAATAGGTGACGTTTACTTCTTTTATTTTCATACACTAAAGAAGAGTGTATCCTCGACCTCCTATATCATCTAACCTCAAAAAATTTTTATGGCTTAAAATGAATATATGACCAATAGAACGAAGTGTCTTTCGAGTACTTTATAAAGCTTCCAGTTGTTTTTCATCCAACATTTGTCAATAACAAAACGTTATCTTGTCCAGTCTATGTATATTTTCAGATGAGTTTTAAATACCAACCTGACAAATGCTGAGATAACCAATCAACCCTGTATTTTTTCTATGACAAACTATCTTTCTAGTCGGAATACCAAAACCTGATTGGTTATTACAGCATTTATCAGGTTGGTTTTTAAAGTCACTCTTTAAAATCACTTATATTTTCGAGCGACTTTAGAGGTCATTCTAGCAACGGCTTAGTAACCAACTACTTTTCTTCATTTTATGAAAAGTTACCATTCTAAGCAAAATATTGATACCTGATTTATTGTTTTAGCAGTTGTTAGGGTAGCCTTTAAAGTAAACCTATATTTTGTATGGGTATTTCTCAATCGTACCATCATTTCTTCTTATTTTGAGGCTCAAAAAATTGAATTCATTGTCACGCTCATGTTCAGTGACTTTAAAGGCAACTCTAGCAACAGCTGAAATGACCAATTAAACTTTTCTATTTTATTAAAATCTGCCTTCCCAGCCGAAATAAAGAAACCTAATTGGTTATTTCCATCGAAAGATATTTTTCTATAAAACAGAGGAAAGTAACTGGTTGTCACAGTAGTTACTAGGATGTCCTTTAAAGTCATTCAAATTAATATGGAGTAAGCCTCAATGAGGTTGTAAAACAACTAAGTTGCATGGTTTGTGTCATTACAAACGAAAAATGTTTAATTCACGTAGCTCAAACAATAAGTTGTTCTATTCATAAATGAACTCAAATGCTTTTGTTTCAGATAACTCATAAAGATATTTGGCGGGACCAGGTACACCTATGGTCACTTCATTAATCAGTCTATAAAAATGATTATTGGAATAGAAATGGAGATATTCTATTCAAAGGAGTAATAGGTGTTTTATTCAAACTGTAGTTGACTGTAGTAGATTAGTTTGTTGAAAGGTTATATTATCAACTATTTCACTGATAAGTAAACTTGTAAATAGGGCAGTTACACAATATGACACCATGAGGTTTTTGTGAAAACTGAAATGTATTTCTAGACTATGAATTACCGACTTACTGACGATATGCTCTAAAAATTACACTAACCACCTGAACAACTTGTAACAAAGTGAATTCATCATTGATATTACAGGTTTCAAAATTATATTAGACTTATGAATTCTGAGTAAATCATACATGAAGAGATGTAAACCTTTTGGTTTGAGTTCATTACATACTGCATTATCAGTGTTTTCCTTCAAGTGTAAATGCTACAATCATTTTGGTATAATCCACCTGGAATCTTATTGTCACTTAGAATTGTTAGCAAGCAGACGATGATACGTAGTACTGGTCAGTTATTTCAACTAGTTGACAGTTCAGCCAACCTCACATTTCTTTATCTATCGACTTCATATTCGAGAGTTAGTGAAATAGCTTTTCATTTTGTATCTGTATGCTGATTCGACTGACGGGTTTTACTAGAATGTGAAACTTAATTAAATCCATCAGATAGAGGTTGATTTATAGATTAGAATAAATTGGGATAAATTACATTGAATCTGATTAACCATAATCTACTTAAACATAGATGAATACCGAATTAAATTCATATTCTGATATTCATATTAAGTAGGAATCCTTAGATAATGAAATAGATCAGTATGGAACCTTTACTCAGAAATTACTTCAGTTTTGTTTCAGTGAATTCTGTGAACAACTGATTAATTTAAACAAAATCTCATGAGATATATTATTCAAACAAATAATTTTTAAGATAAATGGGGATTTCGATTTTGACACAGTATTCATCATGGACTGAAATCAGTTGGAGAACCATTGAAAACCATGGAGCGCTGGACAACGACTGTTTCATCGTAGTATGAGACTGTTCAGTGGTACGTACCCACGAACCGGTTACAGATCGAACCCAGGATCTACAGGTTTCACAGTGAACACGTTAATCATTCAGCCAATAGGTCGGAGTTCAGTGGTTCACAGTTTCCAACTTCTATCAATTAGCGATGTAGTGCAACTATCACCCAAGGTCTTCAGACGGTATCCCCTTGCCATCCAGACTAGTTGACCTTACAGGTCATAGCTTTTCATCAGGGCTTCGTGATATCCATCTGGAAGTGCGTACTGCTGAGGAGTCCCATACTGGGAAGAAGCTCTCAGGTTTTCAATGGTTCCCCAACTGACGTCAGTCCATGATGAATACTACCTCAAAAGTAATTTTGCCAGATGTGAATGGATACAGATAACACTAGTATGTTAAGAAAATAACACGTCTCAAGGTATGTTTGTTATGTAATCGTATCTAGTTGTTTTTATTTCATCTATGGCTTTATTCATATCAATTAATGGTGCAAACTTTAGAAAAAACAAAATAATATTTATATCTGACAACTTCAAGTTTACCAAAACAAAGGATAATACTCTGAAATCTGGTTATAGAAAACTGATATTTATTGCTAACAATAACAATAAATAATAATAATAATTTGGCTCATAGTCATGTATAAATATCGAAAAAATAATCTTATGCATAAACCGAATGGATAAATTGATTTATACTTCATTGTTCAACTTGTTTCAATAATTTTCATCAAATATTAACATACAAAAAAAATGTCATCAAGGTAGAATAAACTAACCTTAAAACGATTTTCCACTGATGCATGAGTGAAATCAATTACCACTTCAAAAGGTTTATTACGATAAGCATCCAAAGTCATTGAAACTAAACATATAATGAATGGATATTCTACACGTTGATATTCCCGTGATCTTAGTAAAAGAAAAAAAGAGAAAAAAAGCGTGTTGTATTCTAATAATCATCCTATCAGATAGAATCTATAATAAAAGATATCATTATCCTGGAGACTGTTCACTAGGCATATATATGTATGGACTCAAGAAGAGGTAGGACTTACTGGCTAAGGGAGATGACTTCAAAACAATTAGGTCAAGAGGTTCGAGCCTCACTCCGCCTACTGAGGTGTCGACAGAAAGATAGTACCACTAGCCTTCATACAATAGGTGTGGTTTGTTGCCTGTGGTACAAATGTGTACGAGATAGCTGAGATCACTTCATTCAATTTCATCTATGGATTCAACAAGGACGGTTACAAAAATGGGAATTATTGGAGTTTGATTGATTTTAAGGAAGTATGTATCATGGACTGATATCAATTGAAGAACGAATGGGAGCCTTAGTGTGCCTCTTCAACCAATCTGATATAGTAAACGCGTAGGCTCATGTGCTTTTCCTTGAAATATGAAAGCAACACAATCGGCTTTGAAAGACTTCATGAATTTTGGGCTTCTTGTACGAATCTGAGCAATCTTATCCACACTATAGTAACTGCATAGTTGTTTCGTTCTTGTGTAGCACTCTCCTAGTAGCATGCACTCATGGCTCCATTGAAGGACTGAATCTAAGAGATTCAAGTTTCACGGTGAGCACAAAATATCTGATAAACAAATTATAAGAGATTTACAGTGTACCAAAGTGCACAAAGTTTACCACTACACAGTCGAGAAACTCTCATGTATATTCATCACTATTAGGAATAGCGAAGGATTAAATTTAGTTCGCTTCGTGACAGCCAATTCAGTTTTATATTCTATTACTTCGGAATAGGCATCATTATATTGCTAAGTAGTCAAATGTTGGACTCTACTTTGAATTCCTAGTTGAATCACCCAAGTACTACTCTATAAACATCATCTGATTACCTACTCAATGAATAAATTCAGCAAAATGTATCAGTATCATTAAAACTATTCATGACAATCATCCTGTTGTGAAGTTGTACTGAGAAATACACAAAAAGAAATAGGCGAAGGATTCACATTTATTACAAACAGCCTGATGAAAACATGAAGATCATCTGAAACATGCTCTTTATAGTAGCGCTAAACACTTCAAACAATCTGATCACACACACCAATCCGTAAAAACTATTTACTACATGAAAATCCAAGCAAAATTCTCAATGAAGTCAATTGAAAACACAAGAATAGGAAGGGAAGAGAGAAAGAGACAAAATCTTTATCACGTTACTCTTGGTAGGAAAATGAAAATCAATACTATCAATGTAGGCTGAAAGTAAGTACAAATTGTTTTTGTAGACATAAAGCAGGGGGTTTGAATTTACAGATGGCTAAATCTTCAATAAATTTAAGCACTCGGCTCTGACCACTTTTATGTAGTACTTTAAAGGCTGTTTTCATGTCTACCCTGTGAAAGGTCTCAACCATGTATTTAGTAACAGATGAAGATTGACGTTTGTCACCTGCAATCATTGACTCCATTGAGGACGTTCGTCTTTAAAGTCACTTAGGTACATGATCATCACGACTACTTCTCGCTTAGTATAGATGTCTAAACATACATGTAAATTGATAAACACAGTAGGATGTGATGCAGTCGTTTGTGTGTTGTTTTCAGTCTGTGCTTTAATATAGACTTAGTGTTCTCTACGAGGATGGCTTCGGCTGCATAATACGTTTCACAGGTGGCTGATGTAAGCCTTTTTTCCACAGTAAAGCTATGTGAATCGTTTTCTAAATGACAATGAGGTGGAAACATTTTTCTTAGGAAAGGAACGCTGACGACTTTTCAATCCTATTTAGGTTTTGAACATGCTATGACATTTTAACGTGTAGTCACTCTGTATCAGTGTTGTCATCAGTAACTTGATTTATTCTTTCTTCATGTCATCGGTTCAGATGTCATCTATTCTGTTGAGTAAACACCTAACTGAAGTGATCTCCTATTGAACTTATCTATAGCTGTGGAAACTAAGATATCGCCTGTTCACAAAGACTTCCTTCTGACTGAGCCATCCCCCTGTCGACTTAGTAATATGTCTAAAATAGGTAGACGGTTATGCGTCTCTATTTTACAAATAAGGCCAATATGATTTTCAGCAGTGATTATCAATTTACATGTATGTGTGTATATGAAACATTTCAAGATGATTGAACATATACCTAACCGGCTTTAAAAACAAACGGCCTAAACAGAATCAATAATTACAGGTGACAAACATCCATCTTCATCTATCTCCAAACATACGCAAGAAACTATTGATAGAGAAGGTGTGAAAACAACTTTTAAAGTATGACATGAAAGCTGTTTGGGTTGAATGCTGAAATTTATTGAAGATTTAGCCATCTGTAAATTCAAACCCCCTGCTTTATGTCTACAAAAACAATTTGTACTTACTTTCAGCCTACATTGATAGTATTGATTTTCATTTTCCTACCAAGAGTAACGTGATAAAGATTTTGTTTTTTCTCTCTTCCCTTCCTATTCTTGTGTTTTCAATTGACTTCATTGAGAATTTTGCTTGGATTTTCATGTAGTAAATAGTTTTACGGATTGGTGTGTGTGATCAGATTGTTTGAAGTGTTTAGCGCTACTACATCATATGTGTATGAAATGATCGTCATCTTCTCATTACGTTGTTTAAATTTATCAAAGGGATAATTTGCTTTAAATTGGAAATATTCAAACTGGTTGAAAACCAGCAAATAACGCACAAACTTTATCAAGTACTGCAGGATGTATACTGGTTAAATCATCATTCTGATATTTTCTTGTTCACATAGATCTTATAGGTATCAAGAACATGGACTCTTGAAGTAATTCAACGTCAAAGAATAAAAGTATCCACCTAACTATATCAACTTAGTAATGAGAAAGATAACGTTCTACTATTATATGACTACAAAACCAAGATTAGTAATAATCTGATAAGCTGATTAATTTTCTTTAAATCTTACAGCATAGTGTTGACAATTTACTTGTCATTTACTTACGATTTAACATGTTAAATTAACAATCACCAGTAGGACATAAAACAAAGATATCAGAGGAGAAAATTTCTCTTCACTATGATTTCATTTACCAAAAACTATACAATAATTTAACTGGACAATAGCTATGGAAACTAAGATATTGGTCTATCCATGTAGGCTAAGTGAAATATATGGCGTTGATACATCATATATTTCAAATAATCTTCGTTTTCTCATTACGCTGTTTAAAGTTATCAAAGAGACCAGTTGCTTTAAAGATTGGGATTTAATGAGATTTACAAGGATATTGAGTCAAGATGAATTTACTCTGCAATATTTCATCTTTACATGCTTTCATTCTTTTATGCTTTTCTCTATAGGACTAATGATAATTATAAAAGTAGACTACTTTAAGTTAGATTATTCGTAAGAATTATTATTATTTATCCCTTGGGTTCCTAGTGGAACATAGGGTTTCAGTGGCACGCCTCCATTCCACTCTCTTCCATGCAAGCTTTTGAACCTGGTTCCACGACAGCCCAGAAGCGCTCATTTCTTCCTCACACCATCTCTTCCATGTCACCCTCACCTCGGATGCCCAGCTCGTCGCTTCCCATCGGGGTTCCACTCGACGGCCTGGCCTGTTGCGTGATGTCCCCAGTCGGCCTTCTCTGTGTATGCACAATCCATCTCCACTTCCAGTGCATATTTGTTGGGCGATAGGTTCTTAGATGGTTCGTTCCCACAGTTGCTTATTCTGGTAATTCTGGCCATCCGAGCTTCAGTAAGGAGCTGGCGTAGCCAGTTGTTGATGAATGTCTGTAGTTTGTTGGAAATGCTTTTCGCAACGCGCCAAGTCTCTCAGTCATACAGAAGCACTGACTCGACGTTGGTGTTGAAAATGCGGAATCTATTAGCGTTCGAACGCTAAAGCGTTATGCACAAGGCCGATGAGGCACGATAGCTACCTCCTGTACAACGAGTATTAGTCATTACTATTTCTTGTTATGCTTGTAATTCTCCGTAGTTATACTGGATTGAATTATTCGACCTTGATTGGCTTTTGGGCTCCTATCCGGATGTCTTAACGTCACCTGAATATCTATTGTGGTAATTTACTTCGTTTTGACTAATAGTGGTATCCATAATGTGTGTTTCATCCTACTTGGGACTTGTCGGGTTAGATGTCCAGGTACCTATTGTTTTCCCGCTTCTTTTTGCTTTCGTCGAAGTAAGAGATCCTTAAGGAAGAGTTGAGTCTAAGGCTATTGTTCAAGAGTTTCCATACATATATCGGCTACTGGCTTTAAATCACTTAGTAAGTGTGTCACGGTACCAACAACCCTACTTCTCTGATAGTTATACACGTTAAATAGACCATCTGAAAGACGAAGAGTAAATTTAAAAGAAGAAGAAAAAGTGACAATAAAAATGGAAGTACTCAGTTTACTGAATTACACAGCTAGGGTGGACAAATACTGGTAGAAAACAATGAAGGATAGGAATGATAATATTAAATTGTGGTACTGAAAACTACAAAAAAAATACAGTACATATCATGGTTTTTAAGGTTGCATTCAACATGAACTGAAATCAGTTGTATATTGTTCATTAGTGACATGCTTCAAGATGGATATCCTAAAGTTCTAATGAGAAGCTGTAACCTGTTGGGGTCAACCAAATTGAAAGCGAAGCACATGCCAGTCGGTAACCTCCGCGGACAGTCATGCCATATCGCTAGCTGACAAAAATAGGAAACTATGGACTAATGGATTGCAACCCAGTGGTTCAATTGTAACACGCTCACCTTCGAGACCTTGAGGTTCCGAGTTAAATCGCCATCGTGAGTGTGCATTGCTCAAAAGTTGTATTATTATTATTATTTGTCCCCTGGGTTCCTAGTGGAACATAGGGATTCACTAGCATACCTCCATTCCACTCTCTTCTATGCAGCCTTTTCAACCTCGCTCCAGCACTACCCACTAGCATTCATTTCTACCCACACCATCTCCTCCATGTCACCCACAGCTGGGATGCCCAACTCGTTGTTTCCCCTTTGCATTCCACTCAACGACCTGACCTGGCACGTGATGTTCCCAATCGGCCTTCTCAGTGTATACCAAATCCAGTCCATCTCCACTTTCCTCTTCTGCATATTTGTTAGGTGATAGGTTCTTGCTTCATTGGTTCGTTGCCAGCCAGAGTGAGTTCCACCTTGCTTATTCTTTCTGGCCATCCATCTGATTTTCAGTATGGAGTGAGCGTAGACGGCAGCTGTTGATGTGATGAATGTCTGTAGTTTGTTGGAAGTGCTTTTCATGACTCGCTAAGTTTCTGTCGAAGGCCTTTACAAAGTCGATGAGGTTGAGGTAGAGAGTTGACTGCCATTCTATACTCTGTTCTATGATAATGCGCGGCGCAGCATAGCGTTGTAATTCGATGTGCACATGATTTATTCTTCCTAAAGCCAACCTGTTCCGCAGAAGTTGTTTATTAGAACGAAATAGATGGTTGTACTAAATGACCTTGAAACTATCAGAGAAGTTTAATATGTCAACAGAGTTTATCAATACAACTCACCGATTATCCTATAAAAAATCTAAGCTGTCTACCGGGTTTATGTGGTTATTGATTAATCAGCACATAAATTGTAGAGTGAGACAAAATGAAATAAAAATAATCCAAAATGAAAGAAACACTTACTTATATCGTCTAGCAATGTAGTAAAACACCGGATTACCAAGTCGACTGGTACCAGCTTGATAGAATGCATTCACATTTTTTAAATGCTTAAATTCTTCACTATCTCTAAATTGATAACCTCGTAGTACCCAATCTTCTAATCGTGTTGACGGTATTTCTAGATAATTCCACCTAAATACAAAATAATAAAGTTTTAAAAAACAACTTCTAACTGATTTTTATTAACATATACACTCGGCCCCCCTCCCTTAATTTAGGGTTAGGGTGAGGATAAATAATTGAAACGGAGTTGTGATTGGTTGGCACCTCTTTTTAAAAGACCTATTTGTGTAGCTAAGAGACATTTCTATTGGACTAGAACAATTATTTGTTGGGAGCTAAGATATATTATTGACGCTGAGATACATTCTCTCTCAGGATAACTGTTTTCGATTAGTATACTGCTGAAAGTGATCAATTCATTCTAAATTGTATCTTCCAAACATATAGCCTTTATCCTATAATCGAGGATCTTTATCTAATTTCCTTTGTACTGGAGAGTCACGCAGTTAAGAAAGTGTGTGTATAGTCCCTTCCATGTACGTTTCTTAGAAAATTTTTTCTTTATCGATTAATCTGTCCTTCATGAGAGGAGATCAAGAAAGGCTAATTTGATTGGTTAATCAGACTAGTTTACCTGATTTGCCTATGAAAATCTCCGCCCACAGAGACTCCATCTAACTGTCTATATAATTCATCATTAAATTATAAGTTAACATTCATAGTCCATTTGAGCAATGATTTATTGAGGACATCTAACAGAATCCTAATATTCAAAGACTGTTCGCATACCTGATTGACCGTCTCTACAAAAGGAACGTTCGTGACAAGAGATGCTAAATTCAGTGGCGTCATAATTTTCCCTATCATGTTAGAACTCTAAATCCTTTCTATAACTTCAGGTACGTCTTTCACACTATATCTCATCGCCTATCTGTGCAAAGTTCGCAGAATATTGACCAGGCATTTTGATAGAGCATGGTTAGGGAAATGCTGTCTGTCAAGAAGTCGTCTTAGGTAGGCTGAACGATCTTTTTCTCTCATTCAAATTAAGACAATCTACATTCCGGTATGTTATGTAAGAAGACTCAATGATAAGACGTTTCTTCTAACTTTCAAAACTTCTTTAAATAATTTCTGTGTTGTAAGTGTCGAAATTATATCCTGAAATTACAGCATGTAGAGCTATGGTCAAAGTATTTTCAAACTGTTTGAGTTCTCCTGCATTTCTGAGGGTTAGATGGGAGTCTATCGGTGTCCACTTTACGTCCATGCTTTTCGTACACACCGCCCGTCACCAATACCGATTGAATGGTTTAATGAAGTCATTGGATTGGTGTCGTTGAAGTGGCTTGCCGCTAGACTGATACTGAAAGGACGACCTAGTTTGACCGTTTAGAGAAAGTTAAAGTCGTAACAGGGTTTCCGTAGGTGAATCTGCGGGATGATCATTACCATACATATAAACCAAGCTGAAATGGCCGGTGTGTTTACTTATGAGAAATGTGTGGGTCGCACATCCATTCTCATGTCAATGGTGTGTAAATACGGTGTGCTAAAACATGCCGGTGAAACCCTTGTATCAAAAGGGAAATTCGATGTATACTGGATCGAATTTTGAGCAATTTGTTTTATTAATGTAGATTATGAATCTTGAGGAATTCTGTCCTATTCATGGGTCAGTGAGCCCTGTAGTGTGTTTGAAGTTCTTAAGAATACACTAACATTGTACTTTTTGAGCATACACCATTTCTCACATCATCTGTATACAATTGGATTTTGTTGTAGTCTATGATTTAGGAGGAGAATTGTGATTAGGCTTCACTTTGGTTTCGATTCTGTAGACGACATCTATCTGGTGGTGACTGATTTCAAAGGTTTTATGGGTTACATGAATGTGCTCTCTTCAATAGACCGGCAGCAACAAAAACCTACACACTCATGGGATGTAATGAATCAAAATCAAAATATTTTCTGATTATGTAACTTTTCTGATGATAGTTATGCTCAAATATTTATCCTCTTGACTAACTAAACGACCAATAAAACGTAGTTCACACTAGGCTGATTTTGATTCTGAGCTAAAATTCATAATGAGGGATCAACTTATCTAAGAATATGAATTTTTCATTGACATACTGTTGGTAAATTTGCGATTTTAGTATGCGGAAGAAGAGAATTTCTTCATATTTACTTATGAATTGAATCATTACTATGTATCATATATGTGAATCTATAGCTACCCAACTGGTTTGCTGGTATACTTTTTTCTTAAATTTGAAGTAATTAGTCTCTTAGCAAAACTCTAAGATTCTCGATGATGCCACTAGTATTCACCGGACATCTTTCTGATAGAGTTGTGTTTAACTTCTCAAAAATAAGAATAATATCCTAGGCGTGCGATAATTAGAATGGTAGCATATAATGAACTTATATACTAGGTCACTATATTTAGAGAGATTGACCTTGAAAAGGCCTTCGACAGCGTCAACCGAGGAGTAATTTGGCAGTTGCCTCAACACTATGAAGTTCCACAAATCTTTATCAAATTCATTCAACAGCTATACGAAGACGCCACATGCCAAGTGATCCGCAGTGGAAAGCCTAGTGCTGCCTTCAAAGTAAGTAAAGCTGCTTACTATCACCCATGACCTTCCTGGTTGGGGTGAACTGGATCATGCAGCAAACCATGAGGAGCGAGAAGATGGTCTATGAAAAGACCACAGAAGATTTGCTTTTCGCCAACCATGATGATTTATGTCCAATGTCTTGTCTCACAAACTCAAAAATCTATAGGCGAAAACTAACAAGTTGACAGAAGAGGCAGAGCAGAGAAAACGGGACTTCAAGTGAATGTAAAGAAGACAGATGATGAAGATACCCAGCCAACAACACCATCAACAACAAGAGGCACCAATCACCATTAACAGGAGATACCTGAAGGAAGTTGTCTGTTTCACCTGCCCACATTGGCAGCATTGTTTCAACTACAGGCAGCACAGGCACAGACGAGGATGTCAAAACCAGCATCGGGAAAGCAAGACGGACTTTCATTAATCTGAAATCAGTGTGCAGATCTACTGCACTGCACTGCACGCAGCATAAAGTGTGAACAAAGATCCGGATTCTCAACACCAATTCAGTCAAGTGAGTCAGTGCTTCCATGTGATGGTTCAGAAACTTGGCGAGTCATGAAAAGCACTTCCAACAAACTACAGACATTCATCACATCAACAGCTGCCGTCTACGCTCACTCCATACTGAAAATCAGATGGATGGCCAGAAAGAATAAGCAAGGTGGAACTCACTCTGGCTGGCAACGAACCAATGAAGCAAGAACCTATCACCTAACAAATATGCAGAAGAGGAAAGTGGAGATGGACTGGATTTGGTATACACTGAGAAGGCCGATTGGGAACATCACGTGTCAGGTCAGGTCGTTGAGTGGAATGCAAAGGGGAAACAACGAGTTGGGCATCCCAGCTGTGGGTGACATGGAGGAGATGGTGTGGGTAGAAATGAATGCTAGTGGGTAGTGCTGGAGCGAGGTTGAAAAGGCTGCATAGAAGAGAGTGGAATGGAGGTATGCTAGTGAATCCCTATGTTCCACTAGGAACCCAAGAGAAAAATAATAATAATAATATTTCGAGAGAGAGATAGTTTATGTGTCGATGTGCTGGTTAGTTCCTTGATTGATTTAAGTTGAATAGAACTTTTGTGAATCTTAGGTAAACAGTAATACCTGAAGAATTAGAATTTAAGCGATCAAGAATTTTCGGGTTTCAGTTCTTTGAGTAGTCTGTTAGAGTTGAATTTCATCCTGTTCAGCTTGATAAACGTAAGTTTTTCTGAATAAGGAAGTGAATATGACAATCCAGATATGATTTCGAATACCATCTTTTTATCGTCTGTTCAGATCAGTGGTGAAATTCACTGTGATGATTAAAATGTAAATAAGGTGTGCATATATCTTCACTATTGGGATCGATTCTGAGATACATCAGTTAAAGTCTCCAGTCATTGGTTTCTGTCGTTAAGTGAACTATGATTAAGAAGTCTGAATCTCCCACCACTGTTCCGACAAATAGTTAAAGAATTCATAGAGCGATACCGTGTTTCACTCTAGCCACCTTTAACCTTCTTCCTTCTTGAACCTAAGTCAGTGGAGCAGACAGTTAGTAGGTACCCATGACACTGGTCATAAGTCATCCACCTCATTCGACAAAGGTTCACAATCTCGTCAATTGACTTTCCTATTATGTCTAAAACTCTACACTTGACTTCTAAGTTACTGACATGGAGGCACCATGATATATAGTCTATGCGACGAAGAAGACAGTGGTCAAACAAGTGAAGTCTTCTCATATCCGCCACCTTTAATGGTCATACTTCCCAGATAGAGTAGAACAGAGCAAGCTAGAAGGCAATCAGATATCACAGTGGTGAAATAAATGGTCTGAGTTAGAGAGACTTTGTCGGTCTACGAACCATAAGAATGATCCGACCACTCAGATAAATGAAGTGGTCAATGCGCTCAGTCACTTTTTTCCTTATTGTTAGACAAGAGACCAGTACAAACTAATGATGGAGCAAAAATTTGCCTTTAGGCTTCCCAGAAGACTCTGTATCTCTCAAACGTCTTCGCCTAACATCCGTGTTCTCTGGATCTACTAAGGAATCTCCTGTGACATGGCCAATCCCAGTAGAGTTATATTGGTCTAAGATGACTTCCGTAAGCAAATCTATAAGCAAACTCAGTAAAAATGGAGGGAATGGACACCACTCGAAGTAAACAACCCACCTGATGCCTAACTATAAGACCTTGTAGACCTACGGATATTCAAACACTGGGTCTTCAGCAGAATGATGTACTTGCTGAATACCCTATCGATGACAGACAATCCCATAAGACTTATCGATCATCGGAGTTCAATACTGTATTCAGGTCAAAAGATATGGCTAATATCTGATACTAGTTAGTATGTCTGAGTTCCAGAACCTAGTGGTGGTGGGCAAGTATCTGCTCTGTACACCGAGTTAGGTTTGTAAACTCCCTGCTTTTCTCGAATCCTCTGTTTTGGGCCTAACTTGAGCGCGTGATCATCCTAGAGCTTAGAATTTCAAACTCTATG